CGGTCGCGCGGGTGTCACCACGGAGATCCCTCCGTATGGTCCCCATATGCCAAGACGGGACCAAGACGGGACGGGGTCGGTCTGCGCGGCGGGGCCGAGTTGACGAGATTGGTCATAGCGGTAAGCCGGCAACGTTAGCACGGAAAGCAGGCACAGGCACAGGCATAGTCAAATTTATAACGCCTCTACCGGCATCTGAAAAGTTAGCGTGTTGAAGTGCAAAGTGGCGATAATTTTATTTTCCGTCCAAAACATCATGATGGCTGCTTTGCTCAGCTGTAAAGTGGCGGTACCGCGCTGAAAAGCTGTGCCGGAAGAGAGTGTAACGAACGGGACCGGAATTCACGGGGCCTGATGGGTCCCATTTTGCTCTGATTACTTAGTCCCCGAACCCCTCGCCGTCGGGTGGAGCCTGGGAGTTGCAGTGGAGCCCGGAATCCGAGGGACCGGAGCATTCTTGGTCTTTTTGGACGACATCCGCTGTTTGTCTGCTTCTTTTACCTGGAGAAAGGGGGAGTGCCTCTTGTGAGCTAGACAGACACAGCATTTCTAAGAGAACCGGAATGACAGCATGAAAAAAGCGAGAGAGACGTGGTAACAGAGTGTCGATATCCTGCCAATGGGTCAAGACAATTCGCTTCCTTCGTGAACATTTCGGTGCATAGACGTATGCTTCCTCTGTCCCGAACCAGACATCTTTGTCCATTTACAACACCAACCTCATAGTCTCGATGCCTCGTATGATCTTCAAAACGGAGGCAAAGCTTGCGAAGTCTGAACGAAGCCATTGCCCAAATCGTCCAATTCGACCCAACACACGGAGTCGTGGAAGTCTCCGAAGAATGTTCCATCAATTGGCTCCAATGGCCCTCCTTCCCCAGTTTCTCAGACTACCTCTTGCAGCTCGACAGAGCCCAAAGCAAGGGGAAAGAGGCGAAAGTGGTTCGAGAAGGTAGGAGCCAAGGCAGAGCAGTGGAGGAGGCCATCTGGCATCTGAGATTCTGACCAGCACCACTGGCGTGCCTGGCGCCTATTCTAGGGTCCAAACATGGTCAACGGGGAAGCCGGACCATTTGATGCAAGTAATCAGGGGGTAGTGTCATGCCGGGCAAATGACAGAAGCACAGCATAACATGCTTGCCTGGGGAAGATGTGGGTTGAGATTGAGGCTATCCGAATGCGAGCATGGCCATCGGATGGCAGTCTGTCTCGAGATGTGTCCTGCAGGGGAGGTGACGACAGCGGACGGAACTAGACTGGCCTGATTCATTACTGAATGGCGCACAGGCCACTTGACGTGTAAATCGTCGTTGTCGTTGAATGTCGACATCAGAAGTAGGTACGTACAATATCAAATACGGGGTGAGAGGGTGGGCAGCTTGAAGCCCAAGCTTTCCTCTTTCCGAGGATACCGCGGCGGAACCAAAATAACCAAGAGACAACAAGACCGAGGAGCTGGTGCGTGCGTGGATATTGAGTTGTCAAGGTTGTGTCGAAGATAGGGATTTCTTTGTCAGCAGAAATCCAGGCATCTTGAATTACCCGAGAATATGGCCAAGAAGGAGATGATGACAGCTGTTAAGGGCGTTGCAAGATTGACAGGAACATTGCTTGAAACAACATGTGAGATAGTGTAGAGAGAGATAGGATAGGTGGTGACCATCAATCAATCAATCCTCAGAGACTCGAGACCCACGCCGTCTGGGAAATGACGGTGCTGGCAAGATGATGTCGTCCAGTGGAAGAGGTCCGCCTCACTTTTGGGGCGGATTCAGGCCCAATCAAGCGCAGTGTGATGGGGCTCCAAGCCCAGTGGGATTCGCTGGCAGCAAGGCAGCCAGGGGAGACAAACACCCTTGTACAGTGTAATCAGCAATGACACACCACACCACTGCCCACTCACTCTCGTGATGCTGAGATGCTCTCTTCTTTGATGTTGTTGACCAGCAAATAGTTGATGACCACAGGCAGTTGACCAACCGTGGCCTTGTTGGTCTTGCAGCAGCAGCAGCAGCAACGGATTGAAACCGACGTACTGCGTAGGGAGCGAGGGAGGCGGTTCCCCGGAGGCTTACACCTTTTGCAGCGCCCTCTTCTTGTGACCGAATGCATCGTTGCCAACTGGAGTGGTGTTGATACTATTGATGCTTCCATGCCGAACAACCAATGCCCCCCCATCCAAGGTGAAGCTGTACACTATGCCCGCGGTAGAGGAGGTCTGACAACTGGCAAAGTGGATGGGCGTGACCGTTCCGGTGGTGTCGTCTAGTCCAGGGCAGGCTCTTTGACAATGCAACCTTGAACAACTTTAAGCCGGCAGGCAGGGAATTGAAGGAAGATCCAGAGATCCAAACCGATCCAGGAATTTGGAGCCGTGATTGGACTTTCTTGGTCATCATATTGCCAGGGTCTCAAAGCGTCCTTTTTGGTGTTGACCGAATGTCCACACATGGAGAGCCGGAGATACAGAAGTTGTGCTCCCTATTGTCCCCGGACAGCTGAATACCCCAGACAGCTCCCTTGACTTTCCGGATAGTCCCCTACTCGGGGAAGCAGCCATGGCACGAGCCGGTCAACAGTCCCTGGTAGTTATTGACTGTCGGTCTAGAGCAGAGAGATCTGAAAGGAGACGGATGCCAAACTGAAAATAGCCATGGCATTCTCGACGCAATTGGGAAGGGAAAAGCCATGGCGGGCGTGGACATGGTGACGAGATTAGAGGATTTCCATTAGAGGCCAGGTGCGGTGAGCTGGGTGCTGGAAAAGGCAAGGTGAGGATGAAAGAGGTCAAGTGTCAGCCGGCGACGACGCCGAAAGGTAAAAGTTGATGACACTAACAATTTCCCCTCATTTGGCTTGTCCGGGCGGGCAGTCAGGGTCACACACACCGGCTGGCGGACAGTTGGTGACGGCTCGCTAGTCGCTATAACCCCCTCTGACGCTGACGCCCGGTGATTGCAGTGAGCGGAACACGGACCCTTCCGTCTCAGCTGCCCTGTGCCCCTCCATCACAGCTTGAATCTGATGAGGTGGCAGCGGCTTATCTCTGCAGCACAGACCACTTTCCACTTTGTCTGGGTGCCTGCCCTGTGCAACACCAAAGTTGGGGAAGGAACTACAGTACTAGGTAGAGTCACGATGGGATCCCGTCATCTGATGCGACACCTCGAAAAGAGGGAAGGTGTTCTGCCAGCACGCAATCAAGAGAAGATGCAGGAGCCTCTGGGACTGGGAGAGTGAGATCAACAGGGCATCCATGGAATGTACGGAATCAAACCAAGGGCAGAGGGCCGGGGACCTGGAAGGAGTCATCACCATCTAGAGGTTTCAGTTCTCCTCTCTTCATAGAGTTTCCCCCACACACCTCAGCACGCAGCAACTGAACCGCCAGCTGTACAACACCCTCTTTGTCCCTCGTTTACAACTGCCAGGCGATGAGACCCGACGGAAGGAACTGGCAGCAAGCCACCACGGGGCACCACCCACCCACACTGTCTCTCTCCCCGGACTTTTCCACCTGCACACTCAATTGCAGTGCCCGTCAATGCATGCAAGGAGGAGGAAGCGGCTCAGGCAGCATGGGTGGTAATTGGTAGAGTGACCACCTCACTGCCCGGCCGCAGCGCAGCGCTCCAAGCCGACCGACGCATCGCATTGCCTTGTTGCCGTCCGTCTTCACGCCCACGACGCCGTCTTCACAGTTCCATTCCACATCTTCCGCAACGGTTGACGACGACGCTAGCCAGCGCACATTGCCCGTCATGATTGGGTTGGGTTGACACGGGGCCAGAGCCAATGACAACCTCCAGCTGGCTTCAGTTACTTCCCTATGTACCCTTCCAGCACAGCCCGCTTAGGTAGGTACTACCAACCAACCTCTACCATACACTCAGACAACACTGGTGCTCTGGAAAACAACAACACCGAAAGAGTTGTACCTCCCTCCCGTCTTTTTTTTTTTCTTTCTTTTTTTTTTTTTTTTTTTTTTTTTTTTTTCCAGTCTTCCAGATGCTTTGTCAGTGTCACACCGACGCATTACCACACACACACACACACACACACACACACACACACACAGGTACACAACCACACACCAAACCATACGCATAGGTACCAAGCAAAAAGCAACGAATATACCCTTTATGCCTGGCGTGGCCCAATGGTGGTGATGATAATGGTGGTATCCGATGCTGGAGAATGTCCATGGCCAAACAAATTATGGCCAACCTGACTGGGCCGTTAGGTACAAGGCCACCCACCACTCCATCCATCATCAAGCATCCAAAGCACCAAACCGGCATCAACCTAGACTACTGCAGCTACTCCCGTCTCGAGGCTCGGCTCCTCGTGTAGAGTCTACAATGGCTCGGGAATTGTCGAATCATGCCCCCGTACAATCTCGAGTATACTCTCGCCTTGATGTCTGTCTTACTTTTCCCCTTGGACTAGTATAGTGTAGTTGGATGGATTGGGATAGGTACAGTATTCCTCCCACGGCTCTCCGCGACGACTCCCTACTTGGACGTGGGGCATCCATCACCTTGATCATTCCGGATTGGTATTCCACCCAACGAATGGAGCCGCTGATCTTCTAAACTCACCAACCGGCACATGTAATCCCGTTCGACTGTGTGTCCTTTTGCTGCTAATCTCAGAATACATCTTGCGCCAACGACCAAGGTTAGCAATCATTTGCGCTGCCTGTGGTAGTGCCAGGAGGCTACGGCAGCAAACCCGAACTTCCTCGATGGGCATGTCGACATCTGGCAACCGATATGGAGCGAAGCTAAACCACTACGGCATGCTTCCAGTCGATACACTACACTACACTACACTACACTAGACCAAGTATGACGATAGAGTCATTACAGTATCCGCCGCCAATGACCCCCTGCTGGCCGAACCTGGGGTGCTGCTGCTGCTGCAAGTGCTACACCAGGGTTTTGTTCGCTGCGGCAGGACACATGCAACACCGCCAAGTATTTGCACCTTTTGCGGCCGTCAACCGTCCTGGCGATGCCTGCTTGCATTCGGCTGTTGTTCGGCTGCCGTATAGACGTTGAGACTCGTTGGCAGATCACGTTGGGTCATCTTCAAGGGACTGACTGCCCAAGCCAGCCAGCCAGCCAGCCAGGCGGCCCACCATGCCTCCATGCCTACCAATCCCACTCACCACCAAGCATATCCGCAAATCGGGGGCAAGATCTCTCTCTCTCTCTCTCTCTCTCTCTGACCACCTCTTTAGCGTACATACATTCACAGCGTATCACAGCAGCCGGCTTTGATTCGTCACTGGTCACTGCAAAAAGAAAGAGCGTCTTCCCCGCTGCCAGGCAACCTCAAATTCGACACGCTCAGGCAGACCGCGGCCGATTGATATAGCTACTACTTTAGCGTCCCGGAAGACGGTGTCATGTCAGTCCCGTCCTCGTGCGAACTTGCAGCTTGCGGGCATACCAAGTATGCAGTACTAGTACGGGCAGGCAGTAGTATCATTGCGCCAATCTTCCACAAAACGTTTAGAGACAGAAAGCCCCCCTGTCCCAGGATACCGTTGATCCTCGGGCCAAATCGTCACCACTTAGCGCAGAGAGCAGGCGTCGGTGTGGGTACTACCTAGTGTAGGGTATTCCTCCCCCCCCAAGAAAAGTAAAGTATCTCATCCCACCCTCTTGGCGCTCTGCCCATCTGAGACTGGAACAAGGACTGGCACCCGCATATCGACGAGGCCTAAAATAATATACACTACACTACACTACACCACACTGCAATGTATGTAGGTACAACGGTACATGCAAGGTGGTAACATGCATCTGGATACCTACCTACCTTGTCCTGGTCCCCAAAAAGCCCACCTCCTCCAATCCTCGAGCCGTACAACGGCGTGCACATCAACAAGCCTCGTGGGACTGACTGGATAAATATCGTTGCTCGCCGTCTGTGTGCCAGTCCTTTTCCCCTCTGAAACACCACCCACTTTGCCAATTCTCTAATTTGTTCGACCGTCACCTCAACAAGAGAGATCTTCCTATCCATCACGCGCCCTAGCACGCCTTAGCAGCACAGCTCATCGGACACCAGCTCTCTTCAACTCCATCCGACCAAGCAAACTTGCCCTCACGATCGTCTCTGCCAAGATTGAGGCTATCTGTGCTCCCGAGAACCACTCCAGATCGTCCCTTCTCGACACCTGTGCTTGCCGTACTGGACGACTACGTCTAGTACCGCGGCAGCCCTATCCAGCTCATCATGAGCCAACCGACCCTTGACGGCCTCGAGACCCATCAGTTAGAGGCCCTATTACACCAGAGTCAAGAGCAAGCTCGCGCTGCTGAGAACCAGGCTCGCGCCATTGAGAATCAGCTCAAAGCTCGATCTTCAGTTCCCACGCCATCCTTCTCAGATTTCGACACTGTGCCGGGGAATTATCGAGTCTCTTCCTCGGGTTCACCAGCAGCCAGCAATGTACGCTCACGAAGCAACACAATACCCCGCAGTGTGGGAGGTGTCGGCATGGTCCCGACTTTGAGCTTCAACGGCAACCATGCACCGCAACCGCCCTTGGTAAGGAAATCCCGCTGGCTGTGATCAAACGCTCAGTCTCACTCATTGTTTGTATAGGAGCAAAGTCGCCCCATGAAGCGCTCAAAGACCACTCATCCCACCACGCCGGCCACTGCTGCCACCACAGTGAGAATGGCGAGGTCCCGTTCAAGCGCATCGGCCCAGCCCGCGTACAGACCGCACAACCCATTTGCTGGATCCGGCCCGGTTACCCCGCCGTATCCCCGGCCTGCGCGGAACAGCCTGCCAGCTACCCACCCCAGTTCCACGATACTGGAAACCGCCTTCAACCTCAACCAGTTGCAGCGCCCTACGGCTACTGCCTTTCTTTACGGAAACCCCAGCTTCCATGCCCAGCTTCCTCAACGGCCGTTGCCGATGGGGTCATTAGCAGAGACTGGCATGGAGATGAATCCAGCTGACTTTATCTCCATGTGGGACCAGGAGGAAATGGCCATGACATCGCCGCTACATACGCAGCCCATTGGTATCCCTACAGCCAGCCATATCGGCCACTTCCAATATCCTGGCGACTCTGGGAATCCGTCAGTGTGCGGCTCCTTGACATCGGCACCTACTCTCGAAACCGTCCCGATGACAAGGTCCAACAGCAATCTAAACGACAATATGCCCAATCACTTTGCCGAAATGGTTCGCATAGAATCTCAGCAACCGAGTCCACGAAACCGCCGCGAAAGCTATAGTCAACCGCAGCCCTTCACGACCTCGCTGCTGGGAAAACGGTCAGCGTCCGATCCTGATTTCCTGGATGCCGACACCAATGGGCTTCCAGTCTCGTTCAATAGCCACCTTTACTCTGCGTCGGCACCCGCAAACACACTTTCCTTGAGCAACCAATACCAGATGGGGAACTTGGTACTGCAGTCAACCTCTGAATCTACGGCTGAAGACGACATCGAACAAGAACTGGATCAGCACCTGTCCATGGAGAGATCGGAATCCAAGGATAGCGAAAAGTCAAATCAGTCCCAGTCGTTGAAGCATCGTGCCAAGGAGGCTCTCGTCCGTCAAAACGTTAACGCCTCCAAGTCCCGACATCTTCAGCCCAAGCCTGCCACAGATGCTACCAAAATGGAATCTTCCGAACCTGCTGGTGTGGCTGGCAAGGACGGAAAGGCTGTCATCACCAAGACCAAATACGAGCGACCCAAGCACCCCAAGGTCAAGTGCCTTCAGTGCAACGAGAACCCAGAAGGCTTCAGGGGCGAGCACGAGTTGCGTCGACACACCGAAGCGAAACATAACATGTTGGTCAAGAAGTGGGTCTGCCGTGATCCAGCTCTCGACGGCATTCCCCATTCGGAAAAGGCCGTCAAGCCTCTTGCGGATTGCAAGCAATGCTCGCAGGGAAAGCAATACGGAGCGTACTACAACGCTGCTGCTCATTTGCGCCGAACGCACTTCAAGGTCAAGCAGTCGCGCAAGGGTGCCAACTCCAAAGGTGCCAAGAGTGGCGCTGGCCAGGCCAGTAAAGCTGAAGAGGAGAAGCGTGGTGGAAAAGGTGGCGGCGACTGGCCTCCTATGTCTGAGCTCAAGCACTGGATGGTGGAGAAGCTGGTTCCCATGGACCAAGAGGGCGCCTTCAACCAGGACGGTGCTGATTCCGACGGCGGTGTTGACCCTGAAGACACGGAGAATGGACTCTTTGACGCTCAATACGTTCAGGCCGGGTTCGGGCTCGCGCCCAGGACAGGTGTCTTTGATGTGGCTGCCTTTGCCGGAGTAGGGGGCAGCTTCCAGGATTTCGACGCGTTGAATGCCACAGCTTTCCCCAACGTGAACGGAGAACTGGGCCTACCAAGTTCAGGTCTCCTCATGGACGCTGGCCTATATGTGCATCAGCCAATCCAGTCCATGCCCATCGCTTCGGCATTTGATTTTGGCACGGCTCCAGATGCGCCGCAACAACATGCCATGACACCGGCCATGACGAGCATCGACAATCACAATTATACATCCCCTGTCTCGTCGACTACCACGATTACCCAAGTCGGCTTATCAGCGGAACACCAATTTCTCATGGCACCGGCCATGCAAGCCTCGCAGAACGATGTGCCGGATATGTCCTTCGATCTGATGTTTACGGCTGGCGCGCAGTGACGCCGGCTTGCTCATGGTCGTCTATTCTGATTCTTTCCTCCGACGTCCGGCTTTTTCACGTGAAATCTTTCTTCACCGACTCTTCATGACAGCGTTTTCTCATGCCGATTCACGCCTTCGATTCTTCTGCTTCTTCTGTCGGCTTTATATTTCCCAATTCCACTTTGTCTGGTTTTGGTCCTCTGGTAGGGCACAGGGGCGCGGTGGATACGTTCCGCAATGGTTCCGCAGGTGTCTCGCTTCCCTCGGGATCCTCGAACCTTGACTCAGACCCTGATCGTCGCACACATGGATCAACTGTCGCACGACCTCGAACTCAGAACGTCCGTGGCGCTTTGAGCAGCACAGCTCCCGTCGGCCGAAACAAGGCCTTCAGCCACAAGAAACTCACCCGACATGCCGCGGATTGACATCATGACGACCAGGGCGTCTCGTCCTTTGGGTGTCACTAAGGTCCGACGTTAGCACCCATCTTTGGAAAATCCTTTTGTTTTCTTGTCACCTATTGTGGTTTTTCTACTTCAGCGTTCTTACATCATTGTTTCAGCTTTCGGTACGACACGACATAAGCAAGCAGGCATAAGCGTTAAGAGGCATTGCGTGTACAGGTTGTTTGGGAAGTACAGGAGATTCAGCCCGACGGCGAACGGTTAGCGGTTAGCGGCGGCGTTCCGCAAGTGGTGTTTCGGATAAGGGACCGTTAGGTCTTGTGTGCGTTTTTCTTTGGGGGGGCTTTTTTGTTTGGGTAGGCTGTCTTGCATGTTCCACGCACGGACATTTGGCTTTACGTGGTTTTTCTACGATGCGATTACCCCCTTGTGTTCATTTGTCACTTGTTGATGTGTTGTCAACAAATCCTGGTTTCTGTACACAGCGATTTCCCAGGTCTCCTCTTTTTCTTTCGTCTATCTTGGGGTTTATGGATTTGAGCCGGCGGTAGATATACAATACCTGGGTATCTCTTTGGATAAGGGCAATTTGACAAAAAGAGAGCAGTTAGCGGAAAGGGCAGCAGACAGAGACAGAGAGTGTGGCAGGGCCACATGCCAGTCTGCCTTATCAGATACCAAATACCAAATACCAGATATCATATCATATCAAAATCTTTCTTCAATGGGTTGGCCACAATCTATCTTGCACACATCTATTCTACCTACCAGAGGCATCTACATATGCAAATCCACAGCCGAGGTTTTCTAGGATAGGTCGTGGATGAATGACGGAAAGAGTATAAGGAACAACGGAACGAAACTTTAGCATGTGATCATCACTGGACGCTGTGCGAACCGAACGCTGTGAGCGAGCGAACGAAAGAAAGAAAATACAATGCATCAAATACAGGCATCGTAAGTATCTACCCGCTCCTACCATGTAAGGTAACCAGCCTTTTTTTTTTTTTTCTTTTCTTTTTTTTCTGTGTCTGTTCTCCCAGCCATGAATCGACACTAGAAAAAGAGGTGGGTACCTCACCAAATTGAAAACAAGAAGAACAAGCGTACAAAGTGACCGGTCTAGGTATGGATCTGGTAGCAGTTCACCGAGTAGGTAGAAGACGGCTGGAGAATGAGAATGAGAATGAAACCAGACTGCCACCAGCCACCAGCTAGTAGGTAGGTAGGTAAAGAGGAACAAGAACAACTATAGCACATGTCCACCTAGTGGAACCTAAAAGTGTTAGATAGGTAGCAAGAGGTAAGTAAGATAAGTAGCTGCCCAGTCACTAGGTACCTACCTCTACCATAGGTCGGTGACTAACGATATCGATAACGATAATAACGAATGAGTTAGAGACGATAAGGAAATTAGGTAGGTAGGTAGGTACCATACCTAGGTAGACAGAGGTAAGGTAGTCTCGTATATGCCGTGTTACCTTTGATGATGATATAGCGAGGTATGGGGATTGAGAGCACCTAGATAAGATTGGATCAGTGTATGTACCTGCCTAGAGGTAAGCAGGTAGGTAGGTAAAGTAAACAAAGATTTCCAGTGTTCCCAGCGATCAATGATCTTCCATCCACCCACCACAACCCTTCTTCCTCTTTAAAAACTTCCACCTACCGATCCTCCCCTCTCCCTTATACTTGGGAGACAAAAACATAGCTGTACCCATCCGCTAGGATTTATGTGACAGATGGAATCTACCGTACCTTACCACCTAACATCGTAATATCGTAGACATTGTAAGTACGAGGCAGGTAGGTACATCCAGACGTGGCAACGACCAATGAAGGAAGGCTTAGCAAGGGAAGTCAACAAACGCGAAACCTCCCGAGTTACCTAGCTCCTAACATACATGCACGGAAATTCGAGTTATCGGGAACTATCGGGGTGCCAATACGACGGGGTGTAGGTATCTACCTAGGTATACTACACCACCACCACCACCACCACCACCACCACCACATGGGAACACCACATGAAGGCAGGTAAAAGAATTTTCTGTCACCTCAGGTTGTCACGAGACCTAGGATTGTTATATGATGTAAGTACCTAGGTAGTGGCATCAGAGTTCCGTCCGTGCGTGGAAGAGTTATTCAGTGTGTTCATTGACAACCGGGAAAGCATGGAAAACGAGGTCGGTTTCCTCTTGAAGATATGAGGAACAGAAACAGATAAATGTGGAAAAGTTTCATGAACCCACCTAGACATGATGTAGGGAGAGAGGCAACATGACGTTTCGGAAAAAAAAGAGACAGAGAACCGAGTGTGTGTACATAACAGCGAAGAGCAAATGTCGTGGCTGGTCCATTTATGTGCTGCACACGCAATGAAGATTTCACTGTATGTATTTGTTCATTGAGCCGTCCCAAGGCGAGGAACCGTTTGGAGTCGAATGTTAGAGGCAACAATGTTCATTTTACGTTGCGAGTATCCCATACCTCATAGCCGTTCCGTTCGCAGCTCCCCCTTACTTCTGCCGAGTATGTCACATTAGGCCAAGTACTTTGTCAATGAATCTAGAAAACCTTCGCTATGAATACCTAATGAAACCGCTCCATCCCATACATGCCCTGACTTTTTGCAAGATGTCCACACAAATGCCGCCGCTTGCCCCTTGGAAGGGCGCCGTGATGTCTTTCTGTACAAGTATATAAAACAAGAGAGAAACCCATCATCGTTCGTAGTCGTCATACCCTGTCCAGATGCCCTGATCCATTCCTATATCTGTTCTCCCCAGCGCCAACCCGCCATATGATGTGCTGTAACCCATGCTGAAATCCATATTTGATAACCACCCCCCAAGCCAATGCCATGCGCCATATTCCGTAACCATATCACATAATCCATATCCCATAATCATACCTCGTAAACCCAAATCTTACTCGCGTACATCTGCCTCAGCATCCCAAACCCACCATCCTTCCCTTCCTCCATCTTGCTCTTCTCCCGCATCCGAATTCGCGCTTCCGAGACTCGAACTGTACACAGCCTCGAATGCTCCCGCGGTCAAATCTAGATCCTCCCCCTCCGGACATCTCTCTGGCGCGCATCTGTCGGCTACTCTCGCTTGAATCCAGTTATCCCTATTCTCAAGGTCGTCGTTTCGTCCTAGCCAGATCACCTTTCCACAAAGCGGGTTCGTGTTTGGATCCGGGTTCAGAGAACTGTCCTGAAGTTCTTGCGGGAGAAGGGAGGCAGCACGTTTGGCAGCCTCGTCCCAGATTTTGTACGAGATGGCGACGACGACCTCGTCGTTAGTGATGTTGTAGCCGCAAGCGCCGGTGCCGTTGGAGGGAGAATAATGATTGAAGGTGGCTTGATGAATCGCCATCGGGGGGTCTTCACCGAGGGGAGGGGGGATTGGGAGGTTGCTGTCGTCGTCATTGTGCTTGAGTCCGAGTCCCAATCCAAGGCCGAGTGCCAATCCGAGCAGCAAGAGCAACAGAAGTGGCAGAAGAACGAAAAAACAGAACCGCCGCCTGTTCAAACCAAGAGGGTACTGCTTCTCAGGCGGCAACAACCTCCGATTGACCCAACTCCTCATCCTCTCCTTCTCTGTGAGTCTCGGCGGTGGCGGCGGATTCGGAATGCTTCCCAGCGTCGTAACCGTATGCGTCGGCACTATCCCGCCCTCACCATGTCGTTCCACATCCAAGCCCGCAGAGCTATTCTTCCCATACCCAAATCCCAAACTCTTTCTCCAGCCCGCATTATTCGCCCCATGCTGGTCGTTGGGAGGCATCGCCTCATCTTTCTCCTCCACAACCGGCGGGTCCATCAAACTGAACAACGAAGGAATTGACATGGAGCGCGGCTTATGCTGCTTCTTGACAAAACTCGGCTGCTTCCTCGCTTCGAAGAAGGGAATGGACGATAGTAGGTTGCGCGTCTGCTGTAGCTTGCTGCGCTTGGGTGGGTTTCGGGGGGTTTCCCATTCGGGGAGGTAGCGGATGCGGCGCTCGACTCGGAGGCGGGTCCTCGTGACATATGCGGGCTCCTGTCTAGCTGCCTCTGGAGATGTATCGAGGGATGGAAGCGATGGGAGTGGTCGTGGGTAGACGGCCGTGGGCGGGGGACTGGGGCTGACCATCCTAAGGCCTGCTCCGAATCCCGGCCACGTTGGAACTGTAGACATTGGGAATATGGAGGATATGGGAGAGACTGGAGCTGGGTCGGTGTCGGCGTGGGAGTCGGTCGGGAAGTCTGGCGGATGGGATTGGAGTGGTGAAGGGAGTGGGATGGGGAGGTCTCTTTCAGAGTCGTGCGAAGCCATCGTGGTTAGCTTGAAGAAATGGAGTGTAAAAAGAAAGATGACGCAATGGTGATGGCGCCGTCGGTGACTAGGCAGTTCCTGGATAGTGATGTTTCTGATGGTGTTTTTCCGCTAACCCAAATGAATGAATGACAATTCGGAAGCGTCGTGCTAAGGGTCGAATTCGAATCCGAATCCCATAGCGTCTCGTGGTCGAGCCGTAGCCGTATCCTGGCTTCAACAGCGATACTTGCGGAAGGGGAAAAAGAAAAGCGTGCAAAGGGAGACACGGGAAGCGAGAGAGAGAAGGGAAGACGGAAGCGGCATCGAGACCAACCCTCCCGTGTGTGTGTGTGCCTGTCACTGCCCGTGTCCCGTCACTGCCTCTTCACAGGCTCACATTCAGCAGCAAGCAGCAGGAAGGTGCGAATGGAATGGTTTCACAAGACCAGCCAGTCACTACCATAGGTATTGAGTGCCAGTCCAGTCACGGCAAGTGGGACGAGAGTGATGAGGAATGTGACTTGCTTGGTTTCCCATCCATTTCTGGAGTGTGAACCCCGCCCTTCTATCGACCCATCGTTTCGTTTCTGGCCCTCATGCCTCTGATCCAATCGGTAGGTAGTGGTGTGATACGAAGAAGGGTAAAATCGGGAAAGGAAACAAAAAAAGTAACGTTTCGTCCGGAAGTTATCTACCTAGCGACAACTGAACTTTTCATCACTCGGCAGAGACCAGTCTCGAACTTTTCAAACATCGGCGGCAGCCCAGGCCAGGAACAGGAAAAGAAAAGATGCAGGGAGTACCCCGCTAGGTAACCCCCGCCCTTCCCACGCGGGCTGCCCACGCTACCACCTGCCCGCCTTAACCACGCGCCCGCAAAAACCAATGCATGCCAGTCAGTGGCAGGGCAGGGCAGCGCAGCGCAGCGCAGTGCCGGAGCCGGACAGCGCCTCCGGCTCAAGTACACTACCTAACGCTACATACATCCACTAACGCGACGCTTCGATGCTTCGACACATGGACGCTACAGCAGGTACACGTCTGCCGGCATTTTACACCAAAGATTAACGTGGTGAACTGCAAAGTGATGATAACTTTATGTTCCGTTTAAAAAAATGGCTGCTTTTCTTTTTACCTTCAATGCCCAGAGCATGGTAAAGTGACGGTAACACGCTAACAGTCAACAGATATCGATTCCCCACGGAAGCGATTCGCGGGCGCCCTGATAAACATGAAACATGAAACATCCACGGAGGGCGCGCGCGCGAAACATCCATATTGGCCAAGACTCCCCGTCCAGGCTGATCAAGCGGCCGACAGCCCAAGCCAGTTTCCGCACCACTTTTCCGTGTGTAGGTAGTAAAAAGAACTTGTCCGACAACCTGAAAACTGAACTGAATCTGGCTCAGAAATCTTCCAGGCTAGGTATTATTTCCCAAAAGCTGTTCAACGAACGACACTTGGAAGTCAAGCCCAAGACACAACTGCCTAACATCATATGTACCAATCAGATTATAGGTAGCAATCACGCCTAAAACAACCAATTCCGGACCTCTAGACCTCTGGAATCTGGAATCTGAGACCTGGAACAGAGACAGAGAGCAATTCCAAACAGCCTAGGTATATATATACTTGGTTCCTGGAATCCAATTCCGAGTCATCGAATATCCTCTTAGTACCAATATAGCATGTGAACGCCAGACCCAATAAATGCAAAACCCAGTATGAAATTAACCTGCCCGACTGGTGTGGTCTGCATCATTTACAAGGCACACTACATATTCTACTGCAACAACATACAAAAAAAAAAAAAAAAAAAAAAAAAAAAAAAAAAAAAAAAAAAAAAAAAAAAAAAGACACATCCCAACCTATTCCATCAACCGTTCTAGGTGAATTTCTTGTACAGTCGAAATCCATACGTCCTGTGCACCCTCGTACAAGTACATCATACCTCGTACCTGTCTGTCCTGTCCTATGGCTGCTGTACAACCCCAACATCACCATCATCATCATCATCATCATCATCATCATCAAAGATTCTGGAACAGACCATCTCAATACGAGCTCGAAAACGACATCTGTTTAGATTAATTAATCGGCTTTTTATATTACGTGCAGCTCAACCCTAAAGACTTACTTCACGATCTCGATACGCAACCTAACTAATGCCCACCACACCCTTGTCTTTACTTATCCCGTGCAGCTCGTGTAGTGTGGTTGCAGGTAAACGGTAACCGACGTACATCAAGGTTGGTGACGTGGACTTTGTGTGTTCTCGTTCAAAGGTTCGTGTGTTTGTATGTTCGCATGTTTGCAGGTACGGGCGCAGGGTACAAAGTAACGACACAAAGTTGAGAGGTACAATAGAGTGTGGAAAGAATCAATGAAAACAAGCAAGCATCTGGATGCTCAAGGTCCCGGGCGGGCCCTTCCATCCTTGTCCCGGCACGTGCGACTGTTCGGGTCCTTCCGTCGTCCATCTCCGTCGCTGTTCAGATCCAAGTTTCTTCACCTTCGTCGGTGATCGGCCTCTCGGCACCGGTAGGGACCCCGGTACGGGAAGCGGGTGTGTTAGCCAGGTGTTAGGTGCTGCTCGGGTTACTCATCTTTAACTTTGATAAATCCGGGGGGGGAAACGATCGTTGGCAATGGACGTAAATGGCCCTAGATGACTGAACGGGTTTGCGCATCAACTTATATGCCTCCCTACTTCGATCACAAGTACATAAGGCGGGCAGTTAAGGTTCGGGTTCGGGTTCAAGGCCTAGCGGCCGTCATTATTTCTACACTGCATTGGTATCAATCATCTCATCCCGTCGAAAAAACCCATGCCTGGGTATCAAACAACAACTGTCCCTGAAATCCATGACTAAGGTCTTATCCAACTTTGCTTACTTGCTTGCTTGCCATTAACCAGATGGGAATTTGTTTGCTCTACTCCCTCTCTCTTTTCCTTCGTCCTCCCCTTCATCAAATATCCAGATTTCCAGACTTTTTTGGTACAAAATGCTCAGCAGTAAATGATTGACTAGAAAGAAATTCCCGACCCAACACGACATGCAAAACTTCCTTCCCATTTCTTGTTGCAATACATACCCAAGACCCTTGTCCTCAAAACTCCAAGCCAAGCCAAAAATGCATTGCGATTTGCTCAACCACGTGCGGAACAAAGGAAAGCTTCTTTCCCACGTACAAACTCCCCAACCAGCCCGACACAGCTAGTTCACTTCACTTCACTTCAATTCCTCCTCTTACCCCGGGGCTAAATAGGCGTAAAATACCCCGGCACCTTCTCATCCCCATGCGGCATCGGGTCCGGGCTCTCCACAGTCGGATAACTGCTCGTCCTTTGATGGCTCGGATACCTCGTAATCAGCTCCCTCGTCTTTCCGACCGGCACGCGCCCGGCATAAACCACCTCTTCATAAGCAGGGGACGCCACGTCGTGCATGCCTCCTCCCCCTCCAAACTTCTCATTCTGATAATGAGGACTAGCAGGATTACCGACCATGGCATTACTAGGTGCTAGCGCTGGATCGAAGCCATGATGATTATGGAAGGAAGGGGGGCGACCACCAAACTGCTGTCCGCCCTCCCCGCGAGTTTTTCCTGGCGTGGCCCATCCTATCAATGCGCCCATGACGCCCATGAGGATGACGATGACGTATGTTAGAAGCAGACCGAGCGCGATCAGAGCTTCTTGGATGACTCCGTTGCGCAGCGACCTGATCACTTTCCCTACGGCCTCGTTGATCTCGTCGGTGGTGACTGCGCCGGGCTTGGCCAGGAAGCTCGAGAGGTCGCCGTCACTACCCATGCTCTGCGCCGCTCCGGCGGAAAAGATGTCGTCGTCGAACCGCGGGAGGGTGACCTTGGCATGGTCGTGCACCCACGTCAGACCGTCCTGGACGGCGTCGATCTTGCGGCCAATGAGGCAGCCGACAACGTCGCGGGCGGTGTCGAGGAGGACGGTGCCGTTGAAGACGGCCACCAGAGCGTGGTCAATTTGGTCGTCGAGGACGGTGAGGGTGTTGTTGACGGATTCTGTGGCCTCGCGCACCCAGCCAAAGAGATCGCTGTTGATGTCGGATTCCATGTTGGCGACGACTGCGTTGGAGCTGTTGGCCCAGTTGTTGCTCACTTGCTTCAGAGTCCCGACCACGTCACCGGCGAAATCGCCCACTTGCGCTGCAAGCTCAGGTGCCTTTTTCTCGATCTGCCGGAGAAGCACCCACTGGAAGAGGCAGGACAAGATACCGGCGACGGCGAGCGACAGCACGAGAAGGGCGGGCAGGGAGGTGGCGTACGCAAAGGCCCATCTGATCAAGAGGTAGTTCTTGCTGTCTGTATCCTTGGTCCACCATTTGGCGAGTCTCATGCCGCCGTCGGCAGTCCAGCGGCGCGAGGCGATGTAGATGGCGTCCTGGGAGTTGAAGGCGTTGGCGTCCATTCGGGCGGCCCGCTCCCTTTCGCGCTTGAAGTCGCGATATTCAATGTAGCCCATGACGAAAATGGCGAGTACGGCGAGGATGATGATGACGACCAAAAAGGCAATCTTGGCTTTGTAAACGAGGGTGACCAGGGATTCGAAGAAGTCGTTGAGGAAGGAGTTGTTGGAGCAGAAGGACAAGGCTTGCTTCTCCGCGGTGGGGAAGATGGTGGGCTCAATCGTGAACTCGGAAAAGGCGACATCGATCTTGTTCTTGACGAGGTTGAAGGGGATGGCGAGGGCAGACTCGGTCAGGTTTTTGGCTTCGTCAAATGTCGGGATCTTTTGGTCGAGGACATCCAGGCCATTGACGACGCCGCTGGCATTGATCTTGATTCCCTGGAGGTCCCTGATGTGGCTGTCAATGTTGATGGTTGGAAGTTGAATGTCCTTGCTGATGAGGCCAATGCCGCTGTTGATGAAATCCCTTGCCTTGTCGATGGCACTCTGGAAGCTCTCCATGTCGTCGGTGATACCCTTGGTGATGGACGAAATGGCGTCGTTCATCACCTTGGTTGCGCCCTCGACTACCGCGGTCGCCACGTGTAGACCGCCGTGGATGAAGGCTGCCACCAGACAGGCAAAGGTGCCGATGTACATGTTGATGACAAACATGATGATGGCCTGGACCCCCGTGAGGATCATCTTGAGGACTGATGCCATTGCTTCGACCGCCTTTTGCATGCTGCCGGCGGCCATGACGTTGACGCCCTTGGACATGTAATAAGGCATGGACGCCATGGCGCTACCGACGTCTTCGACCTTTGTACATGCTGAGAGGGCCTTGGCCTTGGCGTCGCCGAGGTTTTCCTTGAGGTTTGCTGTGAGGATGATGACCCGAATCAGGACCAAAATCAACAGAATCGTCCACCGGTTGAACCATAGCTGTGATAGCCTCGCTCGCAAGCCGAGATAGGGAGTGATTCGGGGATCGGTATCGGGGTGCGATTTTAGCTGGGGCTCGGTCTGTTGGTCATTGTGAAGGTTGACGTTTTGCCATGGGGTTGCCGTATTAAGAGAGAGTGGGACTGGGGGGATGCCGCCTCCATTCTTTTCGTTGTAAACCATGGTATTGATATATCGTTCTTATTCTTGAACCAGCAAGATGGTGTAGTAAATCGTGGAGTTGTCTACTAATTGTGCAAAAGTCGAAAAGTGAAAAGGAAAGCGAATGCCGTGAGACCGCGTAGTGTATGTCTGCTAGTAAAAAAAATAAGAGACGGAAAAATTGCTGTTCACCCGTCTAGACCAGCTGGATGAACACTCTCGAGAAGGAATTACTGAGCCGAAGACCGGGAAAGGGGAAAAAGGGAAATGCAAATGAGCAAGAGAAAGGAACAAGAGAAGCGAGTCAAAGGAAACAAGAGGGTATCCAAAACAGAAAGGCTTGCCCACTATGACTGCATACTGGAGATATGAATAGGTGAAGAATGGGAAACGAACAGGTGAGGAGGTGAGTGAACAATAGAAAGAGAGTGCGTCAATAAGACGACGGACGGGAGAATAAGACGGACCCAGGCAGGCTAGTGACTTGACTGGCCCGGACTCCCGGAGGCTGGTGGGCCACTGAATAAGTCGAGAGTCGGGATGAAGGACCCAAAGATGGGATAACAGGTGATGTGCAAATGACAATAGGCGCACCGGGTCCCAGAATAGGGAGAAGGCCCATTGTTTCTTGAAAGCACATTGCCTTTGTTCGACTCTGTGTGCGTGAACAGTGGAGTGGGAGGAGGCTGATCAAGGGGTAGTCGTCCCGTAGCCGCGGTGGTTGTCTAAGCGCCCGGACTCTGGCAGCCAGTCGTTCTTTGTCATGGATCGATCCTTGAAGACCCCGGATTTCCTTGGTGGAGAGGCAGCCCATCAATGGATTGATGGATCAATGTGAGCCTGTCGTCTTGATGTCTGGCGCGCTTGCAGCCGGGCCATGCTGTTCATGAGACAAGGTTATCTGATGGTATTCGGGAGGGCTCATCATGCTCACGGCAAGGTGAACAATGTGTGCCGGTCCTGTAGACAATGGGTCACCGTGATGTCCTTCACCACCATCACCCTCTCTGGTCTAGAGTCTGTGGCAGAGCAGATGTCGGGTTTCAATTGGGGCCGGCCGCGAGATCTGGCCTCAGTAAATCCCTGGTGTTTCCGATGCCGAAATGCAATGCGTTGCCGGGAAGTGGAAAAAAAAAGGAAAGAAGAAGAAAAAAAAGAAGGTGGCACTCAAAAGTGGAAGGCGTTCCTGCGTTTCAACCGCGGGCTGTCTCCGGCCAGTGATTGGTACCTGACAAGGGTCCAACAGACGCGCTTCCACTTCTGCCGATGCCAAGTGGAAAGTGGGGCCACTACCCGCTGGAGCCCTGACAGCCAGTGGATGAATGACCTGGAGGCTCTGAAAGCCCAATGACGACAACTGACCCGACAAGCCCCAGGGGAGACATGGAGAGGCCAGCAGCCGGGCGCTTCCATTCTGCCGTTTCAAAAATGTTAAATAAAGACTTTGTATGACGAATCGGTTCAAATGACTCACGCAGAGAAAGGAATTGCCGCGTTCATTTATTTGGTCTGCGGCCGACGGTTGTTGTTTGGTCCATGGGGATTTGCATTTGGCCATGTCCATTCATACAAGTAGGTACTTATTTTAGCGGCAGGCAGAGGGCATGATCCGTGCGCCAGAGGCACGTGACAGTTCATTCTCAAATGTCTCCAACCTGCCTCTGCCTGCCGGTGAGCCAAGCCGATAAGATAAGGTCTGGTCCAGCGACTAGGTAGAAAGACCCCGAAAGCAAAAACACCCAAATCAACAACATACAACACCTTGGATTTATCGCTCGGACGGAGGCATCATGCCAAGTAGTGAGGCGGCACTGAAAAAAGATAAATACACTACGGCTAACACCAAGATCACACTCGGTCAAAAGACCATCCTGTTTCCCTCCCCAGTGACGCTTACGTCTGCTTTGACTGACCTTTCACCCAATCTTCGAAGCTCTCCATGGCCTCATGCTCCGGATCCTCTCCGGCCTTGTCATCATTGCCAGCCTCATCACCATCGCCGGCCTCGTCATTATTACCGGCTTTACCACCCGTCTCGCCCGAGTTCCTATCACTGCCCGACTTGCCATCTGGATTGGCATCCGTGTTGCCATTATCGACGGCCTCACTAGCCTCAGTAATCTTCTTCATGAGCACACCCCCGGCCGCCGACACAATGACGCCGGGAATGGCCTTGAGAGCGCCCTTTCCAACCGACTTGATGCCGTGCCAAAGTTTACCCCAGAAGCCTTCAGTGTTCGTTGAAGCCACCGACTCGAACGACTCCGTCGTCGTCAGCTCCACAAGTGTCTCGAGTGCCGCATCGCCCAGGATCAGGCGCGCCTTGAGGCCTTGGTGTACTTTATCTGCCTCGGCCGCCGCTTCCATGTCCTCCTCAGCTTCGTCAGCCTCCCCGGCTTCATCATCAGCCTCGGCGCTCTCGTCGGGCTTCCGGCCATCATCACCGCCCTTAGAAGGCGCTACTGACTCAACAAGCTTGGGCATGCTCTCGGCTAGCGATTCGGTCTCAGCGCACTCTTGCAGCAGCGATAGGAGACGCTTATCCGCCGAGCCGGCCTTGGCGGACTGCTGCAGTAGCTTCTGGATGAAGGCGTTCATGCTCGTCTTGACCTTGGGCATGTTGTCGGTGGCGGTCCCGTTGCCATTCGGTGGTTCACCTGTGGTAGTCGTTGGCAGGACCCCACCTTCGTTGGGATCAGCGTTGATGCCGGCCTCCCCTCCTTGTGCTGACTGGTCACCACCTTCCTGGTCACCACCTTCCTGGTCTTCAGTGTTCTCTTCACCCGCCTCTCCGGGCTTCCGGTTGGCACCGTCCTTGTCCAACGACTTCTTGACCAGGCCGCTAACGCCTGAAATGAGGGCCCCTGCGGCGCTGCTGATGGCCGCGGTGGCCAGCTGTGCGCCGATGGTGCCGCCCTGAATTTTGTAGTTCCAGAACCCCTCAACCCGGGGGCTGCTCCCGATCGCGTGCTTCGCCATCAGGTCCCAGACCTTCAGCCGCTTAATCGTAGCTTTGTCAAGCGAGAAGAGCGTGTCTAACGCGGCCTCACACAGCACTGCGCGACCCAGAGAGCCGGGATCCAGTGATTCGGACGACGCTTCCGTGTCGGCTTCTCCAACGGCCCCCTCTCGCAGGGTAGAGGTACGTTTGGTCTTGGAGTTCCGAGCGTGCATGGAGTGGCAGAAAGCGTGGGCATAGATGGCAGCTAGCTTTCCGGACAGACCCAAAGAGGCGGGCAACCCCACGTCGGAGACGCGCTCGCTGAAGGTCTGGCTGAAGGATTTGCCCCGGGTCATGATCTGCTTTAACTGGTAGGCCTCCGACGAGGGATCGGGCTGTTCTCCGGATTCGGCCTCGCTGCTTTCGTCGTAGTTAACTGCCTCGACGCTCAGGTCGGCCTCGAACGCCTCGTCATCGCCCGCCTCGCTAGGCTGGGCCGTCATCTGCAGCCATGAGACCTGTAGTGGCCCCTTGGGCATCTTCTTCTCCGACATGGCCAGGGCCTGGATGAAGGGCGCAAAGATGTTGCCCATCTTGCCGATCAGAGTGGCCTGGTTGATCTTGCCTCCCATGACGTGGACGCCGATGGAGACACCGTCGCTGCTTCGGATGACAGGCGCACCAGAATTCCCACCGTAGGTATCTGAGCATCAGGTTAGAATGGAATATCAGCTCACATGTTCGTCTAGATAGGATATCAAAACGAGGAACTCGTACCAATCTTGTACTCAAGCAACAACTTGGCTTTGACGACGTCAAACTTGACCTTCATGAAACACTCGTACATGTGTTCGCCTTTGTCCAGATCTCTGCAGTCATGGTTAGTCTAGCCATGGCTCGCACGGAGACCTCCCCTCCCTGTCTATTTATAATGGAGTGCAGAGGAGCGAGCTCCTAGATGGGTAGGTAGGGTTGACAGAGAGTAAGTCAGCTCTTACCCCGGATATCCCACGACTCCGAGCTCCATGTTCCCGACCAGCGGTGTGTCCACGTATTTGATCGGCTTGATCCCATCAAACGGCTTGTTTACCTTGATGAAGGAGACGTCGTGGTGAGACTCTCCGAACTTCATTCACTCCGACGTAGTCGCGACCTTGACGCCTTTGCGGAACTGGACACTGGGAGAACCTGCGCCGGTGTGTGTCAGTCATACCTAACTAACTTCTTACCTAGTGATGAGTAACGCTGAGAGAAACAGTGATAACAACACATACCAATGGAAGCGCGGCCGTTGTACCCTATGTACGCCTTGATCTCCACGACCTGGTTGAGGTAGTGTCCCCAGTCAAAGACGCAATGGCCCGCGGTAACAATCAGGTCGGGGGCGATAAGCCAGCCCGTCGCGATCAGCGTTCTCGGGCTCTTGGTGCTTGGGTCCTGGTACACCAGGAAGAGCTTGACGATGGCTACACCACACAACAGATTTACCGCGTCAGCAGACATTCGGGAAAGTTACATTGATAAACTAGGTACTCAGGGGATTGAAAGACTCACATCTGTACTTCCCACCGGGCCCAAAGTCCCTGGCGTTCACCTTCTTCCGATTATCGACATCAAAGACAGTTTCAGCAGGCGCAGGGCCATTAGTCGAGAGGACGGCCTCGAAACTCTCTGGCGCCTTGGAGCTGGTGTTCTTGAGGCTCCAGACGGCAACGTTGCTGCTCTGGTTCTTTTTGGCGCCGCTGATGCCGCGGTCCTTGCTCGACAGGGCGTTGGAGCTTCCGATGACGGTAGTACTGAACGGAGGCGCAAAGCCATCGTTGGACGGAGACGGCTTGTTCTTGGTAGAGGTGGGCAGGCCGGTAGGGACCTTTTTGTTGGCTGGAACGGTGCCGGAAATGTCAGAAGTCGGCGCGGCGTTATCGTTGTCTTGGGTGGATCCCTGCGGTCGATTGGCGGGCTCGACCCCGTTCGATGCACGTGGTGTTGTGAGTCGATTAGAGTTAGGCATATTGTTGAGGGACGTAGTTGAGAGATTAGAATGAGTACTAGGCAAAGTAGGTATTTATGGAGGAAATGGACTGAGGCTTTCGCATTGATCTGCTACGGAAAAGCAGGACACTTGGGCAATTTATATTCATGTTGCGGATATCAATGATGAGTCCCCCCCTTCCCTCCCTCGTGTACCTAATGATCCATTATGCTCAAATCATGTCAACATTTCGACGTGCCGACGAACGAAGGAGACACTCCCAGCCGCCGCTCCTCCTACCTCTACCAATATTGGCCTCGTTGTTCCTCGCGATGTCTTGTATACATGCAATTTACATAGATCGGTATCACCAACGCCATCACCGAGAAACAGTGTCATCGTACAATAGAGACATGCGCAATCACCTCTTACACACATACGTGCTTGGTATTACAGGGAGCGTCTACCTCTACATCCCACTCTGAGAATGTATCATTGAGTTCTGACCCAACAAATCGAGCCATTGGTCAATTCCATGGCGGTCTAGACCCGTAACGTCTACGATGACACAGAGTCAAGACAGCGGGGTTGATACTCGCACAAGAGCCGAGTATACTCGGACCTTGGTCACACTTCCCCGTAGTAAATAAGCTGGTACAGAATCCGAGTATCTGGGCAATATAGGTACCTACGTACGTAGGCAGGATCAAGTAGGTCCTTGTATCACGGAGGACCACTGGTCCTTATGCTACCTCTATGTTATTTGAAGCTGTGATACACCCGGTGAGGACCTGAAACATCTATGATAGCACAGAGTCTAGGTACCTAGACGGCCACTTTCAAACCTCCTCATTTTCGTCCGTAGGTAGAGGTAGACTCCACGGCAGGCTCAACTTTTACTCTCCTCTCTTGTCGCTCCTCTGTTCACTGGACAGAACTCAATATGCACACTATGGTACAACCTACCTTATATCAGCACAGACATGCCACAGCTGATCTCACCTGGTGATAGCTGGCGCGGAAATTGGCCCGTTCAACCGTAAAACATTGGGCAAATCAATCCGCCAGGCTTTATCCGCCTCGTAGAAGATCTCATAGAAGCGAGAGATGGAAATATGGCTTGAGGGGCAATTTCGAAGGTCCCAAGTAGGACCGACCGACTTGGATTATGAACAACGAACCCATATTAAGAGGGAAAAAGGAATGTCAATGGATAATTCCCATGTGAGACTGCAAAGAGCAAGCGGGGTTCATAGATGCGATGACAGCCCACATCGATGGGATTTAAAGCAACAGCCAAAACATGAGCTAAAGATAGGTAATACACGATTTCGACGAGAACAGTCTCTGAAGAGGTAGTTTGTGCAGTCTATACATACCTACTAATAATAATGTAAGATGGGGTATCATTTTACAACCGAAAACGTTGCTAAAAACATGCTGCCGCATCCGCCGCCCGCTCCCTTGGTGTCTGGTGACCACACGCACCAGAATCCTCCATGGATGTATGTATGTCGCATAGATCCCACAGTTTAACACCCTTTCTTCACCTCATCCATCCCATCCCAACCTACTTTCCGATGTTCTGCACCACAACCCTTATCCAAACCCTAAACAACCAGTGTGGAGGTATTTAAATACTTCTGTCTGATCCTCCTTCTGACACTGGCGTTGGGTTCATTTCAACCCTGTCGTTCCTGTGCTGCTGCCTTGCTTTGGAGCAGGCATAGTCTTTTGCTCTTTCTAAACCTCTTCCTCCGTCTCAATTCTGTTGATCCTGTCGCACCGGCTTCCTCTCGTTCTTGTCACATCCATGACCCTGTATATACTTTGCGTGTTCGATCGCGAGACTCGACATGTTGTAGGTATGTAGAGTCATGAAACGGTTGATTTCGTTGGACGTGACGGTCGACGTGTATTTGGAATCTCATGAAATAGCCCCGAGAGTATGTACCGACTTCAACCCAACCGAACCGATCCGTATTTCTGTTCTCTCCTTGGTGTGATGCAAGCGATTTCTATTTCCCCTTTTCAACCTCGTTGTCTGGTGCCGTTCATTGTGTCCATTGGTGCTATAAACGGTGATGATCGTGCTTCAAATTAACGTGTTTGTGCGTGTTTCTCTTTCCTTCCTTTCGGCCTGCTTTGCTAAAGAGGCCAAACATCGGGCTGGCCAAGTCGAGATAGACCATAGCATTTTGACCAATCTTCCAGAGACTATCAAACGAGCAATTGCCGACTACTCGTAAAAGGGCGAATGAATGCTTTCGTGGTGTTGGCGCATGCACATCGGCATCTGTCCGCCGGTCTGTGCTGTTTTGTGTGATGGACGGGTTGATGGACCGAGTGACTGCGGCCCATGAATGTAATGAGTGTTGGTGTTTGTTGATGGAATACACTCAGCATGATACTGTAATGCCAGATGAATGTTTCATCCTCGGGTGTCGCAAGTGATGCCGGCACCGGGTAATTAGATGTTGTGAATATGTTATCGATCAGTCGATCTGATAATCATCGGCTAGCGGATGCGAGGGTGCGAATTGGCGCAAATCCTGGAAATTCAAACTGTACCGAATGCGCGGCCGTTGACGGATGATGTGTTATGTGATGGTGTGCTGATTTGAATGGGATGGGGTTTGTGACATCCGCCGGCGACATCCACCAAATTTCGGAAAGCTGCGAACCATTTTTCGATCCGAATCGGGCTATGTAACGAACTTTCAAAGTTTCTTTTGTTGGAAGGTATGACGCTTCGTCGCTGTTCAATCCTTTGGCGCAACTTTGGTTTCGTCGTACTTGTGCTTTTTGTCGCGTCACCACAACATCTCATCCTAATACATTATAAAAAAAAAAAAAAAAAAAAAAAAAAAAAAAAAAAAAGAGAGAGAGAGAGAGAGAGAGAGAGAGAGGAGTGTCCGAGAGCGGGGCCCCTTCATGATCTCATCCAATATCATTTTCCCCGCTCTACTCAGGCACTGCACTGCACTGCGCTCACTCACACAACCCTCTGCTTCTTTGTCTTGCTCTTGCCGCTGCCGCCGCCGCCATCTTCTTGTTGTTCTTGTTGTTGTCGTCCATCATCGTCAGCGTGGTTCTTTCCCGCCAGTAAGTGTTTTATGGTGGGATCGGGTATAATCAGCTCCCCTCCTGGTCCTAGTGGAGGGATAACAAGCTCATTATCTATACCTTCAGCAGCGCCGTACCCTTCATCCCGCTCGTTCTCGGCGGCGCAGGGCTCGCATTCTTGGTCGAATTCGTGCTCCTCGATTTGCACGCCAAAGGCGCATTGGCCGAAGACGCCCGTGTTCTTGGCTTCGAGGCACGAGAGCTCTTGGGAAAGGTCTTCCCAGACAAAGTGCTCGGTGCAGTGGGGACACGTGCCCGAGAAGACGATATGGCGGCACATGGTTGTGGGTTGTTTGTTTGTTTGTTTGTGGAGTGTGTTGTGTGTGTGAAGGGATGGTAAGGGGAGAAGGGAATGGTCTGAGTGATGAATCCTATATATCTATATATTGTTCGTGTTGAAGAACAAAAGGGAAAAAAAAGTGCGTTCGTCAAATGCCGACGGTGGAAGGAGGTGAACAACTGGACTGGAGAAAAATACAGTCCCTAAAGGACCAATTCATCGACAGATATGCCGTGGGCCCCAGTCGATGTCTTGTTCTTGGTCTCGATGAGAGTTGCGGTTCGTCAAAGCTGGAGATTGAGGGATTTGGTCACTCCACTTGGCATACCGGGGGATGGAATATTGGGTAGCTTGGAAATTGGCACGATACGGGAATCACGAAGGTCTTCTTCTTCGGGGTTCTGTAACCGGACGAGAGAAAAAAAAAAAAGAAGAAGAATACAGTAGATGGAAATCGATGATGGACTGGATGGACGAACGGATACCTAGCAAACCCCGGGCATCGGACATGTCTCCGGCATCAGACATGATTGGGCTCTTGAAATCGGAGATGATAGTCCGTGCACCATAACAATTGAGTGAACGGCAACCGTTGCAACGATGGTCAAATGCAAGGAAGCCATCACGGCCGGACCCTTGCAGGGCTGATTGATCACTGTTCAGTGACAGGCGAGGGCCATGCTCGCCATGCTTTTAAGTGGGGCTACCTCGGACCAAATCCCCACTTTGACTCCAAACGTCTCCAATAGAAGTAGCGATTCCAGCCGGTGCCGAGCCGTGGCCCGCTGACCCCCGCTTTCCCCGTTCCTCGTACAGCTGAAGCCTTCCCTGTTGCGGTTCGATTTGCCGAGTTTCTTCAGGCGGCCCTTCAGCGCATCTTCAAGCGCTTGCACTAACAGTCCTGATGTCCATCATCTGACCAACCTCAATAACAGCATTCAACGAGAACCTTTCCTCTTCTATTAGCACCATCATCAGATAGCTGAACGAACAGATCTCTTGATCTATCTTTAATTCCATGTATCACACTCTCTCATATCTTTTCTTCGAAAACGGCCTGACCGGGCCTGCCCGAAAACATTACAAAGGAACGCTGTTTATCACAAATCAGTACACCTTCTCTACAAGATAGAAGAAGTTAAAATAACGTCATATCATTTTGAGGAATGGACAGAAGCCAAGCGCTCAAATAGGAGATTTTCGATTCTGAATCTCTCGAGTTTCTACGGTACGTCGGAGGCGGGAGATGGAAATATGGCTCCGGGGGTAACTTTGGGGGTCTCAAAAGAGACCGACCAGTCGATTTGAAATTTTGAGACGAACAAACTTGACATTAAGGGGGACAAAAAGCCAAAGAACTGTAAGATCGCCATAAAAAGGCTCTAGCATACAGGGAACTAAATGGGAAGGGATGCATATATGCAGCGACAGCCCATACAGGACGAAAGGAAGACGCAGAATGAAGGTAGGTAGGTAAAAATAAAACAAGAACCCCACAGAAATAACCTCGTAGTAGCAAATATTAGAGCTGCTCCTCTAGCTCGTGTTCTTCCATCTGAACTTCAAATCCCCATTTTTCGTCCCGGCCCTCTCTATAAATAAACAGCTTCTCGTTCATTTCGTCCTATTCGTAGGCAAACTTCTTCAATTTCCAGGCCGAAGCATCGTCCTTGGCTTTTGCCAAGACCACGAGAAGGTTTTGAGGGCTGTGAGGGTGATGGGCGACGGCATTGAAGAGCTCAATGGGGCTCATTGTGAAAACCCTTGGGAGCTCCCAGAAGCCCCAATGCGTCAAAATAACAATAGAGATCGCGGAAGCACTGGTGAGTGGCGACTAGAGCCATAAAGAAACAGAATTTTGCTAGGTCGCTTTCATCGAGCCACTATCGCTGAGCTTTTTCGCTACAGCACTTCACGGGCTGGGTTATACCCGCATCAACCGCCGCCAACACCGAAATCCTCAGGGCCAGGTTCTGGTACGTCTCGATGATGTCGGTCATCGGAGACAGAAAACTCATTCTGCATGGGAGCACGCCTTGTTTCTGTATTTCAGGTTTGATAGCGTACCCAGCGGCGATATGGCTTCTATAGCTTGAACCCGTGTCGATAACATCGTCACTAAACCGCCAGTGCCGTTGGCGATGAATTGTGCCAAATTTTGTGTTGTAGAGGTCTCGCACCATCTTTGTCAGAATCTCTAGGCGTACGTCATGTTGTACGACGTGGAACGGACGCGGCTCGAGGGGCAAGAAGAAAAGGTTTGGGAAAAACTCGTAAGAAAACCTCGACTGGCTGGGCAACGGGTAGTACTCGCTGCAAAATATGTTAGCCTCTTTCCTCACCCAAGGCCATGATGCGCGGTAGGAGGTGAGTTGAGAAAAATATTTCAGTTCGCCACTTACAGAAGTTCTGCGCTCCTTCCTCGTTCGTAAAAAGTCGCATTTCCAGTGACGTTTAGGTTGTACCGGACAATTGCTGGTGCCAGGGAGCATCGCTGCTGGACATAATGTCCGGCACAGTTGGTCTCGGATTTGAACACCGTATTAACGGTCAAGGAATGACCGTTTGGTCCCGAACTATCGGCAATATCGATGATGAAGAGGTCTTGGGCCCCCTCTACTGGTGATGTCGGGTTGAAGTGGTATGTCTCGCCCACCAAGTCCGCACATGTCACTCAACGGTCCGATACGATCGTCATGCTCTAGAATCTGCGGAACCCTTGCGTTGTCTCTAAGGACCAGTTGTTCGACTAAGAGTTCTGACCGATCGAATCCTTGGGCGAGACGGTCTTGCGAACCACCTTGGCGGAAAACATGAAAAGACATGATGTAAACATGAAAAGACATGATGTAAACATGAAATGATAGGATGTAAACATGAAAAGATAGGATGTAAATATGAAAAGACATGATGTCGGGAGTGATATGCACATCTAACGTCCCGTTGTTACGAATCGTGACATCTCCCTGGTACATCGAGTGACTCCAGAACCAAGCATTGCCGCATGCCACCACACAAAAGATTATGGACACTAGGGCATCAAAGCATCAGTATTGAAGGCACAGGTAACGAAAACTCAAGTATCTAGGTACGGGATAAAGAAAGTGCATACTGGTTAGGTAGGTAACTTACTCCATGCGACCCATAGGGCCTTTCCGCGCTTCACAGCCTTCATGGCTTCAGCCATGCTCGTCGTGCTTTCTCGAACATAATGAACTTTGCTCAACTGAATAAGAGATACCTACCGTGTCAGCAGTTGCGCCTTTGTTTGTTTGAAAGAGGAAGAAAAAAACTTACACTCATTCCTCTCCGTGCGCGAACCCAGAAGCCAATAATACCCCCAATTTTGAACCCAAAGGTGAGAGAGGCGACGCTGATCATGCTGATGCCGGAGACGAGCATTTGGGGTTCAAGCGGGTACGGCCATTCCGCGACCGGGTGGCCTACGGCCTTGGCCCGGAGAATGATGTTGGCTATGAAGCCTACAAGGTGAACAAGAAACCAGAGGTCAGCTGTGGAACAAGGCATGAGTGACTCCTTGTGACTGGACTAACAACTTACCAGCGATGCCCACCAAAATGGAGCAAAAGGACACCCACGGAAACAGCCGAAGCCAGTCGGGGACCCAGGCGGGCCAAGACAACTTCCAACCAGGGAAAAAGAACTTCATCCTGCACGGTGGATGGACGAAAGAAAGAAAAGGGAATTGAGAGGAAGGGATAGGCAAAGGAAAAAGCAAAAAGAGAAGTTGGAAAAGACACACGAAGAAAGAAGTTCGTCAAGATCAGCGAAGCAGGACACGGTACAAGTGCTCTCAAGGAGTGAAGAAGAAAAGGAGAACGACGGGGTGATCAGGTTTCATGGGCATCATTGAAATTTGAAATTGAGGCTAGAAAGTCGGAAGTGAGGATTGCCGGGTGGCCGGGCGACAGCGATTTGGCTAAACAGGAACAAAAGAAGTGGAACCTACATTTAAGGCAATGTCAGTGAGTGTGGGTAAGTGGTTGATTCTGTGGTAAAGTGCTGACCGAAAATGAAAAATACTAGGTACCTCCAGGTATCATCCGTTGAACGTCCTTTCCCACCAACAAAGCCACTTGGTTCGACCTCGCTCCATGACTGTGACGATCCTGTTGCCGTTCCTTCCTTCCTCAGAAATACTAGTCTTACCCGTTCGTAGTATCCTTCAGCTCCGGGCTCTTTCCATTTCAGTGAGTTGCAAATGCCTTTCTGGACAGGTGTAGTTCATTTCTTCCCCTCGAAATGAGACCCGCGAAATGAATGTTCGGGGTGCTGGGAGAAAGCTTGATGCCAACAAACTGCCCGGAACTTGGTAGTCGTTATTGGTTCAGGACTTCACTCTAAAATACACCCTTGGCTAGACCGGGATATTCACCATCTCGAGCCGATGTTATGCTGGTGTGATTCCAAGTGATGAGCGATAGTAAGCAATAGTATTTCAATGCACAGATTGCGTCTTGACCCGGCTATTGAGGTACTGCATGGCTGCATGCGGTGTTAGGAAAGCGACAGGGAAAGAACGATAAGGTAGGAGGGGGATGCAAGATGGCCTTGGATAAATTTGAACTGGCAAGCGTGAGTCCCACACATCCTGCAAGCGACTGCCGAAGATATTCATGCCCGACTGTGCTTGCATTATTTCTCATTGACCTCCGATTATTCTGAGAATTACAAGAAGCGGAAGGATACATGCAATCCAGAAAAAGCCAGCGACAACCTGCATCTCCCAATTTACAACGAGTGTTAAATAGCAAGGACCATCCAACTTCCTACCTCCTTCCCTCTTTCCTCCTTCCGTCCAACTTCAACCACAAAAGCCCCCGAGTCTTTTACACCAATCCCCATTATTTTCGAAGTTGCAACCATGAAGTCTCTTGTCACCGTGGCTGCACTTACCCTGGCTGCCCTTACCGGCACTGCCCTTACCGGCCTCGTTGCTGCCCCAGTTGACTTGTCCAAGTATAACCTCTCCAACTGTACCAAAGCTTACTTGCCTTATACTGCGAATGAAATGACCGGATGGGAGGTTAACGAGGAGCGAAAGTATGCGTACTGCGTCATCACCACCCGCAATTCCACCTTCTTCGACTACAAATGCTTGTGTAGGGGGGGAGACGGCTTGGGATCAGCAATCATCGATGCGGCTCTTCTAGATGGCGCTGTTGAGCACGATTGTGGGCGGGATTACTCCTTCAGTACGTACTAGGTACTTCGTTTCTCAGTATCTTCGTGCCTCGCTGGATACTTTGTGCGGAACCATCCAAACATAGATATGTCCAAGTAAACTAACGTGCCTCATTCGAATAAACAGAGGTAGTCTTTCCCGAGACGAGAAACTTCTGCCGCATTCTGTTGAACGAAGACGCCGCCACTGATCATGGGCAATTGTTGGAACGCTATGTTCCAACCTAGGCAAAACCCTCCTGCCATTTTTGACCCTGTTGTTACCGATGAACTGCCCGACCTTATCAACAAAGACCTCGCCACCGCCACTACTCGTCGGAGTCGATGGGCTTGAAGCAGCCACTTCCCCAGCCGGAGATTGACCTCGTTTCTGCCAAAGAATTGCCCGATACAAGGGTACAAGCTGAATGGCGTATCACAATGCGGTACGGAGTTGGACAGCTACTGCAGATTCAGCAACAGTGGCTTCTGGGGCAGGCGACTTGTGAAGTTTTGGGCGGTTGATTCTGTGCCTGGAGATGATGGGAGATGTACCCACGGAAAAGGGAAGCATTCCATGTGAGAAGGGATGTAGTACTTAGCTACGACTATCTACCTATGTAGATACATGTACGTACAGGGAGTGACGATGAATGAAAAATACAGCAGCAGATACCCAAGCAGTGAGTGGCCGTCAGGGCAGGGGTTTATGCCTGTGTAGTACTTTTCTTCCCAAGTGCACGTCCAAGTTGCGACTTCGACGACTAATGAAGCGACGGCATAACCTTCACTCATAGGCCAAGTGGCTCTGTGCCTCCTTCGTTCATTCGGAGACGGCTTCTGTGGATTTTCAGCTACAAGTTGTACTCCAGGCAGAACCGGGAAGGAACCACCAAAGCTTCATCGGAGACGGCAACCCCTGAACGCTTGGGTACTTGGAATAGAAAGATAAATCACACCAGCCCCTGCCCTCCTTCCCGACCTTCAGGTTTCCATGTTTTCCATGTTTTTGCGTAAGCGCCTCCGGTGTCTTCACAATTAACCACCAACACTCTCCGAAGTCGCCTTTCCTCCTTGGTCAAACTTTTAACTTGTCAGAACCTCCGACGTCTCCGCCTGCTCGCCCGCCTGCGAAGTTTTCCTTCCTCGACTCGCGTTCAAGTCTCGTGACTCCAACCATACCCACTCCGTCTAGTCGCCGCGCAACGACACCCTCACAACGGCCGGTCGCTGGTTCCCATCTCTCGTGGGCTCTAGCTACGTCTCTGGCTCCAGTATGTCGCTATTTTTGTGGCTGTAAATACGCAGTTGGGTCACATCGAACCCCCGTTGTTCACTTTCTTACACCTGCCCTCCAATTTGGCCGTCGTTATTACGATAACTACTCGTCGTTTGGTTCACGTGAACAGAGAGGGCAGTAATACCACATACAAATCGGGGATAGGGTGTACCGGCAACTATGCTGTTCACTTCTGCGTACTTCAGCCGTCGATTGTTCAGTACCGGTTGAATATAACTGGCAGCTCGATTACCTTTACAACGGTAATGTTCGATGCAGCGTATGTGTCCACCGTTTTTGTCAATGTCAACCCCTGCCGCTCATTGACCTTGGAAGAGGAAAGAGGCTAATAAGTTACGCAGTATGGACCAATCCAATGTTCTCCTCGTACCAGGATTTCCTGGGAAATTCGGTTTTCCCTCTCCCTGTCAAACCCTCCTTATATGATGGGCGTCTGGAGCTTTTCGCCAAGCTGGGAAAAAGCCTCTACGGCACGAACTATGGGGCCACGCGTGCTAAATCCTGGTGGCACTACGATGAGGACACGTTTGGCGTCAGTAACCAAAACCATATCGCCGCTGCATACGCCCACAAACCTGATTACCAGGTGGACGGCAGCCTGGCGCAGGACCACCCCTGCAATTTTGAGTTTCTCTCGCCCATGGATGATATACTCAACATGTACCGGCAATTGGCTATAAGAGTTTCGGTAATCGCGGCCGTACATACCAACGAGACCCAGTACGTCCCATTTATTGGGGAAAGAAGCGAGCGCCAGTGGTTGGCGAACAAAGAGCGGGCACAGGTCTGTTACCATGCGGCCATGATTGCGCATATCGTTGGCATTCTGCTTGTTGTTTTTATGCACCGGGGTTTCTGGAAGCTTGATAGGGAGTATTCAATGAGCCCACTGGAGCTCATGAATGCCGTAACCCATGGTTCGGATGAAAGCGCCCGGAGTCTTCTGCATATCTTACGAGAGGCTGAGGAGAATGCTTCGGCATCAAGACTGAAGGGGTTCGCCCACGAGTGGGACGTCGAACACGAGCAACTCGTGGTTTATACGAAGGGAGGAGACGGTCATTGGGGTTTCAAAGTTAAGGCGGAGGAGTACGAGTTGGCAGAGCAGCAGTAACGGTTTCCGCCTACTACCTAGGTATCCACCTACATGCGACGGCCGAGCTTAGTGGACGTCCATGGTACGATAACCGGCATTTGCATTTTAGGTCTCGTCAATTTCATTGATTACGTCCTGTAATGGACATCTTGTGGTGGTTGATTACCTTGAATTCTGGTTAGTTCGGTTCTATCCTCCCGTCTTGATCTTCAAACCAGGAGCAGCCATATCATCAGGTACCAGGAGACCGCAAATCAAAGGGTTACCTATTTTTCACCCTCCATCAACCTCCCATTTGAGCCTTACATCCACCTCTCGCCCTCCCAAAACCCTCTCACACAGCTCCAATACCTCCCCGCATTCTCCTCCCCCCTCGCATGCCCAACATGTCCCGTCCCCGCAAACTTCTCCCCCCTCACCTTCCCCTTTCCCACCCGTCCCTTTTGTGCATCCTCCATATGCGCCTCTACATCTCTATAACCCACCAACTCATCCTCCTCACTATAGATATACATCCGTCCCCTTTCCCTTTCCGCCCTCCCCTTTCCAGGCGTCCTATCATTCTGCTCCCTTGCTGCCCGTTCCAGCGGAGATTCCAGAAAGCGTAGGTGAAGCAGATGGGAAAGGAAGTTGCTCGTCCAGAGGAGGGAGACCCACATGTGAAGTAAGGGGGAAATGATCAGACGGCGGAGGGTATCCCAGAGAGAAGAGAACCCAGCGCGGGAAGCAGGCGGGAGAAGAACGTGCGAGAGGGCGCGGTAAGTGGGGAAGTAAGCTATTTGGCCTGGGGCGGAGTCGAAGATCGTTAGATGTGGTGGGAGACGGAGACGGGACTCGGACTGGAGGAGGTAGTGGTGCAGAGATAGAAGCTGGGCGGAACCGCCGTTGGAGAAGAGGTGGATTAGGAGGGTGGGTTGGTCTTCTTCATCGTTAAGTGGTGTTGATGGAGATGAGGAAGTGAGACCGGTGGTGGAAGAGCCAAAACTGTCGGAACCAGGTTGGAGCATTTCGGAACCGAAAATCTCTCGCAGGACGGGCACGGTGACTTGCATGTCGGGCCAGGAGCTCTTGGGCTGGAAGACGTGCTGCATCTCGGATTTGATGAGGAGGATGGGGGTGGTGGGGAATAGAGCCTGGTAGGGCGTGATGTATTTGGCGATGTGGGGGTCGCGGGCACCCATCCAGGAGCAGAGGAGGATGAGTTTTGGTGGTGAACGGTTGCCGGGTGTGGTGGTGGTGGTGGTGGTGGTTGTTGTTGTTGGAGACAAGGTGGTGGAGGAGGAGGGTCGGTAGAGGTAGACGTGTTGGGAGAGGCGGGTCATGAAGGAGAGGGGGGAGGAGTCTTTGGTGACTGCTTTGACGGTGGAGGCCATCATGTCGATGGGTTGGCTCCTTTTGGGAGCGAATTCAGTGTGTTATGTTGTGTTGTGTTGTGTCGAGAGGAAGAATGAGAGAAAGGGCTGAAGTGGAAGATTGGTGATGACGTTGGTGCGGTACTTCGGGGACGCGGAGTTGGTGGAGCGGGGTGACCCGGCGGAACCCACTAAATTCGTTTTGCGGGGCACCAGCTGGACTTTACCCCGTACTGCACTAACAATTATATGCCAAGCCCAACTGCCAGGGCCACCAACCTTAAGCTCCTGGAAGAGCCAGGCGGCCTGACCCTCTCCACAAATTCCACGTCCACGATTCACCACTTCACAGGTCATGACGGTCAAGACACTCCGCCGGCATTCAGTCGACCCAGCTTTCCGAAAAGAACGAACACTTCCATCAGGATAATTCCCCATTGAATCATTGTACGACACGTCTATCAACCGGCCTTAGATACTTCTTCGCTGGTGATCCTCATACCTCCCATCCGCTCGTGCCTAGCCCGGAACGAGCGCCAAAGCAAGGGGCCGACGACCCATAGCGAGATCACAGACCCGGCCCAACCACCGACGACACCCCGAACCTAGGTCCTGGACGTAAGCAACTATGTCCGGGCTTACGATGAGTACGAAAGAAGTCACACACAAAAGCACAAAGTTCACTTCCCTGAGAGCACAAGGAAACGCAAGTGTGTTGAAAAGAACTTCGCCTAGGTAACTCGTGTCAATCCAAACAATCTCTATGATACGCCAATTCTTTCCCCAAGCTCCTGTCCTGAATGCAGGCAGGCCTGAATCTCTTGACTTTCTTCCATCCTCCTTATCCACCTCTTCCCTTGACCTCATTACCGGCAGGGTAGCCCCTGTGACCCCGAACTGGGTCAAGGAGGCCTGTCTAGGACCAGGTGCGGGCAGGGCGGCCGGGCGTGGGAGAGACGGGACGCGAGGACCTGGGCGAACAAAGGTCCGCCAGACACGTAGTGAGCCGCCGGGGTGGCAGCCGGAACCGAAACCGGGAGGTACGCAGAGAGGAAGCAGTAGTCGGTGTTGTTCGTAAAGGTAGGTAGAGCGTTCTTGTAGATTTGACCTTGCCATCGCCACCAGAAGACTGGAGGCCCAACCTGCTCAAAATACCACAATCCCCGTCGTTGACCTAACCCGTACAGTGCGCTTCAAAACACTGCCATCCTCTACCGACATGGCTGAACGCCTTAATCACCCGACTGCTCGAGTCATTGCGTTGCGACACCCAACACACGCAACAGTCATCGCCTCACCCGTATAAAAGAGGCCATAAGCTCCGAATCCGACGACCACGGCGATGACATGGACTAGGAGTTCAACCCCTCCCCCCCTTCGCAGCAACAGCAGCAGTGCAAGCGCCACCACTTAAAACCACTGGCGGAGCGAATCCGTTCATCACCTCCCGTAGAGGTAGAGGAGGTCGGGGTTCGCTTGGGTATCGCAAGGGGTGTTAGATCCGGCACAAGACGTACAAACCGTAAAGCACAAACTGCTTAGCAGCTCGCTGAGATCGTTTTGGAGCCTCTGCTCAGAACAGCGCCGCCTTGTAATGCCTGGGACTAACTCGCGGCTGCACCATCTATAGCCGCGCGCAGGTAAGGAGGTTTCGCGCGCAGCACAAGAAGATATCAGACAATTCTGCTTCATCACTGGCTAGGTAATTTTTGACTTTGGTGGGCAGGTTGGGTGTGGGACATGGTTTTGGTGGTCAAGCGATTGCAATCCGTGATGGGATCGCTATACAAGGTTCCATGGTTGTGGGCAAAGGTGGTGGTTGGTTGATCAGGCTAGCTAACGGTTTACTACCGTGACCCACGGTTAAATACTGCACCAGAACCTATGCGCCCCATTGCACCCTCCACGATCGAGCTGTCCCGATCGCTCTAGTCTGTCACTCGTGGATTAACATCAGTGGCAATTCGGTTGCTCAAGTGGCCTATAACCTACCTCTATAGTTGTCCCGAAAAGAGACACCCGAGTGCATCAAAAAATAGGTAGTTGTGGCGGCCAGTACTAGGTGGCTTGGTGATTGTGGCTGTGCGGCAAACTCCGATGACACATTTTTACAAAGCGCGACTTTCCATAACCCCTTCTCAATCACATCAGGACGTAATGGCAGAGTCTGACGGATCGGCTTCAGTCAAAGACCATCCAAGATAATTCCATTGGGAAAAGCCTTGATGTCTTCCGCGATTTGTTCAATTACCTAGTCTTGTACGCCAGACGCACTAGGTCAGCTCAGCTATGAAGCCAAGCGGTCCAGTTTCCTTGCAGGTGCTCTTCCAACTTGTCATAAAGATCTTCTTGACGGCCTGGAGGTTGTCTCTTACTATTCAGCCAATGTCGGATCGGTCATTCAGTTCTGAACTTGGTTAGACGATCTACTTCTCGGTGCTGAGTTGTTTCGCGTGCGCCCTATCGATATGGTCGTACATCACAGTAGGTCGACAGTAATTAAACGTCTTTTTCCCGATTCAGCGCGGCCATATCATTCTTTCCATCAAATGCGACAAAGGGTTCGGCCCGGGAGATTTCTCCCTCACCATAACATTGGCATGCGCGCTCTGACACTTGTCCTTGAGGCTCTTCTTCTCGCCGTCAACATTGAAACTCGACCGTCCGCACCCCCGTGAAGGCAAGGCCGAGCGGGTAGCACCCGGACAAGCTGGTTTACGCGATGCCCCTCCAAAGGGACGACGCCGGTGTCGTACGCAACATTAAACGTCAGGAGGGGGGCCAGCAGGTCCCTCGAGTCGGCGACATCATTTCCACCGCCGTTGGGAGCCTGGAGGCACGTTGAAGCGGGGGATCAAGGTGGCATCATGCCACTTGCTGATCACTGATGCGGCCTTTAATCTCTTCAACGTCTTCAAGATGTAAACATCAGACGTGAGGTGTTGCATATGTGACCATACCTCTGCGATGATTGGTGCGATACATTGCGCCATAAATATCTCAATATTCTCGGTTAAGTACGGCCGAGATGCGCCGGCTGGCTGCGGAAACACCGGGGACAAAAGCTCAGTATGCCGAGAAGTATGCCGAGATCTTTTGAGAAGGAGTGAGTCAAGACCCGGGGGGAATCGGATGGCGACCCCGCTCGTCTCTATTGGCAATGGCGTCATGCAAATCACTCATGACCCGATATCGGGGGTCGTATGGAAGAGGTATATAACTCAAGCACCCGCATATTGAGGGGTAACCTGGCCTTTTGCTCCCAAACAACAACTCGACATCTCGCTCTTGACTTGAATCAACAATCTGCTATACCTTTGGTACGCGACCAGCGTCCGAAGAGCCATGACATCTATCACAATGGGAACTCCAAGATCGAGGTAAAGTAAACAAGACAGCTACCGGGTGTCCATGTTGGTACCGCCACAGTTGGTTCACACTTATCGCTCTTCCATGCCTTCTGTGACAAGGTCTTTGGAATGAGTTTGATACCATGGGCCAACTGCGGCGGTACCACGTTGGTCTGAGAAATACCGGCGAACTTGATCTGGATAATACCAGCGAAAGGATTGGCTTCTTGGGACCCCTTCCCCTCCCCTTATCGGAGATCAACTAACTCTAGGTTCGCAGCTCTGCTCGTGTTGCGCCAACATGTCTACCGACAAGATAACTTTCCTCGCCAACTGGTAAACACTGATGTATGCCGTAGCTTGTCGTATCAACCGCTGACGCAATACAGGCACGCTACGCCGTACCATGCACCGCTTTACCTTGCCCAGGCCAAAGGCTTCTTCAAGGAACAGGGCATTCAGGTGGCTCTCCTGGAGCCCAACGACCCCAGCGTACGTAATCAATTCCGTCTCAATGTGCCAGTTCCCGGCTAACAGAGTATGTTAGGACGTGACCGAAATTATCGGCAGCGGCAAAGTCGACCTTGGTTTCAAGGCCATGATCCACACTCTTGCTGTAAGATTCGTCATTCTCAGCCCTCACAAGATGGTCAAGTGCTGATCCTTCACCAACAGGCCAAAGCCCGTAACTACCCTGTCCTCTCGATTGGCAGCCTTCTGGACGAACCCTTCACCGGCGTCGTCTACCTCAAGGAATCCGGAATCACCACCGACTTCAGGTCCCTCAAGGGCAAGCGTATCGGCTACGTCGGCGAGTTTGGCAAGATTCAGATCGATGAGCTCACTTCTCACTACGGCCTGACTCCCGCCGATTACACGGCCGTCCGCTGCGGCATGAACGTCTCCAAGGCCATTATCAAGGGGGAGATTGACGCCGGTATCGGCCTCGAGAACGTGCAGATGGTTGAGCTGGAGGAGTGGCTTGCTTCCCAGGGCCGGGACAAGGCCGACGTCCAGATGCTTCGCATTGACGAGCTCGCGGAACTCGGATGCTGCTGCTTCTGCTCGATTCTCTACATTGGCAACGAGTCCTTCATCGCGCAGAACCCGGACAAGGTTCGGGCCTTTATGCGCGCCGTCAAGAAGGCGACTGACTTTGTCCTGGCCAACCCGGACGCTGCGTGGAAGGAGTATGTTGACTTCAAGCCTGTCATGGGCACTGAGCTCAACAGAAAGATCTTTGAGCGCAGCTACGCATACTTCTCCGAGGACCTCAAGAACGTCGCGCGCGACTGGTCCAAGGTCACCAAGTATGGTCAACGACTTGGCGTCCTGAGCCCAGACTTCACCCCCAACTACACCAACGAGTTTCTTGACTGGGCTCTGCAGCCGGAATCCAGTGACCCTACTGGCGACCAGAAGCGAATGGTTGAGCTTCAGAAAAATGTGGCTTGCTGCGGTGGCTTCCACCGCTTGCCCCTTGGGATCAAGGCTTGATTGGTGGAACAGGGTCGTCTTTGCTGCGGATGGCGGCAAGAGTTTACTTCCAAGCTTGGCTGCTATAGTCTGGGATCTTTTTGCGCAACCATTAGTTTCTGGTGGAACAAAGAGGCTCGTATCTTGATGGCTTCATCGACTCGGTTCCAGATGAGAGTATCGTGTGGATGATCGATGAGGGCCTCAAAAGGTGTAGCTAGGGAGGGCGTCTGCGACATTCATTAGTAAATGTCTTTTTCTCTAGTCTAATTGAGCTGCGCTCTTACACCGTGTAAAATGTGATCTGATATTCACCATTCGTTTGTCTTTATTTGAGATGTTATTGTGTCGACGACGAGTGTCCTTTCCCCCCCGAGACGCAGACGAGCATCATTTTCTTTTCTTAACAGTTTCTCCTAATGGCATCAAGTAACGACGACATACACTGCATCTTCCGGTGATTGAAGAGCAGGGAAAATGCCCAGCAAGCTGCCGGTTGCAGACAGTCAGTCAGTCCCCTCGTCTCGTGCTGAAGGGGCCGCCCGCTTGTTTCCACCGGTCGGGACGTCTATCACCCATGCTGACATGGACTTATCAGGCCAACCTCAGGCACGTTTCACGGATTGCTTTCATGGCTGGCACACATCAATGGCAGGGCTGTTCTTTGAGGCTTGAGGCGAAAGCAGTCTATATCAACGGTCCTGGCTGGCTACCCACTAGACGTGTAGGTATTGTTGACTACATACCTATCATTCCCACCTACTTAGACGAGACATGAATCTCGGGGGGTGACTGACTGACTGACTTATAGATATGGGCTGGTTAGGTACAACAGCTTTTTATAACAAAACAAAGCGCCACCACCATCAATGTTTTGGGCTGGCAATAGGTAAGGTAGGTAGGTAGCGTCACTTTATCTACCTGGAGGTAGGTATGAAAGCATTAGGTATGAGAGACATTAACTATCTCGTGAATTATGGAAGACCGCTATGCTAGTGTAAACTGGAAATTCACAAGGACCTGGATGACATTGACGTGTCAAGTAAGTAAAAAGAAAGAAGTGTAGAGAGAAGTCAGAGCGTGAAAAGGATCCATCAGCTGCACGGTCTACATATAAATCCAGTGGGGGGAAGGGGTTCGAGACGACGTGGAAGCTCCGTGAAAATTCGAAGATGATCATAACTACCTACTTCTCCCAATTCTCGATGAGAGGTGAGGTGTCCTTTGATGATGTAGATGTGTACCTTTGTTCCTGGGTAGGTATGTAGGTACCTTCACCTACAATGCAAGTTCTATCATGCATCCAGATGAATTCTCGTCTCGTCTCAGACATCCTCCTTGTCTCCTGTAAAGGAACGCTCAGCCCGCTTTAAAACAGACAACGCAGTTCATAAACACGCATCATTGTTTCCATGAATGTGTCAAAGAAGTATGTTGTATCTGAGGAACCAAGTTCCTTCGCAGGTGTCTTGGTAGGTATTGAACGGGTGGTCCAGATGGTTCAGTTCCTGGGCTTGCAATGCCTGCCTTCCATCTTCCCCTTTCAGGATTTCATCCCATCTCTCGTCCCAACAGCCAAGATGCCGCGCACCATTCGAGGTCCTTCCACATTCGCATTCACAGAGATGTAGAACCTTACTCAGTCCAATGACGCGTAACACGTCAAATGTCAAGTTGTTGTCCTGGCGACCGACAGCTGGCAGCCTGCCCGGGCTCCAGCGGACCGCTATTATTCGACGTCTCCCTCCCAGGACCCAGGTTGTGTCAATGACCGACCCTTCACATTCACCTTCACCTTGCTGTGACCTTCACTTCTGCCATTCACCAGCAATCTGCTCGTTAGCGTATTGTCCATTCTACTCCTCTTTTTTATTTGACCCCTCCCTCCGTCTTGAACTTTCTCTACCTAACGACAAAACACACAACCGTCAAACAAAACAAAACAATCGCTCATCACATTTCGCAACCCCCATCCATCCTGTTGCACCCTACTTACCTACCTTTATCTCTACTCACCAGATTAGAACGAGCCTGAGCTCTCGAGAACAGACAACGAACGGGCAAAGCTGATCAGTGCCTGTTAACAACATGTCGCTCTCCAAACCGTCAAAAGAACCAACTCCCCCGCCGACGCCCCAAACCGAGCCTCAGGCGACCGACATCCCACTTCCCGACTCGCCCATGGTCCTTCCACCCGCTGAGTCTCCATTCTGGACTGTTGTAGCTCAGGAGGCTCGTGACCTTGCTCGTACACTTCGTGCCATCAACAACGACGAAGATAAGATCCGGGATGATCCTGATTCCGTCAGCGAGATGGACGCCGACAACACAAGCATCCCCAAGCGTGATTCAGCCACCGAAAAGCGCAGCGTGACTCCCTTGTCCGAAGCCAGTGAAGAGCATCAAACTGTCGAGCTCGACGACGACACGATTCAGGGCAATCTTGATTTCGTGAGCGACACAGGCCATACCAACAGCCTCAAGCGCAACCCCACGTCCACAAGTGAAGAGCGCAGCATCACCCCTCCACCCGACCAAACTATGGACGAACAGGGCGAACCATCAGAGCTGCCCGAACCTTTGCGCAACCTCCCAAAGATTCCGGCTATGCTAGCAAAACTGAGCCAAAGAATCACTGACTTCGAAGCCGCTGAAGAAGCCGAAAACAACAGCACTTGCTCTGCACTTCTGGAGAGACAACAAAAGCTTCATGACGCTACTTCTTCTCTTCTCCTGGATGCACTGGCTGTTGCTTCTGTTGTCATGGCTGAGGGACACTCGCATGCATCGATCGATCCATCCCTGATCCCGCTCCCATCTGATAATGAGGAAGAAGACGATATTCAGTCGGAGGAGTCGGACGAGCATACCCCGAGTTTGTCGCTGCCATCCTTTACGAGAGGAATTGGAGGTGGGGTTGGCACCGGCCAACAACAAGATGACATCTACGAAGATGATGCGCTTCTGGGTCTGGGCTCAACTGATATCCCTTTCCCGCCGTCGCTGACTGTGTCGGAATACGATTCGGAATTTGAAGAGCAGGAAACCCCCAGCCTGGTCCCTCAGTTCATCGCCGACAATCTCGAGGCCCAGGGCAAAGACCACCACCTCCCTGACACAATCCCCACGTGTACTGCCTACGACGACATCGACTGGACGGACCTCCTTCCCGCTCCCGTTCCTGAAGACAGCTCATCGACCAAGGCGGTACCATCTTCAAGCTCAGACATCAAATCCTCGCTTGCCGTCCAAGTCGACCCAGCTGACGTCCCGCTGCCTGAGGATGATCCCTTTGGTGTTCCACGGGTTGTGGATGAAGATGATGGCTATGAACTTCCGGATCATTCGGACTTTGAAGCCTCGGGAGACCATGGAGATGGAGACCATGGAACTCAGGAAAATGAAAGTGACAGTTCGCAGTTGTTCGTTGATGATAGGAGCCCGCTGCCTGATCGGAGGCAGCTTGTAATCTCTACTTCGTCTGAAGATGAGAGGGAGGCAAATCTGGAGGAGTCACATCCGAAGGGTGACGCCGAGGCCGATGGTGATGATAGTCAGCCTGAATCCTTGTTAGAAGAGACTGTGGTCGCAGAAGAGAAGAGGCCAAGCAAGGAGGAGAAGGGCAAGGGAAAAGCCGAGCAGCAGCCGGAGCAGATGCTGTCCCCGCGTTCGCCAGTGTCGCCGTATTCTTCGGTCGAGCATCCTGTTGCTTTGGCACCGCCTATCGCACCGGCGGCGCCAATGGGATCTGTAGCACCAATTGTACCAGTTGCACCTTTTTCGCTGGATCATCATATGGGAGCTGATCAGCTCCCACCATCCCAGTCAGTGGTAATCCCCGAACAACAACCCGAACCCGCCCCTTTCCCTCGAGGTACCCAAGGCCAGCCGACCACCCCGCCGACTGCACATGTCCCTGTCTATGTCGGCAAAGCGACAGAACCCAGACTGGATCGTTACTCCCCACTACCCGCCCCTTCATCCCCTTTACTCTCCCGCTCATCCCCATGCAGAGCATACAAATCCTCGCAGCCGCTACCGCGCGAGTCACTGCTGCACTCGGTTCCTTATACCCCAGCGGTAGTGCCTTGGGATGAACAGAAGGATCTCCGTGGGCTGCCTCCGCTTCCCGATCCCGAGCGTCTACCGACGTACACGCGAATCTCGAAGACGACAGATAACTCGAGGGTTATGCCGATGTGGTTTGAGGGGTTTAATGCTGTAAGTCTCTCCCTCTTCCTAATCACCGAACGCCGACGACTAACCCATTTCCTCCGAAATAGCAAGAATGGCTCCTCATCGAGCCCTCCGCCAACATCATGTACCGCCGCATCCGGAACCAGTGGCACCCCTCCCTCCCACAATGGCCGCCATGCATCATCGGTCCCACTCCCTTGATCATGGAACTCTCCCAAATTGGCAAAGACGGTCTAGCCGGCGAAATCAACATCCTCCTCCACTGCGAGCGGTACTCCCCTCCGGGCTTCCTGCCGTGTCCACAACTCCGGTCCTTCACCAACTTCATCCGCGACTGCTTGGCCTTGCAAAATATCCGCGGCATCACGGTCCCCGACTTCCAGACTGTGCATGAGTGCAAGATCTGGCTTGAAACAGTCACCAAGAACGGCAGGATGCTATCCTTTATGGCTCTGCACTGCCACGTCGAGCGCCTGCGGTCCGGTGTCTTGCCCGGTACGCACGAGTTTCTGGATGCGATCCGGGACATGGGATGCCAACTGGGCTGGAACGAAAACGTATATTTCTCCAAGACTTTGGTGTTGCAGGAGTTTAGACATGTACCAAAGTACGACTCGACGTCGACGCCGTTTAGTCTGAGGGGGAATCAACAAACTCAGAATCTGGGCCAATACTTTGGCTACGGCCAAGGCAAGACCACGGATTATTGCATTGCGCTGAGGGATGACCACCCTCACCTCAATATCAGAGTGACGCTTGCGGCGTTGAATACCCTCAACTTTGAGTGGCTGAAGTGGGTAGGCCCGCCGGACGCCTGGGTCAAGACCTGGGATCCTTGCGATGAGGTGGTTGGGCCGCAAAGCAGGACGCGTCTTGCCCAAATAAGACTGAGGAGAAAGGATTTGTACGATGAGTTCACGGCCCTAAACGGACGGGTCGACGGGTGGTTTGAGGATCACCCTGAGCCGCCGAGGACTGCGCTTATTGCGGGAGGTATGGCATCAAGACTTTGCGCTTGTCGTCAGTGCCATTATGCAATCTGTCATCAGCAGCACCATGATGATGAGAGTGTGTGTGAGTGTGATGATGAGACACCCAGTTCATCGGGTAATTCTTCTCCGGGGAGGACTAGGCCGGGTGGTGATGGGCTGCAACCGCTTCCCAGATCGAGACCGCTTCCGGATCCGCCCAGGCCAGGGTTCAGTAGCCTGGCATATGCGGATGGAGAGAGCCTGTTGACAAAAGAAGAACTGACAAGTATGCGTCGGGCCGAAGAAATGATGGACCGGATGGACAGGAAATTCGACAAAAACCTCGAGCATTTGAACCCTCCCAAACGGCGAAAGACCGAGGCCGCTGCCGAAAGGGCTGAGGCAATAGATGCCGAGGCGGAGGAAGCGAATCAGAAGGCCGCAGAGCCTGACACGAGGACCGAGGCGCAGAAGGAAAGGCAGCGCCGAAGGAACAGAAAGAAGAAGGAACAAGAAAAGGAGGCCAAGAAAAAGAAGGCCGCCAGGTCCGAAGTGGTCGCCGAATCGAAGGCTCAGATTCTTGAATCCCTCAAGACCGGCGGGTTTGATCGAGAGGCAATTAAGAATGTGGTCAATGAGACCATGGCAAAGATTGGGCCGAAGCCAGGTGCTCCCGAGGACAAGTCCAGAGGTCAGGCCCTTGCAAATAAAGGCGATCTGAGCACAGAGGAGGTGGCTCACTATCGCAATTATACGAAGTCTCTTTATGCCGACCATCTCAAGCGCAAGGAGGCAGGTGAGAGTACCAAGCTTTTTGGCAAGTTTGAGGTCCCGGCCGATATTTCCGAAGAGGGTTTCTTCGATTTCTTCCTCAATAATCTTGGCATTGTTGAAACCGACGACAGGGGTGCTTTTGCGATTATAGAAGAGGGCACTGGAGGTCAAGACTTGCTTGACAGCAAGTGTGGCGGATGCATCCCCGAAGACGCACACCAAGATGCTGTTGACAATGAGCTTGGACAAGCTAGCATCAAACCCTCGCCAGTCAACGAGCAGGATGTGCCTGCAGAAACAGTCAAACATCAGCCAAAGAACGTTCACTCAACAGCAGGCCCTTCCACACACGATGTTCCGGATCACGATACCGACGGCGTTGTTCAACCAAAGCAACTCGGCAACATCGCCTCAGCAGATATTGCACAGCCTTCTCCAGAGCAGCCCGCCGGTCCTGAAGCTACTCCCAAAGCCGCCCCTAACGATACAACCGCCGCCACTCCCAATATCGCCCCTACTGATACTTCCACCCCTTCCCACGACTTACCTAACCATGACGCCAATTCCACCTCCAACCCGCCTCCCTTCGACAGGTCTAAAGAAGCCTCCAAAGCCAAGAAGGAGCGCCGCAAGCTCCGCAAGCGTCTCGACCGCGAAAAGGAAGAAGCCCGCCTTCGCGAACAAGCAGCGGCGCGCGAAGAGCTCCGTCGCCAAGCCGAAGCCCGCCACCAAGCCGAACTCGACCAGAAAGTAGCTGAAGCCCAAAGGAAGCTCGATGAAGAGAAGGCTCGGCGTTTGGAGCAGCATCAGAAAGAGGAGATTGCTCGGTTGCAACGGGTCAAGGAAGAGGAGGCTCATTTGCAGAAGGTCAAGGAGGAAGAGGCGAATAGGAAGGAGGAAGATATGAGAAAGAGGGAGGAGGAGGAGCGGTTGGCTGAAGAGGAGAAGAAGAGGCAGGAGGAAGAGAGGAGGAAAGATGAGGAGAGGCAGAAAGAGGAGGAACGGATTGCTGAGGAAAAGAGAAGGCAGTTTGAGGAGGAGGCTAGGCTGCAAGCGGAGAAGGAGTGGTATGCCAAGGAGGAGCAGAGGAAGCTCAAGGAGGCCAACCAGAAAGAGGAAGCCAGACGGATCGCCTTGGAAGCCAAGCAGAAGGCGGGACTTGAAGCCAGGCAAAAGGCTAAGCTAGAAGCTATACGGTTGGCTGAGATGGAGGCCAAACGTAAAGCTGAAGAAGAGCGAGAAGCTGAGCAGAAGCGGAAGGCCGCCGAGGCCAAGCGCAAGGCCGACGAGGCAAAGAAGGCCGCCGAGGAGGTCAAGAAAAAGGCCGAGGAAGTTCGTCGTCAGGCGGAAGAGGAAGTCAGGCTTAAGCAAGAGGAGGAAGCCAAGCGCAAAGCCGAGGAAAAGAAACGCCAAGCTGAAGTGAAACGACTGGCTGAGAAAAAGCGGAAGGCCGAAGCCGCTCGCCAGGCCGAAGAACAGCAGAAGGCGGAGCTCAAGCGACAAGCCGAAGTGAAACGCCTTGCCGAAAAGAAACGGAAAGCGGATGAAGCCGCTCGACAAGCTGAGGCCGAACTGCACGCCGAACTGCAACGCCAAGCAGATGAAGCCGAACGTAGAGCCCAAGAAGCTGCACAAAAAGCTAGAGCCGCTCTCCAGGCCGAACTTCAACGTAAAGCCGAGCTCAAGCGCCAGGCCGAAGAGAAACGAGCCGCCGAAGCCAAACTCAAAGCGGAAGCGGAAGCCAAAGCCGCAGCAGAAGCCAAGCGCAAAGCCGACCTCGCCAAACGGCAGCAAGCGGAATAGGAGTCCAAGCGCCGGGCAGAGGAAGCTAGGCAGCGCAAAGCCGCGGAAGCTAAGAAACGCGCGGCCGAGGCAAAGAAGAAGGCTGTTGAGGAAGTTGAGCGTCGTCGTCTGGCTGATCTGGAAGCTGCTGCTCGTCGAGCCAAGGAGGAGGAGCAGCGTCGGCTCAGGGAGGAGGCCGAGCGGTTGAAGAGAGAAGCTCAGGCCGTCCGCAAGGCGGAAGAGGAGGCTATTCGTAGGGCGATGGAGGAGGCGAGGGTTAGACGGGAGGAGGAGGCTAGAATTCGGCGTGAGAAGGAGGATGTTGAGAGATTAAAGAAGGAGGTAAAGGAAGCTAGAGAGAGGGCCAAGAGGGAGGAAGCAATGAAGAAAGCTGCCGATGAGGTCAAACGCCGGAAGAAAGCTCAACGTAAGGCGGAGGCAGAGGCCAAGCGGAAGGCCGAAGCTGAAGCTGCTCAGGTCAAAGCTGAAGGCGAGGCAAAACTTGGACAGATGTTGGGGATTCAGCAGGTTGACAACTCCCTAACACTGGCTGAGCAAAAAGCCACGCCCTTCCACGAACAGCAGATGCTCCTCCAAGAAGCCTGGCACCAGATCGACGAATCCCTCATTCTCTCCCAACAGGCGCATAACTCCCTTCTTCGTGCTCAGCACCACAACTCTGAGGCCTTCCGCCAACTCGGAGAAGCCGACCTTCTTCTCTCGCTCTCGCAGGACGTCTCGCAAGACTGCCAAAATCCCCAAGATAGTCCAAATCTGATCTTGGCCCGGCTTCGCTTCGACGAAGCCATCCTTCAAGCCCAAGAAGGCTACCGTCTCCTCCAAGAAGCATGGGACTACCACGATTCTTCAACTCGCACCGCCGAGCAAGGTCATCGTTTGCTAGTGGAAGTCAGCCACGATGGAGAATACGAACGGTCAGCCGCGCAGTACTCTTTAGTGGAGGCACGCCATCAAAATGACGAGGCATTTCGGAGGGCGGAGGAAGGTCGCAGCGTACTCGAGAAGGTGTTTACAGAGATGGGAATTCCTCTTCACCATGAGAAGAAGGAGGGACAGCCACTTGCCGACCGTGACACCCATATTCCCGGGCAAGAACCCGGCACCATCCCCATCACCGCCCCTCCCGCCACTCACCACCAGCTGTCTGACCCGGAAGCCGACGCCGATACCGAGACTGCGTCCTCCAGCTTCGAGAGCATGTCTACCACCACAAGCGGTGACCAGTCGGAAGCTCCAACCGACAACCGTCCCTACGAAGAGCGCCTAGCGGCCTTCATCAATAATCAACTCCTCACCTATGGCGTTTGGGACCCGGAGTCATTTTATGTTCGGTATGACCCGCGCAACCCAAATGGTCCGCGGGCGCATGAGATGCCAGTGATGAGTGAGAGAGAGCGCCTTGGGGATGCTGCTGGCAGCGGCGCAATGCGTGCGAAGGAGGCGTGGTGGTGAGTTTAGGTATTGTTGTCGCTGAGCGAGCCAGGGACGAGCAATGTTGGCGAGATTGTGGTGTGCCAACTTCGGGTTGCAGCTTTCATGGCGAGCATGTCGGGGTATAGATGACTTGGAGGTAATATGGTAGCGAATATCACGGCGCTCATTGTATTTAGAGAGCCGGTTAGATTGATTGAATTACATCATGAGCAGATTTTCCAAGTTCAAAGGTTGAAGTTGAGGGCGTTCACAGCACTGTAGACATTGTGAGGTGATTGCGTTGAGTGTGGCATTGCGTGAGGAATCAAAATGATGATGGTCACTAATCCAGGTGAGTGAGCGTTTGTATCAGCGTTTGTAGGTTGGGTAAGTTTGCCTGGATGGTGTCGTGATTGATCCATCCCAAATTGGAAAAAGATGATGGGAGGTGATGAAAGGGAACAAAGTTGGGTCGGATGACGAGAATTGCAAGCTTGCTCACGATGCACTACAGAAATTGTTAGTACATGCCATAAAATGCACCAGCACCGAGCACCCGAAAACGAGGCACATACCCTAACCCTACAATATGTCCTCAATAATCGGAAGTCAAGAGCGATCGCAAAGGATCAGAACTTTGAAATGAGCGGCGGACGGAAGAATGTTTCTTTTGGCGGGAAGGCAATGGAAAAGAAGTAAGAGCAGGAGGAATGGGGGAAATGTTTGATTGACGGCTTGTTTAGGTACCTAGCTGATGAAGACCATGCGAGGGGTGGGTTCAGTTGCCAGCCCATGTCCAGATACCACCGAGATGGAAATCCACGTTGGGATACACCTTCCAGAGGTCTTCGACCAACTTCAATCTAATGTCTCAACCTCGTTCTTGCCCTCGTGGTTAAATAGCATGTTTCTCGGCCAGAACCATTTCCCCATCATGATTCGTTCTGTTCCTCCTCCTGCTCCTTCCCCATCTCCTCGCTCTATAAGAACTGAACCATATTGACCGACATATGCTGATCCGGTTCCAGGTCGACAAGCATCATTATCCTTCTAACCTCAGGTTCAAACTCAATAGTACCGGGAAGTGCGTCATCAAGAGGTATGGGAGGGGGTATCACGGGATATATATCAGAACGGTAAAAGGCAAGTACTGAGAGTGTCTTTTCGTTATGCTACCTATCTCGCTAATGGTCAAGTGAACCAAGCCTCGTTCTTGCCTATCACACATACCGCTACACATACTACAACAACACATCATTCGGAATAGTCAAACTGATCAAAGAATTCCAATCCCAAGCCACACCTAAAAGAACTCCAACCGGCCCAGGCCCAGCCGCGACCGCAACCCACTCCGTCTCTCTTTTGTTGATTCCGCGCGCTGCTTTTTTGTGCCGCCGTCGCTCGAAAAAAAAAATCGACAAGACAAGACCAAACCAAACCCTTCTTTGGTGCCAAATGTTTTCCCATCGTCTGTAAAAAGAACCCGCAACTTTCGTATTGCAGTGTAGCGAGGTATATGGTAGTAGTAATAGGGGGTATTATATATCAACGTCTTTGCTTATGTGTATGTAGTCTTTCGTTATCCTCCTTCGCTTTTCCCGTCCTCTAGTGAGTCTGGAAAAGACTTTTCTCGGGACTAGGGTCCTCATGCTTTGCCGTGCTCCCCTTTCCTCTCCACGTGCTAACAGCCTGGATGTTGGCCTTGTAAGTCTGCACCTCGGTCCCATACGCCCTCGGTGTCAGCTTGATCAGCGTGTGCAACGGCACGGGAACCCAGGGGCTTTCTTCTTGCGGTTTTTGCATAAAGTATGCATATATGCAGCGGATCACGGCCTGATGCGAGATGATGAGAATGTCCTCACTACGCTCCAGCTCCATGATGATGGGCTCCAGTCGAATCACCACGTCGCGGTAGCTTTCGCCTCCGCGATACCGGTAGTTGTACTTGTCTTCGTCGCGCGCTTGGAAGTCATCTGGGTACATGTCCGCAATCTCTTGGTACGTCATGCCGTCGCACACGCCGGCGTCGAGCTCGTCCAGGGCCTTCCATTGTAGCTGGTTGTAATGTTTTGGTAGGTGGCGCGCCGTGGCAATGGTGCGCTTTAGTGTTGATGTCCATACTGTCAAAGGGCGGTCGCTCTGCGGAAAAATGTTAGACTGAGTGGTGCAACAACAAAGAGTGCGGGGCAGGGAGTAACGTACACCAACGGATTCTCTTACTAGCTCGGGGAGCTTCCGCGCATACTCTTCACCTCTGTGCGATAGCTCGGCATCGCCACCAATACGGCCTTCGAGATTGAGCATGGACTCGCCGTGCTACAAATCGTTAGCATCCCGCCAAACTGATAGGGACAAGCGGAAATACGTACCCTTGACAGCCATACTGTTCGAGGGCGAATGTGCAAGTTCATGAGGTAGTACACAATACGACTTTGCAGGTAGTCGCGGATGCGGTTGATGATGACTTGCTTCCCCACGTTCATAATCTTGAGGAAAGTCAAATCCTCCTCGTCGCCGTCTTGGTTAAGCGATTTGTACACCTTTTCGTAGTTGCGTATGCGATTGCGGAAGTCGAGCGCCGCGGTTTCGGGATCTTGGCCCTGGTAATCGGGACTGGTGGTCTTGACGTCGCGGATGTTGGCCATAATCATGTTCTCGTCATCGCACTTGGACTCGACAAAGATGACCTCAATGTTGTTTTGGGTCATGAGATCGAGGACCCATTTGCGCCTCTCTTTTGTGCTATTGGTGGCATCGAGGATGCCGACAACTCCTCCCTTCTTGAACCACCTGAGCATGTCGGCTACCGCAGCCTCGGCAGCAGCGCGACGCTTGCGCTCTCCCTCCGGGTTGTTGGGTTCGAAGAAGTCGGCGGACGGTTGGGGGGCATCTGTGCGTCTGTAGTTGCCGACATTGAATGTAGCGGCGGGGATCGAGAGCCAGGCAAGATAGCGTTGCGCTGGGACGGGGACTGGAGTTAGCAATTGGACCCCATGGAACAAGACAACAAAGCTGGATGATATGGCATGGTACCTTTCTGTGCGATATAGCTCTTTCCACGGGCCGGGAGACCCACCATCACCACGCAGATGCGGGTGTTCTCAACTTGCACACCAATGCCGTTTGTCCTAGGGGCCATGATTGCTGATGTGCTGGTGTACTGGGAAAAAGGTCGAGGTCGGGGAAGGGCAGGAAACGCTGCGAGTACATGTAGCCACCAAATTGGGCACGCAGTCGTCGAGTTCTTGTAGTCCTGATCAAGTGTAGTTGACAAGTACGGTGAAGCAGTTGATCGCGTGAGGCAAGTCGAGTTGGGGTAGTGCCAGTGTCCGGGGACTTCTTGGCTGACAACAAGGGCAGTTGGTAGGCCGGTATTGCGCAAAGGCTTTTCAGGTACCTGTTCGTCGACGTAGCAGGGCGTTGCCGGTGGAAACGTGGGGATGGCAAGTCTGGACGTCGTTGGCGGATGCGATGGCAGCGGCGGCGAGACTAGAACCGAACGGGGATCGGGGACGATCTCTGGCGAGCAACAGCAATGGCAGCGGCGAAAAATGCTGTGGAAGGAGAAGAAGATGGGAGGGAAGAAGAAGTAGTAGTAAAGGGGAAGAAAAGTAGGTAATAGGTGAAGAGGAGAAGTGAAGGATGTTGAAGAATGGAAACGGGAATATGACAGTAGGTAGGTATTGATCGATAAGGATAAGGTAATGGTAACGGATGGATGGATGTACCTGTTTAGCAAGAGCTGCCCTGCGCCATGGCCGGTTCCTGTTGCCGCAGTACGTACCGGTCCATGTACGGTACCTTACTACGAAATCCAAACTCTCATCCTCTTTGAGGATCCACAAGCACAGCCGAACAACTTCCCTTTGGTTGTTGTAATTACTAACTATGGAAGTCCAAATTAGAAACAGTCACCCCCAAAAGATTCTTGAACTTTTTTTTTTTTTTTTTTTAGACACGATACCGGGCACGAGGACATGGCCTTTGGGCACCTTGTCCCTGGCGGTTCCGTCACCATCGGAATTCTCAGGGAAGACGGGAATTGCGGTGGAATTACCTGGCCTGAAGCGGGCAAGCATGGGGTACTAGTGGGTGCAAATGGGCTGCATTGGCAGGGCAGGCAAGGCACAGGGCACAGGGAAGCCAGCGGGAGTCCACCGAGACACCCACTGGAAGCCCACCCGCTGGAATGGGTCAACCCGGGTTAGGTAGTTGCCTCTGCCCTGTAGTGCCCCTGTACCTTCTTTTTTCCCCCTCTTCGTGGCAGTTCGGCCGTTACGTACAAAACCATCAGAGTGTAACATTCCGTCATTCACGATCCAACTCTTCACCACCTATGACTCCCGTCTGCTCTCAACACATGACAATCCTCTTACGTTTCGGATTGATCACAAACAGCAGACAAACCCCCAAGATGGCATCATTTGGCTAAACATCGGAAGGAAGACTTTACTCTGAAGCGAAGGAAAGATGGAAAAGATGGAAAGACTCACAGCCCGATTCACGCCAAGCATCACCGTGCCAAGCAAGGCCAGCCAAAAAGGTTCCAGCCTTCTACCTACTTACCAAGACACTGCAATGTTCCAAGTTCCAGTCAGCAACCACCAGTCTCACCAGTCCCGTCGTTTCAACTCCCGACGGGACCCCACCCTTGACGAGATGGAGAGAGACGGGACTCACAAGGAACCTTGCCAAGACTGGAGATGGCTGCTTCTCCATGTCATGGCTGTTTTCCGTCTGTGATGAAGCTCACGCAAGGCAGGCGACAACCGCTCGGTTCGGTGTTTGACACTTTGGACGACGAACCGTGAGCTGGTTGGTGTTCTAGCAGAAGTAGTCCCGCCTGACCATCTGATGACTGTGTAACTTGCCCCTCCATTCGCTATTGAACTGTGCGTTAAAACTCCAGGTCCGGATTGCCAATAAGAACAAAGTCCGAATACAAACATCTTTTCAGCTTTCAGTCTGGAGCAGGTCAAAATAGGAAATCATAAACATCAAATCTGTAGTACACGTGAACGAAAAGTTGAGAAGCATCTGCAGGTTCCACCGACAGACCGCCATGTTGAACCCTTCCCTTTTCACCTCGGGAGAAAGCAAACCGCGATCACAGGGACCATGGTGGGGGTTCAGGGCGGTATGCTAAAGGAAGGTCCTTCCCTAACTTTATACGGCTGGGTGGCAGCACTTGGCGCGTTAATGCGAGACTTGAAAGTAGAGCTCGGCAACACCGATTTCGGGGTCTCTTCCCGCTCGCCCGTTGACGTGCGGCTTAGTTATCACGGTCTGCACGGCAACAACGACAACGACCCCAAACGGCAGAAGTGCACATGCACTGATGTAGGTACCGTATCATCTCATCCCAGGCATCTTCGTTTCCCAACAACTAACTGAACATGAGGTGGTGGTGGCCAAAGAAGCAATATGAATGTTCGGGATCATCAATCAATTAACTGGGAAAGAAAAAAAATTGCAGTTTTTGGGCGAGAAATTCCCAGCCCAGTCATTGAACTCGGAACACCCGAAAAGCAATCATGACGTGCATTTGCCCCTCAAGCGGAGGCCGCGGAGTTTGGTGTAACGCTACGCTACTGTACGTGTAATGACAGCGACAGAAATTCGTGGGGGAAACCATATCAAACCTTCAAGACTGGAGGTGAAGACCATATAAGAGACAACTGAATAACATCGACTTATCATTGCGTCTACTTTCATCTTCCACCTGTTCTACTTGCCTTTGTTTGCCCACTTGTGCTTCTGCAGGAACCTGTCCTGTCCGTTGTGCACAGTCGAGTTCCATGGGAAAGGTAAAAGGTTGAAAAAGAGAAAAATGTGGGGTACACGAACACGGCCGGATCGAACCATGTAACGAAACACTGCCAGGAACCATCGATCGCATCGAAAAGAAGCCGACTCAATAACTAAGAAGATATCCATCAGCTGGAGAATACAAGCGGGAGTGAAGCCATTACGGTTCTCAAACATCGATTTCGCCCGAAATATTAGCGGGGGCAGGCAGGCAGGCAGACAGGTTAGGAAAGAGGTGCCCGCCTGAAGATTAATTCTCCGACATAAGCAGCATTCAACCCCGCGGAAAGGTGAAAGATGGCGGTGCAGTTCCTCCTGCCTGCACTTCTGAAACTTTGAACCCCCAAGTGTTCAGTTCACATGACTCTCTCTCCCTCAAATAGGCGGGAACGATGACACGGTCATATGACCGAAACCCCGAATTCGCTAGATTCTTTTTTGTCGACGGACCCTGAAGAAGGGTTTTTGGGATTTCATTTCTTTTTTGGGAAGGCATCAGGGCGGTGTAAAAGAAATGCTGTGCGCTGAATCCACCCAGCTGTCAGGGGGAAATAGTCTTGTGGAGACAACATCCCGCGCCCAGTTCATTCCCCATTCCCAAACGAGAATTACACGTACGCGTGGACGACTTGTACACGCAAGACCCGAGCCCAGACCAAAGACGAATCAATACCAGAAATAACGACAGCATGGAAACAAGTTTTCGAAGAGATTTCAGGCGGAGATGTTATCTGTCTGTCTGTCAGTTCCATTTACTGAGGGCTTGGATCCAGTTATAGCAGGACTACCTTGAACGTGTGAGCTGAATAGCAAACAGAAGGTACCTAGAGGTACCTACTTAAGGACAAGAGACCGAGACCCGTCACCCTTTCTCTACTTACGTAGAGGTAAAACCAACCCTCCCGTCTTCATATCCTATTTACTCCTCTTCCAACGTCAATTCCTAAGAGAACACACTTGAGCCCATAATGATTTAGGTAGTACTTGTTTGAGGCTGAACAAATGAAATGGGGAGCCTCTTCCAAGTGGAGATATCACTGTCACGAAAAAGTCAGTACAGTGTATATAGTACGCTGCCCTACCCGCGGGCCCTGGCTGTCTATTGCATGTGTAAATTGTTGATACGAAGTCGATCAACACGATTCCTAGAGGTATGCTCTTGTCTGGAGATCATCCCTATCCGCTCCAACTGAAATGACTTCTAGACTAGGTACCTGAAATGACCCCTATTTTTTTTTCTTCAGGTCAAGTGACGGCTGGTGATTTTCCGGGTACCTAGGTAGGTGATCTTCCAACCGCCCAGTCGGGATGTGCCCGCCCCTGAACGAGGAAAGCATCAACCGACGAACCGACGAACCGACGACTGTCCGTTCGGGTTCGGGTCGTTCCTTTAACCCTGGGTATGCCAAGCTTAGTTCGACGCCAAGCCGGTTAACTATTCGGGTGTGTCAGGACTACGTACTTGTACAAAATCATGGGGAAGCTTACCTAGGTACTTACAGGGCTGGCTGACAGCAGTGGCGAGAAAGGAAGAATGGATGGAAATTCTTTTCTTGTTGTTTGTTCTGGCCTAACTATCCAGTAGGAGTACTATGCAATTGTTTCCAGATTCATGCTGTGAAAGCTTACAGGTTTAGTCAGTGTTTGTGTAGTGTATTATCTATCTGCGTACTAGGAGATGCTCGTATGACCAGGCAAGATCGAGCAAGCATTGATGTTCGGTGTTGACGAGGTCCATCGAACGAAACCCTTTACAGACGAAAAGCCTTGTTGTCTACCTGTCGGTTGTTATGGCAAGCAAGGAACGACCCAACGGTATCTCCCGTTACTTCTTCCATCCATGTCCTCTGCTCCCACAGTCCAGCCCTACAAGCAAGGCTCATACGTAGACCCCATGCCTTGTTTACTAGCCAAATTCAATCGCAAGGGGCAAGCGGGAGCTAGTCGATTCGAAGCCAAATGACCAGCCCGATCGGCTTGAGCCGTGTCTACGCCTCCTGGGGCACCACTTGGCAGCAGAAAGACGGAGAAGTGAGATACAGCGTGCATCAACATTTGACAAAAACGAGGTTTCTAATCGAGAACCAGAAGTTCTTGTCCGAGTTTATGTTATAGGATGCCTTCTGGATTGTTTCCGTGGTGTCTGTCCGTGGTCTTGAGCGAATGTTGAAGAATAAGGCCATGGGACCAGATTATATGATTGACATCAACTTCCGTGCTGATACCTCCCATTGGAACCATTCTCAGCTTCAGACCGTGGAATGATGCGACCCAAGGCAGCAGTGGGCCAAAGACCGAACCACACTTGTGACTCCGCCAACTCCATGAAAAATGATCATGTTTTTATGTAATGAAGGTCCTGTTACTTCCGACGTGACCAAGATAGCATCCCGTCAACCTTGGGAATATGAAGGAATTCGGAGGGGTTCATGAAACTTCACTCAGCGAATGTAATGATGCGAGGATATTTATCTGCCATATATACTGTCATGTATCGACCCAGGAGCCTCTCGGCAAGTGACACTTCCAACCCAAGGACCCGGATTCGAAGCTGACTGGAACGTTTCAATCTCGCGCCCTGTGTCCCGCAGCCTGGAATCTTTTTAAGTTGACCCAAAATATCTATCGTTGATCAAGGCAATCTGTAGCCTGACTTCGGACTTTCGTCAAGACCTTCGAAGTCATCCACTGGACGGGAACTGCAAAGTCCACCAGGCCATTGACTGGTCTGTTTCAATCCACTAAACCTTTGTAATGAAACTGTAACATAAGAAGAACACTGCAATGCCAGGATCTTAGAGGTACTGTACAGCGTTTGCATATCCGCAGTGTAGAGCAATGCCATCATGGATGACATTCAGAGCCTCATTCCGGGAGAGGGACTTCAAATTCGAAAGACTGAGAAAGTGTGGTTATACTGAGTTATATCGTACTTATGACAGGTGGACTGATCACGAGAGAGGTGGAAAGCGTTAAGATGTTGAAAGAATCCGAAAAAGGAAACAGCATGATCTAGATTTGAAAATAAGAGGAAATGTTCTCGACGCTCACAAGCAATTGGGCGGACAATTGGGGTTCTGGGGCTCGGCTGATCTGCAGTCAAAAGTGGGGTCATAATGGGACGGCTGTAGCGCACAGACCAGGCTTTTGCCAGGAGGACAGGGCAGAATTGGCAAAATTTTCACCGCCTGGTATAATCCCTGGTTATCGAACAAGCGATAAGAAAAAAATCCCCAGCGAAAGAGAAGAAGGCAGAGGAAGAATAACAGATTCGACTCGCTGGGAATTTGAACGGAACCATTGCGACGCCCTTTTCCCAGAGTATCGCAACCACCCACCGACACCACCACCCCCCCACACCATCACGATGGCTTCCGAACTCAGCAAGAAGCGCAAGCTCAAGGACGCCAAGATTGCGACCGAAGATGGTGCCGCCACCGACAAGAAGACCAAGAAGGTGAAGAAGGACAAGAAGGAGAAGAAGGCCGCCGAAGAGGTCGTCGAGGACACCACCCCCGAGGAGGAGAACGATGCCCCAAAGGCGGAGGAACAACAAGATGGCGACGAGGTCATCCCCACCGGCAACGAGGACAAGGAGGACAGCGACGACAAGGACGCTGAGGCCGGCGACGAACTCACAAAGACCAACGACTCCCTCATCGCCCCCTCCATCGCGACCAATGCCACCGACTTCTCCGAGCTCAACCTGTCCGACAAGACTATGAAGGCCATTGCCGAGATGGGCTTCACCAAGATGACCGAGATCCAGAGGAGAGGTATCCCGCCTCTGCTCGCCGGCAAGGACGTCCTCGGTGCGGCCAAGACCGGTTCCGGCAAGACCCTCGCCTTCCTCATTCCCGCTATCGAGATGCTCAGCTCCCTGCGCTTCAAGCCGAGAAACGGTACCGGCGCCATCGTTGTCACGCCCACCCGCGAATTGGCCCTCCAGATCTTCGGCGTCGCCCGCGAGCTCATGAAGAACCACTCCCAAACATACGGCGTCGTCATTGGTGGTGCCAACCGTCGTGCTGAGGCCGAGAAGCTGGGCAAGGGCGTCAACCTGCTCATTGCTACCCCCGGTCGTCTGCTCGATCACCTGCAAAACACTCCCTTTGTGTTCAAGAACATGCGATCGCTCATCATCGACGAGGCCGACCGTATTCTCGAGATTGGTTTCGAGGACGAAATGCGCCAGATTATCAAGATTCTGCCCAAGGAGGACCGTCAGACCATGCTCTTCTCCGCCACACAAACCACCAAGGTCGAGGATCTCGCCCGTATCTCGCTCCGTCCCGGTCCTCTTTACGTCAACGTCGATGAGGAGAAGCAGTTCAGCACGGTCGAGGGTCTGGACCAAGGCTACGTTGTTGTCGACGCCGACAAGCGCTTCCTACTCCTCTTCTCTTTCCTCAAGAAGATGCAGAAGAAGAAGGTCATTGTCTTCTTCTCGTCCTGCAACTCGGTCAAGTACTACTCCGAACTGCTCCAGTACATCGATCTCCAGGTTCTCGATCTCCACGGCAAGCAGAAGCAGCAGAAGCGCACAAACACCTTTTTCGAATTCTGCAACGCCAAGCAGGGCACCCTCATTTGCACGGACGTTGCCGCTCGTGGTCTCGATATCCCCGCCGTTGACTGGATCGTCCAGTTCGATCCTCCTGATGACCCGCGCGACTACATTCACCGCGTCGGTCGTACCGCCCGTGGTAACAACACCAAGGGCCGTTCGCTGCTCTTCCTCCAGCCCAACGAGTTGGGTTTCCTCGCCCATCTCAAGGCCGCCAAGGTCCCCGTGGTGGAATACGACTTCCCCAAGAGCAAGATTCTCAACGTTCAGTCCCAGCTGGAGAAGCTGATCGGCCAGAACTACTACCTTAACCAGAGCGCCAAGGATGGTTACAGGTCGTATCTCCACGCCTATGCTTCGCACAGTTTGCGGTCGGTGTTTGATATCCATAAGCTTGACTTGGTCAAGGTGGCCAAGGTATGTTTTTTACATTCGTTTTCCTCTTTTTTTCAGTTTGCACAGTGGAACGCTCACTAACAAACTAAAAACAGTCCTTCGGCTTCTCCACCCCTCCCAGGGTAGACATTACCCTGGCCTCCAGCATGTCGCGTGACAAGAAGCAGACGAGCAGGAGAGCGTATGGTAGCCAGCCGAAGCAGAATCGCCACTAAGCGAGGCGGGATTCGGTGTTCGTCTTGTTGTTGTTGTTGGTTAGAATACGAAAAGGGGATGATTTGTCAATGTTCTCTCTTAGATATCCATCGGGCATTCGGTGTGGAGCATAGTGGTGTTTTCTTTTGTGTTGCTCACTTGCTGTTGTTTCTTGTTGTTGTTTGCGCAAGCTTCCAAGGCGTTTTTGGTTGAAAAGTAAAACTGGGGGGCTTCAAATCAACAATTAATTCTTACTTTACGTTGCTTTCCGTTGGTGTGATGTTTTCCACGCTGTGCCGTTAAGGTTAACCTTGGGCGTCTTTCCATCCGAGGATACAGAGTAGTTTCTTGCTGTCAGTTTCCATTTGATGAACGATAGAGAAAATACCTTGAACTGGCAACAGCATATCCATTTTACTACAAACTGGAAACATCATTACGTTGACATAGCAGACGGAAAGCATGGAGGTCCTGAGTGTCACACTCAATCAAGGTTCCTTTGTAGGGATACAAAGTCAATAAGTACCCAGATCAGCTAGATATCGGTACCAACTCAACACTAACCTCCAACAACAAAGCCTGAGACAACCAACTGATGACAGTCTACTATTTCGAACGACCTACATCAAGACCTATTCTATCTGCAGCCCCAATCGACCCCCGAACCTGAAACCAACAGACGGAAACTCCCCGACACAAATCCCAACAACTTTACCAATTTCATCTCGTCCCCAATTCCCCCCTTTCCTTTCCCCTCCCTTCCCTTCACCTCCCATCACTTCCCTTCCCCTCCCTCATATCCCCCCGTTGACAAACAAACTCAATAAAACTCCCTCCCCAAAAACCTCATCTTCCCCCTCCCCACATCGAAAACCGTCAAGGCATTCTGCATAAACACATCCCCCAGAATATACGGCCCCGCGCCCCCGTCCGCAATGGCCGTCATGCACAGCCCCGTCAACGGATCGACCATGTCCTGATTGATCAAGTCGACAGGATTCAAGTAAAACGTCTTCCCGCCCAAGATCACGCCGACGCGCGGCACGATGGCGTCGCAGGAGGTGAAGTAGGCGCCGTACATCCAGAGGTAGATGGCGGGGGGTTAAATGCCGTGTTGATTTGTTGGGCTTCGGCTGTACGAAAAGGGGGGGCGGGGGTTAGTATTGGATGGAAGAGGGGGGACAAGAGGAAGGGGGAAAAGGGGGGGGGAGGAGGGAGAAAAGAGGAGAAAAGGAGAGAAAAGGAGGTTAAAAGGGGGAAAAAGGAGATTAAGAGGGGGAGAGGGGGGAAAGGAGGTTAAAAAGAGACATACCAGACGGGAGGTAGCAAAGAGTCGTTCCGCTGTCGACGATATAAGGGAATTTTCTCGTGTTGGTGTTGGGGCCGAATTGCCACCCGTCCGGAATGACGGTGTAGAAGGAGTAGTCGTAGGCGGTCTCGGGGACGTCGATTAGGTTTGTCTGTTTTGATCCTTGGTCAGTTATCATCACAGCCTCTTTCCCCAAAGTTCTTCTCTTCTTTATCTCTGTTCTGGGGCCAGTCACTGCCAGGACAGGGATAATAAAAAAAAACTCACAATAATCATATCCAACTCCACATCCTTCCCCTTCTCCAGCCCCGTAGCAGGCGGCAACCCACCCCAAGCCAACAACCCCGAGCTAGCATTCCGATCAATCGTGATACTAAACAGCGGCGGTACCGACCCCTGGTTGACCATACTCGTGAACAACGGCGGGTAGTAAAGCTGGTTGTAGGATTCATGCCCATCACCACCGCCTAGTCCACTTCCACTTCCATCACCTCCTTCTCCCCCCTCTCCTCCCTCTCCCCCCTCACCACTCCCAGACCCAGACCCAGACCCAGACCCGGTGGGCATCCCCCCTAAATACGCATTCGTCAAACTCGGAAACGCCAACCCCATCAACCCACTCGTCAAATTATTCCCAAACCAAAACGTCCTTTCCGCCAACGCCACCTGCTGTTTCCTCACAGTGATGTTCCCGACTGTGATATCCGCAAAGCCCATCGGACCCGTGACGATCTCCCCGTCGCCGTACTGAATGAACATGTGCGTCTGCGGGTCCGTAGGGCCATATGGGTTCCAGAGGTCTGGTTCTTCTGCCTTTGCCGGCCCCGACGGCGAAGAAGGGGAAGAAGAAGAAGAAGAATTGGTGGCATTGCTACCAGGGATGATAGGAATAGGAACAGGAGAAGTGTGTGTAGGGGGAGGAGGTAAACTGTAAGCGGGACCGAACCCGCACGTCTTTTGCGGGACGTCGTTCCCAAGGTAATCGAGACAGGAAAAGTTGTGGGTGATGGCCCACGTGTCGGAGGAGCCCGTGTCGAGAAGCAGTAAGAGGGGGACGGAGTTCCAGTGTACTTCGGCGGCGTATTGGGTGCCGTAGGCGGTGGTGACTGTGACGTTTTCGTAGCCGTAGGCGGAGCCTTCTTCTCCCTCGTCGTCGCCGCCGCTACCGCCGCTACCGCCGCCGCCACCGCCGCCACCATGGCTACCGTGGGTGTGGACGGAGTTTTGGCGCAGACGGCGTTGGTGTTGGCCGAGGATGGAGGCGGCGGAGCGGCGGTTCACGGCGCGGGGGGTGGTGCCGCTGCTGGAGCCGCCGATGGAGTGGGAGACGCCTTGGAGGGTTTGGAAGGAATGGGCGACTTCGAGCTTGCGGGTGTTGGGATGCGATCCGAGGACGGCCTTGGGGACGGTGTATTTGATACCGGCCAACTTGGGGGCCGAGTCTTGAAGGTAGCGTTCGGTGGGAGTGAGGTTTATGGAGGCGGCACCAACGAGGATGGTGGAGGTTAGGAGGAGGCTGTAGAGGCCGTAGGCCATGGTGCCTAGGGTGGGTAACATGCTGCCGGTTTTTCCCCTTTGACTGTTTCCAGAGACAAAGAGAGGCCGGATAGATGGGAAAAGAATGAAGAAACTGGACTTGGAATAGAGGGGGAAAAGGAGGGACTGTGCCAGTTGCGTTTGGAAAAGAGAGGGAGAGAAGAAAGAAACAAGTGGATGTTGTCCCGGGGCGACCACAAAGATAAGGAGCAGGTCCCGAATGCTACTTCTGGGAAAGAAGAAGGATACGACCGGCCGGTGATAGGTTTGACGTCTGCAGTGCTGCTCTGCCCAGTAGTGTCCAGTCCTTGGCCCTCGGTGGTGCAACTGTGAACAAGCGGAACAGGACGTTGAGAAGCAAGGTGCCGTGAGTTTGAGTAGGTCAGTCAGTCAGCCTGCCAAATGAAGGGCTGTGTGACTGCAACACTCGGCGGAGCTGACGGGTAAACAAACAGATGTTTGTGTGTGTTCCTGGGAGAGGTGGCGACGACGAGGGTAGGAATAAGTAATGGGTGCTAATTACAGATCAATTTCGAGCTAGAAACATGGCGGGCTCAAGCCACAAGTCACGACGATAGGTAATGCCGGTGCTGTTATGTTCTTGAGTGTTTGGAAGAGGAAGAAGAAGGCTGAGCCGCAAGCGTTAGTCTGTCTTGCTTAGAAACATGCTGGTATCCTAGGGAAAACTGAGAAGGGACAGCTTTAGTGTGGCCTGGCACAAAATCCTTCTGTCTCGGATGTCAGAAAGCACTGCAACACCGTGTTTTCGAGACCTTGCTCGGTTAGATGTTTGCGAGGAAAGCGGCATCCGCAACCGGGATTCGTAGATCCTCGAAGGCGATGAACAGTGCTGTATTCCCAGATTCATCAATGATTTCCATATTGAAGGATCAAAGAATTGGGTTTGTAGGGGTGGTCGCACCGAATCAAATACGAAGCTCAGCAACCTGACAGAAATCACCGAGAGGTCATATCTGCTTCTCTTGTTATTTTCATTGCCTGTCTCGGCATGTTGGAACCCCAGATAAACAGACAGTCAGTCGCGAGTGTTGTCTTGTCGCCACAAACACGGACATGAAACGTTTCCCTCTGATGGTACACCGAGATACGGACCACGACGATTTTGGTCGTCAGTCCGCTTCGTCAGTTGCGTGAGCACCTGAGAGTGTATTTTGGGTCTTGGCAGGAAGAAACAGGACAATGCACAGTACCTTTCTGTCCACATAAAGTTCGTTTGCCCCCCACTCAGATCTCTCAGATCTCGCCCAGGAAGATGTGAAAGCGAACAATGAAGTCATTGTCCACTGGGACGTTGTGCTTGGCAATGGTCAAGTCGGCATGGATGAAGGGCCCTGACGTGGGTACCTGCATACGGTGGTTCGACGAAACGGCCGCAATAACTGTTGAAGGGGGAGGTTGTGCGTGGTCAGCGAGGAGTCGGATTCGAGAGATGGGCAGCTTCCTCCGCTTCCGCTGTCAAACACGGCAGTTTTTTGACAGATGCAAATGTGGTGGCGTAACTGGTTATGAAGAGCAGCCGCCTGATATATCAAGCCGAAGCCCATTCTGCGATGATCCTGGAGCTGTGTAGTTGTCTCGTCGCCGTGGTTGATGTGGAAAGCTTCTAGGACCAGCTTTCAGTCAGGGCCAATTTCCCCATGTTGTTCACGGTGTCTCATGTAAATGCCCTGGCCTTTCCACAGTGGCCAGCCGTGATGATGACTGGAACTTGACACAGGTAGATTGTGATACGGTCGAGAGGTGAGCAGGGTGAGACAGACAAGGAACCTTGTCGTCTGCTTGATCTTGCATCCGGATGCATAGGGTTACATGTAGATGAGTGTTTCCCACTTGGTGACTCTTGTGCCATGTCGCAATTCCCCATCTGCCGTTTGGGTGCTCTGGTTCTGGTAATGAGGTGAGTCTTGAGAGATGATGGTTTGTGAATTCGCAAGTGCCAGAGATGATGACGTTGAGAGTTGGGGGCATCACGTGAAGAGACATGCTCCCTTGGAGTACATTGCAGTTTGATGCAGGTACAGACAGCTATGCACCTGGCCGCCAGGTGGAGCTATTTTCCGGCCGGCAATTGCTGCTTTGTCTTGCCGTCTGTAGCGGGCAGGCACCAAGATGAGAGGGTCAAAGCTCAGAGGGTCGACCCCTTTCAACTTGCACCCAACAACTTTCAATTTGTCACCACAAATCACTCATCTCCTCAACCATCAAATGTCTCCCTTTTCTCTGCCATCCTCAACGAACGTGTTCGCGCGCGAGCTATAACTGCTGTCGTGGGGAATTACCTACCTATTGAATCAACCTGATACACTAAAACGCGCGACCTCTTCTGTTCGAGCCACTCACTGGTGATCTGCTCTGCTCTGATCTGTGACCGTTCGGTTGTTTGACTGTCAGACTTCATTTCAGGTTCAACTCCCGTCTACAACATACCTAGGTACTCTCTTCCATTCCGCCCTGCGGACGTGATACGTACGGTGATCGCTCTGACTGCACTGTATCGAACTGTTGATTGAACCTAGTGCGCTCTTGAACAGTTCCGTTGTCGTCTCTTGATTCTTGATCGCCTTGGGTCAATCGGTAGAGGTATTCCCGTTTGTCATCGTCATTCCCTTGCCCGCCAACACTGTCTATCTGCCTGCCGGGCCGTTTTGGGGAACATTGCAACCAACTGCCGAACAGTCCACTCACCACTGAAGCCTTCAGGTACAAGGCCCCTGGTCCGACCCTGAAAACTGCCTGCCATATCCTCAGCTCAGCACATCTGCCCTAGGCGGTCTGCCAAGCCGGTCTCTCCGCCTGCCGCTTACACCCACCACCAGAGGTCCAGTACCTGTTTTTCACAAAAAGGCCCCGCTATTATTTTTTCGCAATCCTCTCTCCAATCCAGAGACTCCGACCGACTTCGCCTTTTGAAAATCCGGTCCAAATTTGTCAGGCGGCTGCTCTCTCTCTCCCCGTCGCATCTTCTCTCCCCGCCGCCCTCATCCTTCAGAGTCCAACATCCATTCAACAATCCTTTCCGCTGGTCGCTTGATATTGTTTGTTGCGCGCTTGTTTTTTCCCGTCCAGCAGCATTTTCACCGCTTGTCTGGATCTGCCTTATCACCACCCACTATCACCAAGCACATCGCCGCAAGTCACAGCCAAATCGCAACCACAATGGCGGCCCCTCAGCAACCCGATATCAATTCGATATTGCAGCTTCTAAGTATGTCTCCTCTCTCTCTGTTCCTTGAATAGCTTTCTCGCCGCGCCCGCGATTCACCGTCTTCTGACCGTATTCTCAGATGCCACTCAGCGTCCTGCTTCTTCGACCCCTACCCAGAGCCAACCTGGCCTCCCCGCTCCGGCCCAGCCTCCTATGCCGCCGGCTGCCTACGCCCATCCTCCCCAGCAACCTCCCGCCTACCCTCCTCAACAGCCGCCATACCAGCAGGCTCCCGGATACTACCCTCCGCCCGCCGCGAGCGGAGGCATCGACCTGAGCGCGGTGCGCCCCGTGAACTCTGGCACCGTTGACATCCAGGATGCCGTAGCCAAGGCCAGGGCTATGGCCGCTGAGAACGGTCTCGTCCCCTACGAACAATCCTCTAGACCCTACCCTCCTCACGACTCGCGCCCCCACGATTCCCGGGCTCCCGACAACCGCCCCTACCAGCGCGCCCGCTCCAGGAGCCCCCGCGGCCGCGAATCCTACCGCGACAACGTCAACCCTTACCGCGACGAGAGAAGAGGCGGCGATCACGGCCACCACGGTGGTCAGTCGCGTGACTATGGACGTGAACGCTCCTTCTCTCCTGGCCGCGGACGCCAAGGCTTTTCGCCCCGTGGAGGCCATGGTGGTGGTCGCGATCGCTCACCGCTTAGGGGCAAGGAGGGAGACACCGAGACCATTCAGATTGAATCTAGCCTGGTTGGCCTCATCATCGGCCGTCAGGGCGAGAACCTTCGTCGCGTCGAAGGCGAGAGTCGCTGCAGGGTTCAGTTCGTGCCCCCGTCGAGCCCCACCGAACAGTACCGTCCGTGCAAGATTACCGGTCCCCGTGCGCAGCGTGAGGAGGCCAAGGAGATGATCAACCGCATCATTCGCGACAGTGGAATGAGGGGAAGCGCCCCGGCTGACAGGCCTGCGCCCCGCGACTCCGGCCGTGGTGGCTCTGCCGCCCCGCCTCCTCTCAAAGAGGGTGAGGACAGTCTTCAGATTATGGTCCCTGACAGGACTGTCGGTCTTATCATTGGTCGCGGTGGAGAGACCATTCGCGACTTGCAGGAGCGCAGCGGCTGCCACATCAACATCGTCGGAGAGAACAAGAGCGTCAACGGTCTTCGTCCAGTGAACCTTATTGGTACCCCCGCCGCAGCCAAGACTGCTAAGGAGTTGATTCTGGAAATTGTCGACAGCGATAGCCGCAACGCTGGCAACCCTGGTGGCAACCGTCCTCCCCGTGGCGACAACATGGGTGGTGGCGGCGGTGGTGGATACGACAAGCAGAACGATTCCATCTTCGTCCCTTCTGAGGCCGTTGGTATGATCATTGGCAAGGGCGGTGAGACAATCCGCGAGATGCAGAACACCACGGGCTGCAAGATCAATGTTTCCCAGTCGTCTGGTGCTGGTGAGACTGAGCGTGAAATTGGCTTGGTCGGCACCCGCGAAGCTATTAACCGTGCTAAGCGTGCCATCGAAGACAAGGTCGACGCGGCTGTACGTATAATCCCCCTTTGTTCACTTGCGACGACTTACTAACACGGACAACAGAAGCAAAAGAGCTCGGGCGGTGCCCCTCCTCGTCGCGGCCAGCATCGCGATTATGATAACCCCAACTATGGTCAGCCTTCTAACAACAACAGTGTTCCCCAGCAAAGCTTGCCCGCAGGTAACGCCGCGGCTCCTGCTGGAGCCGGTGCGCAAGGTGATCCCTATGCCATGTGTATGTGCCCCCCCTCATGCTTCCTTGATATTCCCAGGACACGCACTAACTCTGAACAGACGGTGGTTATGACAACTATGTTGCTTTGTGGTGGCAGTCCCAGCTTGCCGCTGCTCAAGGTCAAGGTGCTGCCGGCCAGGCCCCTGGCACGTCGTAAACTTCGCCATGTTGATGCCGGACTTATGATGCGCATGCCATGCCATGATTCTCGCCCATGTCTCTCTTGGCACGTTTTGACATTGCCGCTACTGCTGCTTGCTGCTGCTTGTCTCGTTGACCATGCTGCACGTTGATGTCTCGATCATGACGACCATCATATTTCATGCTATAGGGCATGGACAAGTGAGAGCGCTTACCATTTTTTTTCGGCATCTCAGCGTATAACTGGAAGAAGACGAACTCCAGTTGTGTTCAATGATTGTACGATTACGACTTTATCTCGGGTGTCCGACTTTTCCAGGCACATTTCACGACATTGATGGCTCTCTTATAAGCGCGTGGCAACCGCTTTGGCCCGGTTCATACCGATGATATTTATCATGGGCCTTTCTCTTCATGGCCGGGTTGCTCCATATATCTGCGATCTAGCATGCACCTCTGTCTGATGCACAAAGCTGGCTACCTGCTGAAGAACCCCATCCCAAGCGATCGAATGCACATGTGTCCTGCAGTGGTTGGCTTACTGCAAGACCATCAGTCCAAATGGTTGGGTAACCTCTTGATGCGATCTACCAATAGGCTTGACTGTTGCATCCACACCCGCTGCCAAGCTGCTTGATATGAGACCCGGAGCAAAGAACGGACTGCAGACTTTTGTTGTCCTTGGATACAAGGAGACCTCATTGGGATTTTTGCATGACTGCTATGAGCCCTGCCGTCCATGTCTTTGTGATCATGATGAGAATCATGCTTATGGAGAGGATCTACCCACCGGATGCACATGGTCTGAGGTAGACAACCCAAGCCATCAACGACATGTCACATGTCGTCGTTTTTTCTTCTATCTCCTTCTTCTCTTCGAGCTTTTTTTGTGCCTCATTTGCATACGTTTCACATGAGAACTAAAACCTCTATCACTTTTGCACTGAGGAGCACAATCATGGATGATCTCCAGTTTGGCTTTGGATCAGCGGAGTGGATGCTTACCAAAGAAATAAGGGTGGTGGTGGTGGTGGTCATTGACAAATGGATGGATGGATGGGTGGATGGAGGGACAAATGACGGACCGCCGCCCGTTTGACAGGACATGCACATATGTATACTAGAGGATCAAAGAGGGAACCCGCAAGGCGTTACGTAGCAGAACAAAAAGTTTTTTTTTTTTTTTTTCGTTCAGCTCATGCCGTTTGGTGATATCTGTTATTATCATGTTTTCCATCTCCGCAGCAGACACAGACCATTCCACGTTTACTTCGAAGAGGTAGGTACAGAAATCCCAGCGAATTTGCAGCTTTGTTTTATCCAACCTGGTGCAAGGTTCGTTCGTTGTTGTTTCCAACTATCCAAGCTACCTACCTTGGTACTTCTTTACCCAGGTATCTTACTCGATCTCGTAAGGTAACATGTAGGTATGGTGCAGAAATGAATAGTGACTAGACTACCTACATACCTTGATATGGAAAGCTTGGTAGGTACCTAGTAAAAACACGCAACTCGATAGTCGTTAGGTAGGTAGGTACTTGGGTAGTTATGGGTTTACGGACGAGTGTGTGTCTTCCTTTGCTATCTCTGCCGACCGATTGACGACGGTTTTTGTTATCATGGTAGTTCGTACGTATTGCGTCCGACCCAAGCATTTGAGGTTCGATTTCGGATCTATGGTAGGCGGGCTGATCCAACCTTTCTTTCTTTCTTCTTCTTTTTTTTTTTTTTTTTTTTTTTTTTTCATATATATATATATATATATCCTTTTTGTGTTTTTAAATCTTTGCTTTGGTCTTGAACCTTTCGTTTTCTACCTTGCCCTTGCCTTGCCTTTGCCTTAAAGCATCGTTGGTTACGTTCAAATCAACTTTCATAGATGTCCCTAACTAGTCCGGTTTGACGTTGGTGAATAAAGCTAGCTGGGTGTGGCATAGGATACTTGCCCTTGGGATTGTACGCCATGTATTTGCGTGATTCCGCTACAATATCATCAATAGCAACTCCTTCCTCACAAGTTTCCTTTACATGAACGATGAGATTGATGTCTCGCACACGCCTTGTAAACACTGTAGGTAACCACCAACTCAAAGCGACCAATCCCGGATCTCGGAATGAAACCCTTTCTGCATGCCCCAGCTACACTAGAAGCACAACATCGACGCCAAGCCCCTTCTAATCCTAGTCTCCACGCTCACTGTAACGCCCACTGGTACTCTTCTGACTTTATCTCACTTCTTCCTTTGTGATTATGGAGAAACAACATGAGGCTATCTGGAAAATCTGTTATGGCGCCATCTGATCAGCTGCCGCCTTAACACACATGAGATTATGGGGGTCAAAGACATCATGGACAGAAACAACGACAACGACCTGACGCAAGCGGCGCGAAAGTTGGAGGTTTTCAGTATTCAAGAATCTTTAGCTTTTTGTGACCCCGCTTTGTCACCATCATCATCAGCATCACCATCACCATCACCATCAGCCTCGGCATCACCATCTCCAGCTCCAGCTCAACAACCACGACCAACAGCCGCATCAGACTCAGACTCATCAGCCATCGACGAGCGGCAATCCATCTGCCCCACCTGCCTCAACCTCAACTACTCCCTCTTCCGCCCCTTCGATTCCCACCCCCCCATCCTCAACTCCTACTCCCTTTCCGCATCCCTGTCTCATAACCATTTCCCATCCAGTGTCTCTACCGCCCTCCCGCCTCGCTACCTCTTAATCGAATACCAAGACCTTCTCCAGACTTCTACTTCTACTTCCACCCCCAATTCCAATTCCAATTCCAATTCCGAAAGCAACGACAACGGCAACACCCCAGCATGCCCTTACTGCCCCCTCCTCCACAAAGCCATCACTTTATTTTGGGACGACGACCCAAGCTCTTATTACAGATATAAAGCGCCGGTGGCTGACGCACGCTCTTTCCGGCGGATATTATGTCTTACGCAGCAGCCTGCTGTTACTTCTCGTCATGGTTTTGGTGATGGTGATGAGGGGACAGGAGCAGGAGGAGGGGGAACAGGAGGGGGAGGAGGGACGCTCAGACTCTTCAAAGCGCTGTTGTACCATGATTACCCCGATGCGACGTTCCCTCATGCTTTGACGGTGCGGGATTCGACAAGTAGGATCGAGTTTTATCATCATCCTTGGGATTTGGTTGATTTGAAGAAAGCGGAAGAGGAGGGGAAAGAGGGAAAAGAGGGGAATGGGGTGAGGGAGGAAGATAAAGAGCCAGATCCGGAAAAGGAGAGAGGTGAAGGGATCTCTATGGATGAGGTAGGAAATGGCAGGGCGACTAAAGAGTTGAACAAATCGAGAAAATCAGAAGAATTGGGGCGGGAAAACGGGAAAAACGAAGGGCAAGGGGAACGAGGGGGAAGGAAAGACAATGAAAAGGGGCATAAGGAGGGAATCAAAGAAGGGAACCAACGCTGGACCTCCTTCCCCCATCCAGCCATCGGCTTCGCCAACCACGTCCCCTACGCCATAACCCTCAACCGCGTCGTCCGCCTCGCCACCCGCTGGCTTTCCGCCTGCGACTCCTCACACCCCAAATGTGCTCCCGAGCCACACCAACTACCCAAACGCCTCCTCGACCTCCGCGGCGGCGTAAAGCTCATCGACACCACCACCACTTCCCCCTCCTTCACCTCATTTGCATCCACCAACCCCTCCTCCTCATCTCCCAAACCGCCCACATACATGACCCTTTCCCACTGCTGGGGCCTCACCCACCCTCTCCTGACAACCACCACCACGACCCTCGACTCCCACCTCTCGCAAATTCCGTGGTCTTCTCTCCCCATCCTATTTCGCGACGCCATCCTTTTAGTCAGGGAACTAGGCTGCCGATACCTCTGGATCGACAGTCTCTGCATCTTGCAGGACTCTGAGACAGACTGGCTTACTGAAAGCGCAAACATGTCCTCCATCTATGCTCACGCCACACTCAACATAGCTGCCACTGCGCAACGGGATGCGTCTGTCTCGTTGTTTAGACAGCGGTTTCACGGACAGGGATTTCGCGAGCTTAGATTATCTGCTGCGGGACGGAGTGCGGCGGGACTGGGGTTAAGGGCGCCGATGGATACGGTTGAGATTGGGAGTTTGCCTTTGTCGTTGTCTCTAGAAGATGGGGAAAGGGGGAGGGGAGAGGTACAAGTGCCGGTTTATGCAAGGATAGGACATGAAAGAAGTCATGAGACGTTATTTGGGGAGGTGGAGTACTTTCGGACGCTAAAGGAGCCGATACTTGGCAGGGCATGGGTTTTTCAGGAGCGGTTGCTGAGTAGACGGACGTTGCATTTTGGGAGTAGCGAGGTGTTGTGGGAGTGTAGGAGCGGGTGCTTTTGTGAGTGTGGGGGGATTGAGAGGGGACATGTGTTGAGTGTGCGGAATTTGAACAACAATGCTGCTGCTAGTTGGCGGGCGCCGGGAGCGGGGACGGGGAGTGGCAACAACGACAGAGGTGGAAGGGATAATATGGAGTCTTCGGGACTGTTGAGTCCGCCGTTGCCGTTGTCGAGGTCGTCGACTTTTGAGACGACGGGATCATCGCTGAGTCATGGGACGATACCGAGGAAGGTGTTGTTTGCTAACCTTACTTCTGGTTCATCACGGCCGGGACAGATGAAGGATAGTAGTAGCCGGCTTTTGCACGACTTTTTCTTGCGTTGTGTGGAAGAGTACTCTTTCCTCTGCCTGACCAAAGAACACGACCGCTCTTTTGCGCTGGCTGGCATCGCGAAACGGATCCGGTCCCTTCTCTCACCTGACGATCGATACCTCGCTGGTCTCTGGCTGCACGATTTGCCAAGGGCGCTGCTGTGGCAACCCTACCGCCATAAGAAAGTGTGTCGAGCGGGTAGTAACATCCCTACTTGGTCATGGATGTCACGGTCCTGCTACCCGGTGGAAAATCTACAAGCAGAACCCGGAAAGAGAAAAGGGAACCCATCGGCGAGCAAGTGTTCAGTACGGTATAAGCACATTACACGCTCGGGGTACGAATTCGAGCTCGATGACCGACTAGAGGTGGATACCGATCCGGCGAAAACATGGTGTGAGTTTGAAGGAGACAACGAATTTGGAAAGTTGAAGGGAGGGCAAGTTATGTTGACGGCAGCGTGTAGATGGGGAGTAGTATGGACGACGGGGACCAAACGAAGCAGCAACGAGTGGACAGGGAGGAATACTTTGGTGGTTGCTATTCAGGGCAACGAAGAGGGTAATGGTGACGGCGAAGAAGGGGTACTATTGATACCCATGGCACCGGACTGTCCGAGACAAGAAGATCCGAAGAGTGTGGCACTTTTGGAAAAGGTGTTGGTGGTGTTGTTTGGGGGAAGGAAGCTAGACATGAAGGAAACGGGAGGGGATGTGGATGGGCCGCAGTTCTTTTTGGCGTTGAAGGAAGTGGAAGGAAGGGAAGGTGTCTTTCAGCGAGTTGGGTTCTTGGAGTCGGAGTCGAGGATTGACCTGTTTGAGAATGCCGAGGCGAGGACAATCACCTTGATTTGACAAAGATGAGGAAGCAGTGTTCAGGCGATAGGCGTTTACCAGTCCTGACGAGCCGGTGTCTGAGAAGCTCTTAACCCCGATGGCCAGGGGTTGTGCAAGTGCTGCTTAACGCCGAAAGGGTTGGCGACAAGTGCAGATGAGCGAGGAAAGTGTGATGATGAACAGTCCACAAACGAAATACCTTGGGATAAGACAAAAGATGTATAAAGGGAAGGATGGGGGGCGTCATTGTTGGAAATGTCTTGAATAAAGCCACTCAATCGCTCTCCATTCAACAACAAACACAACATCAACACCATCATCCTCTCAACGCCCATCATCAAGATGTCCCACAACAACACCACCAAGAAGCAAGCTCCGGCCAACTCGCTAGTCTGGCTCGTCACCGGCTGCTCCTCCGGCTTTGGCCTCGAGTTCTATCTCAACATCAAAGCTCGTGGCGACTACATCATCGCTACCGCCCGCGACCTCTCCAATCCCAACATGAGACATTATATCCAAATTTCCCAAACCCAGGATAATGTATCTGTCTGCCAGCTCGACGTCACGGCATCCCAGGAGTCCCTGAACGAGACCATTGCAGAGGCCATCAAGATTTACGGGAGGATCGACGTGCTGGTGAACAATGCCGGCTACGTAGCGCTGGGCGGTTGGGAAGACCTGGGCTACGACGGCTTCGTCAAGCAATTCGAAACCAACGTGTTTGGCCTGCTCAAGGTCACCAACGCGGTCCTTCCGCACATGCGAGAGCGCCGGAGCGGGACGCTGGTGTTTATGGGTTCGCTTTCGGGATGGAAGGGAAATGAGTTCTGTGGAGCGTATGCGGGGTCCAAGTTTGCTGTTGAGGGTTTGTGTTTTTTTTTTTTTTTTCCCCTTCTTCCCTTCTGCTTCCTTATGAGTCAAGCCGGCAATCACTTGATCAACAGTTTGCTGACAGGAACGATACAGGAATGGTGGAAGCACTCCAAAAAGAGGTGGAACAATTCGGCATTCGCACCCTTCTCTTCGAGCCAGGACAGTTCCGAACCAACTTGCTGTCACCTTCTCACGTGCTCGCCAACGTGTCCAAGATTGACGATTACAAGGAAGCGTCGGAAATGGCCCTGCGCTCCTATGCCGATGTGGACTCTAAGCAGAGAGGTGACCCGGCAAAGGCTGTCGAGATCATCATGGACGTCGTCCGTAATGAGACCTTCTATCGATATATTGAGGAGGGGGATGTAACGTATGCGTTCAGAAACGCGAAGTATGGGCCTATGAAGTTCAGATTGCCGTTGGGACAGGATGCGTTTGATGCGATCAAAACAAAGTGCGACCTTACTTTGAAGGTTTTGGATGCGTGGGAACGTCTCATCACGAGTACCGATCATAATGATGTTAGGCATAGTGATGTTGGGGAGACAAGCGAGGAAGTTTCTACCTAGGATTGTTTTCCGGAGTCGGCTTTTCCGTCTCCCGTCGGCGGAATTCAGACGGCGCGATGATTATACTGTGAATAGTTGTTATTGGGCGTGCCAACTCCGAAACATAGTTATGTATGGCTGTTGTGTCTGTACGTTAGATCCAGATTAGCACACTGGAAGAAAGCCAGGGACTCAAATGAAGAAGAATTCTAGATTGTCTCAACAGGCAAGATTCTGGTTTCCTTGGGTTGCCAACAGCTGCTGAATGAGAGCGATGTCCAGAACCAGCGAGTAATTTTGTCAAGAGGTCTGACTGCTGTCGGTTCTTCCATTCGCTTCCGTTGGGATGTTTGAGTCTGGTGGGTGAAGAAAGAAGAGTAACACATGTCGTCGGTTCGAACTGGCGGTTCCTGCTTCAGGTACTTACATGGAAGAAAGCTGCTAGTAGAATGTAGGTTATTCCCTCTGCTCTTTCCCTTTTTTCTTCATTGCCCATTGTCGTAACACTGCAAACGACCCGAGTCCGTCACCAACCCCCGCCATTCGTCTTCGATTCTGCCAGGAATCCTAAAAGCAACAAAAACTCGGACATGACACATTGCAGGTGTCTCTAGGTATATTTCTTATGGGAGACCGGGATGAAGTTTGACATTCAGGCTTTGGGGGTTTTGTGAATGGGCAGTGGTGATATTGATGTGGTGTTTCTCTTTGTCATGTACGTTTGTCCTCGGCAGCTTTCGGTTTAATGATTGTTCTTTCTGCTAATGCGTACATATGTTTCAAGAGAAACAACGTGAAAAGAGTAATCGGTCGGTTGGTACTGGGTCAAATGTTGTTGTCTGGACCGGCGGAAGTCAGGTTGTGATCGGGCGAATCGGGGGGCCTCGGTGAGACCAGGGCTGATAGGACTGAAAATACCGGGCCATACCTGGTACTGGGCCACATTCCTTTCTGAATTGATTATTCGGTATCAGACAATCGGAGAGAATACACGGAGCTGAAGCGTGACCACAATGATATGGCCATGCATACGCTAGTTTCTCAGCCCCCATGGCCATAATGAATCCAGAACCTTGACATGCGCTGATGGTGGATAGCAGTTCGCAATGCCCGATTGGTGGAGGTAAAGAGGGCGTTAAAGTTCCCCTCAAAGACACAAGTGTTCGCAGGAAATCTGAGGCAGCTTCTTCCCGTCCACTCTGATATAGTCAACGATAGCTTCCTCTCGTCCCTTGTGTCCTCGAACACATCGCATAGGCAGCAATGGCACCTCCAACCCGTCGATTTGAAAAGCCAGAACCAGAAGAAGAGAATGTTGTTGTGGATCCCGGATCCAAGAACATCATCACCTTTGAACAGCCAGGCTTGGTAGGAGGCACATACACCATCCAGGTTCAGCAGACCATTTCGGAAGACAAGTCCGAGGATGATAATCGCAAGGAAACGGACTCGACAACTTACGACCCATCTACACCCCCAGGGAAACAACAATTAAAAGTTCTCGCCCCGAAATTCCACCTCCCCGCCAACTCAGTGTACTCCATATACCCAGAACAGGGCCACGAAGCGACGCACGACACGCTTCCGCACATTGTCCTCAACGACAGCACTCTACCATGGGAGCGCACCGGCAGTTACCAAGCCGAGGGTCATCGTACCGACGACTATTCCAAGCACGCCGTGCCATGGATGGCGCTCTTGATCTTCTCCCCGGACGAGCTGCATTTGGACGACGTCGAGAAGGCGGGAATCTTTGCGCACACTAGCCTCAATGCTCCTCCGCCAAAGCAGTCGGAGTCCATGGCTGTCCGCGTTCCGTTGGGCGACCTCGTCAAGCTGAAGGAGGGAACAGCCAGTGTCCCATTTGACGACCAAATCGACCTCGACCAGGCAACCACACCTGATACGAATGTGATCTTTCCCAAGGCATCCTTATTCAATCGCTTGTTTGCAGCCTACGATGACAACGGGGAACCGCAGCCAGGCACACCAGATATTTCGCGACACCGGTTCCTGGCCCACGTCGTCCGGATGGACACAAGCGGAACCGACTCAGACAAGGTCGGTACCACCCGGGAGTTCAGTGTCGTAATCGCTAATCGCATCGGGCCTCTCGACGGTGACACAGCTTCCCAAATGATCGTCCATCTCGTCTCTCTCGAGGGCGTCGAATCGCTGAACCCCTTACCTCTCCCCGAGGTTGTACCAGGCTCATCATCGCCCGAGCAACCTGCTCGCGTCGGGCTCGTCTCCCTCTACAGCTGGTCCTACACCTGCCTCCCGCCGAATTCTCTCAACGTAAAGCAGACCTTTGAGAACCTAGCCCTCACAGCGAGCATGCTCAAGCCCATCATCCCGCCCCATTCGGAACACCTAGATGACGTAGGAAAGCGCATGCTCAACCGGTTTGAAGAAGGCTACATCATCGTGCGCTCCAGGACGCCAACAGGGGAACCCACCGCCGCCCTCATCCGCGGCCCGCTAACACCCAACTTGATTGCCCCCTTAGAAGGGGATTTTCTCTCCAACTCCGGCGCCGACCTCAAAATCTTTGATGAGAAACTGGACATGATGGACATCACCTACTCCTCCGCCTGGTCACTAGGTCGCTCGCTAGCTTTAGCCGATCGCGCCTTCACCGTTTCTCTCACGCGCGTCCGCCATGAGATCTTGCACCCAGGAACAACTAGTGCCGCTCAGCAGCGACATGGAAAGATGCCGCAAGCCACGCAGCGGCAGAGCTATAAGCGGGAGGACCTGCTCAAGTCTCTTGACAGCAGCTTGATCAACGAGACCAGTGCCATCTCGCGGGTACAGTGGCCCGCTAGTACATCACCTCCTCCTAATTTGGCCAACAACAACTCCATCAGCCCCGTCACCGAATCCGCCAAGGAGGAGGAAGCGGTCTTTGAAGTGGCCAAGAGCCTTGCTTTCGACGACACTGAACGGGGAGGCTGGAAGACAACGACCTACGACGACGACCTCACCGATCCCAGCAGCTCGTCGGACTGGAGTATCGTCCTCCGCTTCGTTTTAGATCTGTACCACCTCGTCAACGTCCCGTCGCGCTACCTCTTACCCGGCCAGAGCATGCTACCCCGCGAGAGCCTCCGTTTCTTTTTCGTTGACGGCAACTGGATCGACGCGCTAGTGGACGGTGCGCTGAGTGTGGGTTATATGTATCAGGGCGGCCTGGAAGGGTCTCCCGTGGAGGATGACCATGTCGTGCGGAGAGCCTTAAAAAAGTCTATCAGCCGCTTCATGTTAACCGACGATCCCACCACAGTCCATCATCATCGTTCTGCCGCTGTTCCCAGGTATGGATTCTTTCTTCGGTCGTCGGTCATTGCTGCTGCGCAATTCCCGGATCTCAAAGTTTCGGTTGAACAACCCAGCGGCGGGGATCCGAATCTGAAAGTGTTGTTGCGGCATGACATAGTTGCCGAGGAAACCATGCTGGGATTCTTCAGTGAGGTGCCGCCCGTAGAAAGCGAGTTGTATCAAATGCGATTTGAGGTGCCCGCCCATCAGCAGTTTTTCTCCTTGGGTAGCGTAACAGATCAAGACCTGGAGGTGGTGTATAAGAAACAGTACACCACCACCAAACCGGAAGTTGAGGATGGATCGAGGAACGTCCCAGTTGCTACGGTCAAGTGGCCCCGGGACGGTAAAGGGAAGGCCATGTCGACGAACGGCAATGACACTCGAGAAGGGAGCCAGGTGTTTATCTGGGGGTCCAAGTCTGGTTTAAATGATGTTCGGTTGGTGCTCGTGGAGAAGCTGGCTGCCGCTGTTCATGCTACGTTGGTCAAGGAGATGGCGGAGCTGGGTTCGGACTGGTATGAGGAAACGACTGCCACGTCTGCTATGATGGCCTATCAGCTTAGCAGTCGTTCGTGGCACCTGCAAATTGGATGATAGATATTCAGGGGCACGGGGACAACCTCGGGAGAACTGACGAAATGTTCAAGTTGGGTGTAGCAGCGCGGAATTGCGAGGGGGGTTGTGGTGTGAGTTGAGATGCGCTGACGGGAGACATCCCTGAAATTCTCGTTAGTACACTACGCCTGTACAACGCTGTAACCGGGTGGGGCACTAACACTTATATCCTCCTTGGCCAGTCATTCGAACTTTGAGGGTTTCTCTTGAGCGCTTAGCCTCTCCGCCGCCTTTGATGGTCTTGATGATGTTCACAGATAATGCACACCATTGCCTTGATTCGAGTAAAGTGATTTACCTGTTGCGCATAGAAGGAAGCTGCTGACCAGAGCTTGCTTGGTTCTGATAGTAGAGGTGGCGATACTCTGGCAGTCGCTACAGGAGATGGGTGAGGCGGGAATATGGTTGTGTTCTTATGACAGATGTACCTGGTATGCTTTGGTAGTATAGAAAATGCTAGATTTGGTTCGAAAATCGTGAGCAATGAGAACCAACGAAGCTGGACACGAGACCAAGAAAGGTGTCAGTGTACACGTGTAATGGCGCTTGGGGTTTGGTACACCGCCGAATGCCTAGTCCCATTGTGGCATGGAGAATAGACGCAACAGCTGGACAGCTCAACTGGCCAACTTAGCTTGACTGAAAGGATTCAAGATTTTCAGTCATGTTTGCGAGACAATTGCTTCGTGACAGGTGTTCATTATTTGTGGATTTGGAGAACGAATATGAAACAAGTTGCTGTGTTATGCTGGAAATGTCATCGCATTATCCACTACTCCGTCCGCAAAACGGCTATCATTACCTCTCGTTTATCCCTACCAAGTCAATCCCCAGCCTTAGTCCGAATCACTCGAGTCGGAGCTGCTGCCGCCGCCGCGGTGCTTGTCCTTCTTGTGGTGCTTGTCCTTCTTGTGATGCTTATCCTTCTTGTCCTTCTTCTTCTTCTGGAGCCTGTGACAGTTGTTAGTCAGCACATCATCTTTGTCAGTGAAAACAAAGAAACAAGGGGCAAACTTACTTATCCTCCAACAGATTCGCCGCAATCGCGCCTCCAACTGCGCTTACCACACCACCCAGGGTGCCTGCTCCACCAGCATGCGCCAACATGGCGCCCATTCCACCACCAGCCAGCGTAGCGCCGAGACCACGCTCACCATCGGGGCCTACGGGACCTCCTGGGCCGCCCTGGCCTGGGTACTGCTGATGCTGTGGTGGGTATCCCTGCTGATGGCCGTAGCTCTGCTGGCTCTGGTCATGGTATTGTCTCTGGCCATCCTGACCATACTGTGGCTGGCCGTAGGGCGCTTGGGGATTGTGGGGCGGGGGAGCGTTTCCGTAGGACTGGTGGCTGTAGTCTTGCGATTGCCCGTGATACTGAGGAGGTGCTTGGTGGTAGCCACCTTGAGGAGGAGGGGAGGAGTAGGAGTTGTGAGGGGGGTAGGGGGCGTCTTGCTGGCCGCCGTAGGGGGGATAGCCGCCCTGGAGAGAAGAGGACAGGATGTTAGCTGGATGGACTTGTGATGATTGAAGTACGGACTGGGAGATCATGAACGGCGTAGGAGAGGACGGATGAGACAAACCTGTTGCTGGCCCTGGTACTGGGGAGCGGGTTGGCCCTGGCTGTAGCCGTAGGGGTTGTTCGGGGGAGGCTGCTGGCCGTAGCCACCGTTTCCGCCTTGCTGGCCTTGGTTGTAGTAGTCTTGTGCCGACATGTTGTCTGTGTAGATATGCCGCTCAGATAAGATGAGCTAGGTAGGTAGTATTCGATACGATGGGAAAGTGAAATGGAAGAAGGTGGGAAAGAAGATGATGTCGAGGGAATGGAAGTGACGGGATCGTGGGGTTGGGCTGCTCTTTAGTGATTGTTACAGTGGCCGGGCTCAGTGGATGTGCTGCCACATGGGAGGACTCCGATGACGAATAGGGGACCTTGTCCCCGCCATGCCCCTGGGTCAAACTGCCCCTGGTGGATCCCCGAGCCGTCCGGTTGTGGGGTTTCATGTGGGCAACATTCACGCAGCGTGTCCACAGCCCGTTTGTTGCATCATGGGGTTGTGGCGCAGCTTGGCTCAGCCCTACGCTGATCGATGCATTACGCGTACCGAGGCATTCGTCTTTAATTCAGCTGGCTTCCCAAGCTCCAGTGTGTTGCTAACAGGACAAGCCGCAATTTCAGTGGGGTCCTGTTAAGGTGCTGGGGTGGCACGCATTCAATCCATCCCCATTCAACAACAACGATTCAGGATCAATTCGTTGATCACGATGGCTCTTTCGTCCTTACCTCTACCTTATCATTTCTGCCTGTCGCAGTTCGGTGATGCCGGCCGCGAGGATTTTCTCTCTGGTCCTTCGAGATGGCCTACAGGTATTCTTTCGCGGCAATTTGTCGGACACACAATTTTACCCATTTCCATGTTTCCCAAACCCGAGACTCGAGGTCTTCCTTCACTGTCCTTGGTTGTCCTTCAACGGGCCGTTATCATGGAAATTACAGCATTTTCCTCTCCTTTCGGTGACAATATAACCCCTCCGATTCACCACCTGTACCCGATGCCCTTGAATCCGACATGAAGCCCATCCCTGCCCACCGATGGCCCGGTTGAAGGGCTCCCATCGGATGTTCTCGTCTTTTCGATGCTCGAGCATGTCGGCCCTGCTCGCCGAGAGTTATATGAACTGTTGCGTTTCCCGGGAGCTGGTGGACCAGGCTGGACCCCTTTTAGTCTAATGCTTGACAGCGTTACAATCAAAATGGCGAAGCTTTACCCCGCCATCGTCACTGGTGCGCTGCACACATTTCAGCAGAACGAGGAACATCGATGTATCACTGTTGTTCTATCTCACGGGACGCGCTGTCCATTAGCTCTGTCACAGTCTCATCAAGCTCGGATTCCTCGAGATGGAGGAGTTGCCGCCTTGCAAATGGTGTGGTCATCCACCGACCTCCAGCGTTGGCCTCAGCGTGTTCAGGAGCTCACTCATTGCCATGGAGGCCAACGCAAGCACATGCCTGACTTGTTCTATATTCTCCACAGGTATAAGAACATACCTCTCCAATACATCCATGCCTGTACCCAGCGACATTGATCATTTGGCTGTCATTTTGGGTAAGCTGGCTGTGGGCAAAGGAATGACTGTGGAAATACCGCTGGGCCCGTCCCTCCTCAGACTGTCATTTTTCTGCTCAAAAAGTAAATCACCAGTCTCAAGCCTCTCGTTGGTGGTTGAAGTGTAAAAGCTGACAATTTTGATAGGAACGTCTTGGGTGATCCGAAACTTGCCCTTCCTGGACATTGGAAAACAGATCCCAAAGACCACTTCTTCAGACGAAAGTCTCTCATGGGCGATTCAGCAAATCAACCACTGCAGGGACAGTCATCAGCACTGTAACTCATACTTAAGCGCCGCCGTTCTACCTAAGCGGGTTGTCTTCGTCGGTACAACGGCAGAACCTGCCCTCCGATTGTACGAATCCCAGGGCGAAAGAGATTTCTACATCTGCTTAAGCTACTGCTGGGGTCGCCGTCCTTTTCTCCGTACTCTATTCGATAATCTCGAGACCCACAAAAGATGTATCAACCCTGACGATCTCCCCCCGACTATGCACGATGCTATCGAATACACCCGCCAACTCGGAGTCCACTATATCTGGATCGATAGCTTGTGCATCATCCAGGATTCCGTTCTCGATTGGCGAGAGGAGGCGGGAAAGATGGCATCCATCTATCAAAGGTCGTATCTTGTCCTATCCGCCACTTCTTCTGCCGACGCCTATGGAGGCATGCATGTCTCTCTCCCTTCCGACTACCAAACATTCGCCTTGACAGTTAACACCAAAACAAACGAAATTCGTGACTCCAATATAGCCGATCAGGCAAACTTTTCGATGACAACGAATACTACAGAGACATTTTACGTCCGCCGTACATATGATCATGTTAACCGAGGGACTTCAAGCTACGCCGGTCGAATTCCAATGCTTCCGACCAATAAGCGTGGCTGGATTTTCCAAGAACGCTTTCTTTCTTCTCGTGTCCTGCACTTTGGACCCCAGGAGCTCTACTTTGAGTGCCTAGAGGATTCGGCCTGTCAATGTACCGACCATAGCAACTCATCCCTGGACCAGGAGAGTGTCTTAGGGTCTAAGGGGGGCGGGCTGAATGAGACAACCCCACGGCAATCGCCTACAGATAATTTTCAACAACATAGTTCCATGCGTAAAACGATAGCGAAAGCATACTATGGTCCGGTGGTGTGGAGGATAATGACCCGCGATGAACTCATGTATGCGTGGCATAATATGGTTCATGACTTCACGAGACGGGATTTGACGTATGCGAAAGATCTGTTTCCTGCCATATCTGGATTGGCGAGGGAGATGAGCATTGCACGTGCAGCACTACATGGCAATGCGGACAAGGCACGAGGGACGGGATACTATGCTGGTTTGTGGAAAGACAGCCTGGTGCGCGACTTGTGTTGGAAAGTTGGATTTGAGAATATCGCTACTGATGATGAAGATGAGGTGAAGAGAATCAAGGCATGGACAGACAGGGCGCTTGGATGGCGGGCGCCAACGTGGTCTTGGGGCTCCGTCAACGCACCTGTCAAGTTCCTGGGGCAGGAACATGGTACGAAGGACTTCTTTACACCCTTGTGTGAAGTATTAGATGTTTCCTGTACTGCTGCGGCCGGATCGGATGAGCTGGGTGAACTGATCGCAGGGAGGCTAGTACTGCGCGGGCAGCTTTTGCCGGCCAGAGTGACACATCCGCGATTAAAAACCTGTCGGCAAGACGGACTACGACTCCCATGGCAGATCCTTAGCTTGGAGTTCGGGGTGCTGGTTGAGAATTTTGTGCAGCACCTGTTTGTTGACGACGGATGTCAGGATCTCTTGGGGCTTTTGGATGAGATGGACGCTGGTGGTGATCCACCTGTTGTTTACTGCTTTTTGCTTGGGGTAGTAAGGAAAGGGGGAAGTCCAGTATTTCTCTTGCTAAAGAAGGTCAAAGGGCAATCGGAGGAAGAAGTGGCCCAAGACGTCTATCACCGGTTTGGGAGGCTTCAGTTGACAGGACCTCCCCGCCGGGCAAAGAATGATCGTACACCATGGAAGGAACGATTTGGGGTACTTGCGCAAGCCAAGGAAGAAGTGGTTACGATCATCTAGTTAGGGGGCTGCCAGATCCCAGGTGAACTTGGGCAGAGCACAGAGTCGGCAGGCTGAGGGCAACAAAGGAACATGACAGCAACAACAATTACATGGACGCACATGTGACCTATTGGATCTCTGAATAGACATTACAAGACATGGCGGAAAAGAGTTTCGTAGTAAATGGCAAAGGACAGTCAACATACTAGAGGTAGAAAGCAAGTGTCCAATCAATCACAGGAATCAACGGCGATAACAAATGGTGATCTAAAACATCAACGATGATGATACGTCGAAGAAATATCAACTCAAATCATTGTAGCACACCACAACGGTACCCATAACCAAATATGCTCCTATTTGCCGACATCACTATATCAACCAACCCCAGAAAACCACCAAAAAAAGAGGAGAAGCAGATGGCGATCCACGCACATGCACGGACAGTATGGGGGAAAATGTCACAAAAAAAGAAACGATCCGGATGGGACTCGAACCCACAACCTCAGTCTTATCCTCCCGTAATTAGGAGGACCACACGATACCATTTCGCCACCGGACCGCTTGCTGTTGTTAGAAATTGATGTTGCAGATGGGTCTATATTTGAAAAGTTACGGTGGGTAGCCTAGTTGCACACAACAGAACAACAACATTGCGCGCATCCGGACAACAAGACCAGACACCCTACAACCTAACATAACATAAAGAGAAGATAACAACAAAGTAATGAAATGAACTCACTGATGATTGAGGTGAAGCTCCTCTTAGATTTACTTGAATATCTGAATAAAAAGTCACTAACAACGACCACAATACCCGCACTTTTCCGAACACGCCGTAAAGTCCTGCTCTGTGTCGTCAAACTCCCAAGGATCATCTTCTTCGCCGTCGGAGTCGGTTGCATGCTTCTCGCGGGCAAGGTCGTGTCTGAAAAAGTAATTGTTTTTCATGGGGTTGTCCCAGCCATTACTTTTGCCATCCTCATCATTTGTGTTGCCGTCATACTGGCGGCCCTTCTCTTGAGTGTCGATGTCCTCCTCCTCCTCTTCCTCAATATAAATTTTCGTATTCCTTTTTATTTCCCGTATATCGGACTTCTCATCTGCAGGCGCATCCTCCGCATTGATCCATTTAGTTCTGATAGCATCCGACATCACCTTGTCGCCCTTAATTATGTCGATTTTCTTCTTCTTCTTCTCCTCTTCATCATCACTTCCATCCTTCCATCCGTCCAGGGACAGCTTCTCAGCCGGCCATCCCTGCTCTCTGACCTCCAGAACACCAACTGCATCTTCTCGGTGTACGATTTCCATTTTCTTTCCTTCTATCTTGTCGATGACCTCCCGGATCCACTTCAGAAGTCCGACTAACTTCCCCAATGCCTGCTTTTGCTCCTTCTCCCACTGCTTGACGTCTTCTCGAACGTCCTTGATCTCCATGTCTTCCTTTTGGAATAGCCCGCGGGTGTGGTAAGCCAGGATGAAGCGCGGGATTTGAGAGACCCAGAGCCGAGGTAGCTCTTCAGAGAGAGTATCTTTGACGCCGCGAGCGCGGATGGAGCGAGTTTTGAGGTCGAAGATTTGGGATTGGGGTACTAGGGAGTTGGGGCTTTCTTTGATGGTGAGGGTCGGGGCAGAGGATGCTTTGCTGTTGACTTGCGAGATTGCCGAGGAGTCACTGTTAGAGGAAGAGGAAGAGGCAGAGATCTTGAGAGACGAAAACAGCCCGTCCACATCTTGGTTGTCACTCTCATCCTCGCCAACTTTCACGGTGCCAATACCATCCGCACCCCCGACCTCATCCCTCATGTACCCATCAGCCTCAAACCTCACCAGCAACTTCAACCCTCCAAACCGGTAGGTAATGACTCTCTGGTGCGACGAACTCCCCTTGACAGCCCTCTCCCACATCGTATACGCCTCCGGAAACGCATGTCCGTACCCCCTCACGTCCGGAATCGTTTCCGTCGGGGAGTTCTCCCTGCGAACAAAAAACACCGTGGTGCCCACCTTCTCGACCAAAATGCGAAACGTCTTGTCCTGTCCGCGCACAAAGCGGAGCAAGTTGCCGAGCGTGCTGCTGCATGCAACAATGTCCAGCGAACGGATGAGAGATGGGTTGAGGTTGCCCGTGGTGCGCAAGCAGGTGATAAGTGCAGGCTCGAGGGGGTGCTGGGGATAGCGAGCGGCGTTGCGGTCGCGGTGGTAGGTCCCGCTGTCTTCGCGGAGTTGAGGGGGTGGGTTGGGGGGTGGGGACCAGAGGGGGGGTTTGCCTTTTTTTGAGAAGTGTTAGTGTTAGTGGGTTGGGGTTTGGGAAGGGGATGAGGTGGAAGGGGAGACAAACCGGGAATCAAAATTGTTGGCTCAGAGAGGCTGGTTTCTAGCCAGTTGTAGGATGCTATAACTTTGCAGTCTTGGATGGTGGCCGAGTGTTGGTTGTTGGGATCATTGTCGAGGTCGTTAACACGGAGGGACTTGAGCAGTGGTCCGAGCGGCGGTGGTGGTGGTGTTGCTGGTGTTGAGGGCCGCGTTTGTTTGCTGAAATATCGGCTTTGTTTCCCCGAAGAATTGTAAGATTGAGCTTTTCTGGCCCAATAGGAGGACATGGTGATGTATGGAAGGGTAGTTAGTTGAGTCAAGAAGAAAAGGGTGATGGATGAGGTGGGTGATGGTGATTTGGGTTGCTGAGGAAGGCACTGTTCTGTTCCTCTTTTTTTCTTTGACCCATTCCAACTTCCTCCTTTTATCCAAGAAACACCTCAGCCAGGACATACACCACATCCGATTTCCGACGACATCCCAGCTTCCCTCACAGCTCACATCTTGTGCGGTCTCGGCTCCTCCATGTTCTTCCATCCTCCTGTCTACCTCCCGTCTTGTCTGTTTGAGGCCTGTTTTGACGTTAACTTTATGCATGTCGGGTGCCATCAGCAGCCAACCGATGAGGAAAACGCCTCGCAACGCCATCACGGGCCGCTGATTTGACGGCCAGCGACCACTGGCTGACACAGATCGTCTGCCGCTATGCGGGCCGGTATCTGGGGACAGATTACAGTGGGTCTCTCCCGAAATAACAGTACCTCTAGGTGGTCGGTTGCACTAACAAACTGAACGCCCGCTTACCTGCCTCTAGGCCCCCAACCCCCCACGCCGCAAATGGAGACCCGACCTCGTTCCCCGCGTCGCTCAGGCTTTCCAGTGCCACGATGGACGTCTGCCTCCAACAAAAGACGACGGGACTGGTCAAGACCCCGACCAACCTCCGCCATCGAGTGAGCTCCAGATGTCAAACGGCATAATGGGCCTCTTGCATCCAGCATTGCGGCCAAATAACCGGCCATTGATTCAGGCTTTCTCGCAGCTTCGAGGTCTCCTACAGCGAATCGCCTTATTGACATTGACAACCCCGCTGCCAGCCTGCCGCTGCTCAGTCTACGATGGCCGCCATCACGAATCACGATGGAGGATGCACGACATACTCCATGCGTGAGGCCGGCAGCCAGCACATCATACCCATGTCGACGCCTTGAAAGGGAATTGGCAAGCTTCGTCGTTTGCAGCATCGAGATTATGATTCGGCCGATTACATACCCTACTTCCCGTCAAGCCAGTCTGCCTTTCCACCAGAACGATGGTCGTCATGACTGGGCTTGCTGCCCTTGTGCAGGTCTCGGTTTGGGCCGGAGCAAGCATTGCCTCCAACAGCACTACGTTATCGAGCGGTTAATACAAAGGCCTCCGATATGCCCTGGACTAGGATAAATTTGTGTAATTCAAGAGAGTTCAGGGCCCCAACTCCGAACTCTGCTGCTTCAGACGACTGATATATTTCCATTACACCTCGGGGGTTCCAGCGACTTGTAACTGGCATTTCTGTGTATCGAATTTTATTCACAAACAACCACCAAACCATCGACGCCGGCTCTCAATCCTCCCAAGCCGCTACCAGTTACGCCCGTACTACCTAGTCAACAACAGCCCACTATGGCTTCCAACAACCCCCGTCAGAAACGCCTCAAATTTCTGTTTCGTCAGGTCATCAACGGCGAGAGGCGAGTTAACAGCTCCCATGAAGCTGAGCTCTTCATCGAAGCCATCCAAACTTATCAGCCGCCGAGCACATGTGTCGAGATCATTGTTTCCAGCCCTGTCGGTCTCGACGCTCTCCGAGATGCCGTCCGAGTCAACCTGTCTGCTACATTCATCCTTTCTCACACCTTCCCCTTATTAAGATACCTTTCTGATCCAGGTATTAAAGCCCTCGTCGATGGTCAGTTACTTCACCGGATCCTCATCTCACTCGGAAAACCTCCCACGCTTTGGAAAGCTCTCTTCAAGCTTTTCCAAGATCACCAAATCCCTGACGATCAACTTGTACCCTTTGTCTGGCTTGGGATCGGACTTCTATCTCTTCCCAAGACTGCCGATGTCAACATCATAGACGATATCAAAGTTCTTGTTGAAGGCACCCGGCTGTCTCAAGCTGAGGACCACGATACGCGTGATCTGTTCTACCGGATGAAGAACGTGTTCGAGCTCCAGTCGTCTCCCGCCGGGAACACTGAGCAAAGCGGAGCAGGCGGAAGACATGACAACGATTTTGCTTCCTTCAGGGATATACTTATCTATCCTACCGAAGACGAGTTTCTATCCACACAAAAGCCCTTCTACCGTACTGCAAAGGAGGTGACTGATGCTCCCATGGACACCCGTGCTGCCGTCCATCTAGACAACCAGTTCAGGCTGCTCAGAGAGGATATGCTTGCCGAGTTACGTGAGGACCTACAAGTCACAGTCGGCAAGAAGAGGGGAAACCGGGAGTCCCTAGTCCTCAGCGATCTTCTCGCTGTGGGACTTCACTTTGGCGACGAGGCAAGCGAAAGATACAAGAAGTGCTGCCTCCTCCTTCAGTGCCGCAAGGGTTTGGAATTTCTTGAAGAACTGGATGAGGAGGATCGATATGAGTTCTTCCGTGAACATCCCAGTTTCCTTCGACATCAGTCATTTGGAGCACTTAGCCGCGGCAAGGATGTCATTGGGTTTGCCTTTCTTGAAAGGGACCTAGACTATTTGTCCGAGTGGCCACCAATCCTCCCGCTACAGTTCAACGACAGTCGTAGTCTCGGAAGAACACTGACAGCTTTGCGACAAACAAATCCCGCCTGGATTCAGTTTACTCCCGTCGATACGCCGGTATTTGCGTACGAGCCTGTGTTGAGGGGCCTCCAGGCGACGACCGAGTTGCCATTGCAAGACTTCATCGTCAATCCTACGATCAAGAGCCTTGATTTCGAGCAGGTACCTGAGCTTCAAGACTTAATCGAAAACATCACGGCGACCCACAACGAGATGTCGGACCATGGCTCTGCCCGCTTAAGCAACAGTGTCCGCGTGGACAAGTCTCAACTGGGCTCGTTGATCCATGCTCTTACAAGACCAATAAGTCTTATACAGGGACCACCAGGTGAGCATGTTGGATCTGCTATTTTCTTCTCGTTTCTAACTCTACGTAGGCACCGGAAAATCGTTTATAGGTGCCCAGATCGCCAAGTACATGTTCTCTGCAGGACGGCGGATTCTTGTGATAAGCTTCACCAATCATGCCTTGGATCAGTTTCTCGAGGACCTCCTCAAAAGCGCGCGCATTCCAGAAGACAAAATTGTGCGTTTGGGAGCAAAGAGCAAGTGTACTCCAAGAACCGAGCCTCTCCTCCTTGTCAATCAGAAAGGCGATTATCGGCGGTCGCAAAATGCATGGGACATCATCAACAACCTTAAACAGGCTACGCAGAACTCCATCGAAGACCTGAAAGCGGCATTTCATAACTTTCGAACGACCAGCGTTACCTGGAATGATGTTGCTGAGTTTCTTGAGTTCTCAGACGAGTACACATTGTTTCACAAGGCCCTGCTTGTCCCCACAGCAGATGAAAACGGCTGGGAGCGTGTTGGGGGGCGTGCTGGGAAGCGACAAAAGAAAGACAAGGACTATCTCTATCAGAGATGGAGCACTGGCAAAAACCCCGGCATCTTCACACAAGATATTCCTGACGAGTGCCGCCCAATCTGGGATATGCGGCAAGCAGACAGGGAGAGTCACGTGAACAAGTGGATGAAGGCACTCATCGGGGAGCGTCTCGAGACAGTCGAGGAGCTGGTTCGACAGTTCAACGATACCCAACACCAGCTTGAGACGCAGTTCAAAGAGGCAGATGCAGATATTGTTCGCCAAAAGATGGTCGTCGGATGTACCACCACCGCGGCAGCTATGCACTCTGGTCTGATACGAGCTGCTATGCCCGATGTGGTGCTCGTGGAAGAAGCTGGAGAGATTCTGGAGAGCCATATCCTCACAGCTCTGACCTCGTCGGTCAAGCAACTTATCTTGATTGGCGACCATAAACAGCTCAGACCCAAAATCAACAATTATGCCTTGTCGGTGGAGAGGGGAGACGGGTTCGACCTGAACCGTTCCCTCTTCGAACGTCTCATCCTGGAAGGGGCCCCACACACCACCTTACGCAAGCAGCACCGTATGGTTCCCGAGATATCTCTATTCCCCCGCGAACTTACATATCCTGATCTTCTCGATGGTCCCGGGACCAGCGATAGACCGCCTGTTCGGGGACTTCAGGATCGAGTTATCTTTGTCAATCATACCAAGCCAGAGGATTCCGATAGGACATTGCGGGAGCGCCGGGACCCAGGAATGAAGGAGAGCAAGAAGAACTCTCACGAAGCGTGCCTAATCTTGAGCTACGTAAAGTATCTCGGGCAGCAGGGTTATTCTGCTGGGAGAATCGTGATCCTAACTCCATACTTGGGACAGTTGAGGGTGCTACAGGATCTCCTCCGAAAGCACGACCATGATGCAGCACTGAGTGAGATGGACAAGAGGGACATGATCCGTGCAGGATTGATGTCACAAGCTGCTGCAATATTGTCCAAGAAGCCACTCCGAATTTCGACCATAGGTAAGCATGAACGCAATCCGAGCTCTTTGAAGTGGTGCTAACAGTGATGTAGACAACTATCAGGGTGAAGAAAGTGATATCATTATCGTCTCCCTTACCCGGAGCAATAACACAGGAGATATCGGGTTTCTCTCTGCTCCAGAGCGCCTCAATGTCCTCATTACGAGAGCGAGGGATTGCCTGATCATGATCGGAAACATGGAGACGTTCATGAATAGCAAGAAGGGTGCTACGACTTGGCGGCCGTTCTTCGAGTTACTCAAGACCCACAACCATCTGTATGATGGCCTCCCAGTGAAATGCGAGAAGCATCCAGAGAAGACAGCAATATTGCGAGAACCAGAGGACTTTGAGAAGACGTGTCCGGATGGGGGCTGCACTGAACCATGGTATGTGTAAGATCGCTGATATGTTCATCATAGGCTTCGCTAACAGGATCACCCCCGCAAGCAACGCATTTCTCAAATGCGGCGTACACAAATGTGCATCTCGCTGCCATCGCGTTACAGACCACAGCCGAGCTGAGTGTTCTGAGGTTGTGGCGAAGGTTTGCACCAGGCAACACAGGTACAAGGTGCGTTGTATGCAGCGAAACGAAGGTTGTCGAGATTGCGCAAGGGAAGACAAAGAGCACGAGCGGAGACTCAGGAGAGACCTACAGCTCGAAGAAGACCGCGTGCGTCAACAGCTAGCATACCACAAGCAGCTTCAAGACCTTAAGGACGACCTGGATCGTCAACGTCGCATCAACAAGTACAAGGAGGATGAGTTGGCCATGAAGCAGACACTGGACCAGCACAGGAAAGAGCTTGCAGCTCTCAAGGAATCCCAGGCCCGTACCGAACAGCAACAAAAACAGCAGGCTGAGATCGCTCTTCGAGTTGCTGAAAAGGCTAGGATTCGGACGGAGAAAAACTCGCAAGCCACAAACGGGGCACATCCACACGACTCCCTCAGCGACCTTCCTGACACTGCCGAAGCCGAGTGGAACCATTTGAAAAAGTTCGAGATGGCATCCAGCAAGCCTATGGATACACTGATGTCAATGATAGGGTTGGAAGACGTCAAACAGGAGTTTCTGTCCATCAAATCCAAGGTGGACACTGCTGTTCGCCAAGGTATCTCCCTCACCGAAGAACGCTTCAGCTGCTCCATGCTTGGGAACCCTGGAACAGGTGAGTCTTCGCTTCTTGACTGTAAATGCAAACAAATCTGGTCTAACAGCACATCTAGGGAAAACCACTGTGGCAAGATTGTATGCCGAGTTCCTCACCGACGTTGGGGTGATTCCAGGAAAACACTTTGCAGAAACCACTGGGGCGGGGCTCGCTCATGGCGGTGTTTCCGGGTGCAAGAAGTTGATCGACAATATCCTCAACGACGGCGGAGGAGTCCTATTCATCGATGAGGCATATCAATTGACATCCGGCAATAACCCTGGCGGTGGCAGTGTATTGGATTACCTTCTCGCCGAAGTCGAAAATCTGAGAGGCAAGGTCGTCTTTGTGCTTGCTGGCTACAGCAAACAAATGGAGAGCTTCTTCGCCCATAATCCAGGTCTCCCTAGCCGGTTCCCGATTGACATGAGCTTTGCAGACTACACGGACGATGAGCTGCTAAGGATCTTTGAGCTCAAGGTCAACAAGAAGTACAAGAACGCGATGGACTGTGAGGACGGACTGCGAGGCCTCTACTGCCGTATCATTGCCAGACGAATTGGACGAGGGCGTGGCAAGGAAGGCTTTGGCAATGCTCGCACCGTCGAGAACAACCTTGACATCATCTCTCGAAGACAGGCAAACAGGATCAGGCGGGAACGGAAAGCAGGAAAGGCTGACATCGATGATTTGTTCTTTACTAAGGAGGATCTAATCGGCCCCGAACCGGCCGAAGCCCTCAACAAGTGCCAGGCCTGGAAGAAACTGCAGCAGCTTATTGGTCTTGCGTCGGTCAAGGAAGCCGTCAAAGCGCTTGTCGATAGCATTCAGCAGAACTACAAGAGAGAGTTAGCCGAGCAGCCGCCCATTCAGTACTCCCTCAACAAGGTTTTCCTTGGGAATCCGGGAACGGGAAAGACGACGGTAGCCAAGCTGTACGGAGAGATCCTCGTTACACTTGGATTACTTTCCAAAGGTGAAGGTAATGTACCCTTCGTACTTTGCCGATCCTGATTGTCCGCGCTAACTAATTGTTCCCCAGTGGTCGTCAAGAACCCGTCTGATTTTGTCGGCGGCGCCCTTGGGCAGTCCGAACAGCAAACCAAAGGTATCCTCGCTGCCACTTTGGGTAAGGTCCTCGTCATCGACGAGGCTTATGGTCTCTATGGAGGGGCATCTACTTCTGATCCATACAAGACGGCCGTCATAGACACCATTGTGGCAGAGGTCCAAAGCGTTCCGGGCGATGACCGGTGCGTGTTACTGCTTGGGTACAAGGACCAGATGGAGAACATGTTCCAGAACGTCAATCCGGGCCTCGCTCGCCGCTTTCCCATTGCTTCAGGATTCAACTTTGAAGATTTCTCGGATGAGGAGCTTCGGAAGATCTTTGATCTCAAGATCAAGCAACAAGGATATCTGGCTTCTCTAAAGGCAACGGCTGTGGCAATGGACGTCTTGAAGCGGGCACGGAACCGGCCAAATTTTGGCAACGCTGGTGAAATCGATATCTTGCTGGACGCTACGAAGGCCCGCCATCAGCGACGGTTCTCTAAGGGGCAAGCACAGCCAGAGACGCTTGAGCCTCAAGATTTTGATCCAGACTTTGACAGAGCGTCCAGGTCGGAGACCAACATCCGGAAGCTCTTCGAGGGTTCAGTGGGCTCCGAGGATGTCGTCACTCTGCTGGAGCGTTACCAGGAGACCGTACGAACGTTCAAGTCCCTGGACATGGATCCAAAGGAGAACATCCCGTTCAACTTCCTTTTCAGAGGGCCTCCAGGAACCGGCAAGACCACCACTGCCAAGAAAATGGGCAAGGTCTTTTATGACATGGGCTTCTTGTCTACCGCTGAGGTGGTCGAATGTTCTGCCACTGACATGATCGGTCAATACGTTGGGCAGACTGGTCCGAAGGTGACCAGCCTTTTGGACAAGGCGCTTGGGAGAGTCCTATTTATTGACGAGGCGTATCGACTGGCCGATGGACCTTTTGCCAAGGAGGCGATGGATGAGCTGGTTGATTCTGTTACCAAGGACCGGTACTGCAAGAAGCTGATTATCATCCTCGCGGGCTACGAGGCGGACATCAATCGGTTAATGTCAGTCAATACTGGCCTAACATCCCGTTTCCCTGAGGTGGTCAACTTCCGAGCGCTGTCCCCCGAAGAATGCATTCAACTGCTTAGCAAACTGCTTGAGAAGCAAAAAGATGTCCTCAAGTCCAAAGGCAAGGAGCTGGACCTCTCCTGCTTGACGAACCCGAAACCTGCCTTCAAGAAATCGATGGTGTCCTACTTCGCTGAGCTAACCACGCAATCCAACTGGGCCAGCGCACGTGATGTCCAGAGCCTCGCGAAGAACATGTTCAACAGAGTCCTGCGCTGCAAGGAAGACTTGGCAAAGGGGCGCATCGTGCTCACAGAGGAAATCATCAGGCAGGAACTTGAGGCGGTCATGACTGAGCGGGCTTCGCGGAGCAATGCCGCGGCGGCAGCAAGTGGCGCGCCAACTGGATTGCCTGATGCCTTGCAGCAGTTCTTCCAGCCTCCACCTCAAACGCGGCCACCACCGTTCAACATCTCCACGGCCACTTCCACTTCATTTGCACAAGAGCAATCCCGCGTTGTCGAAGAGATATTCTCAGAAGATGAAGAGGAAGATCAGGAGCCTGCGCCCGCTCCCGTCGAGATGAGAAAGGAAGCAGCCGACTCCAACTCCAAGTACGGAGCCCAGCGCGACGCAGGAGTGAGTGATGCAGTGTGGGAACAGCTTCAGCGCGATCGCAAGGCCGAGGAGGAGCGGGAAGCGGAATACGAGCGGCTGAAGGAGGAAGCGAAAAAGGCTTCGGATGCGGCCAGGGACAGAATCGTGAAGAGGCTGTTGGAGGAAGAAGCGAGGAGGAAGAAGGAGCAAGAGATGAAGATGAAGTTAAAGATAATGGGGGCTTGTCCAGTGGGGTTCAATTGGATCAAGCAATCCAGCGGGTATAGGTGCGCTGGAGGAAGCCATTGGATGAGTGATGCTGATTTGGGGATGAACTGAACTTGGGCTTGGGCGACGGACAGACAGGCACTTTCGACAGGATATGTGATCTGGAGACTGGCTTGGGGAGGACGAATGGCGCAGGACCATGGGAGGCTGGTCAGACACTTGATATTTTGACGGCCTTCCGCCATTTTTTTCATTTTTCATGCATGCGATGAACATATTAAAACTGTTTCTTAATAGGAGTATCTGCTCCAATTTCCCAGCATGCGTACAGTACTGTTGTAAAGCGATCCAGAAATATTGTGCAAATATCCCATTCTCGTCAAATCGGAACAGAGATGACGGGAGATGGTTCAGCGCCTTGTACAGGGTCTTTACAGTGGGAACGCTGCCGTAGCGTGAAGGTTCACCCCCCACGTTTCAGTGTGGCATTCCGCATTGTATGTAAGTGTTAGCGCTGCTCCCCGTACAAGCTGATCATAGGCGCTGTTCGCTAACACATCTTGTAGTAATATCTCAATCCTCATGTTCAACCAACGACGATGGTACTCCCATTCTGCAGCAGACAGCGATGGAATCTTCAACATATTACTATGGTCTATCACCTCATTCACGTCGGTCCAAAGCTCATCATCTCGATAATTGACTATGGCAAAGTGCGGGCTACTAAAACTACTACTGTCTTGTGTGCGTTGGCTAGGGGGGTAACGGCCTCCTAACGAAATTGCACCACTTTCGCGGTCTATGGCTGCACTCAACTGTTTGGTAGCTATATGCAGCCCCTTTAATCCCACGATACTACCTTGACCTAGGGTAGTGGGTGTTTGTTAGGGTTGAGAAAGTTTCAGGGGAAGCAAACAGGGGGGACATAGATACTTAAATGGCTTCATTGGTCCGTGGCGATCCAGACTTTAAGGGCTTCATGGAGTGTCTGCAGAGCGATATGAGGAAAGGCCTGGCAACTTCCGTCGTCACGTCCAACACCAACCAATAGAAGGATTGTTGGGACGATCCGATGGGTTCGTGGTTATTGCTGTTGGCGGCCAGCACAGTGATTGACTACAGATGAAACATTATTTCCTTAGGTATGTTCGGTTTAAGAGACTCGCCTTGTATAGAGGTGGTACTGTGATGGACTGGTGGGAGACAGACGGCGCGGCTTTGTTTGTCTTTGACCAGGCGTAGAATCGGGCCAAAAGATTAAGGGCGCGGTGAAGATGGCGCGGGGGAATGTTTCATCCACTGGAAAAAGGTTAGCTCGAGCTGGTCGGAGATACCTCTATGTTGTCTGAGTACAAGTCATGAATGTGGGCGTCCAGATATATGTAGATAACCGAGAACGAAAATGTGAAAATGAAAGAGATATAAAGATGGGAGGCACAGTCGCTTCGAGGCTGGATAACACTTCCATTACAAGTCCATCAAACCATCAACAGAGTCTGGACTGTTTCACGTGCTGCCAAAACTAGGTCGCTTTTTCAGGTCCAAGATGGTTAACTTTTCCCATCTTTCCACTCTCCCCCTTGTGGCTATGGGAGTCTTCACCTCCCAAGTCACCGCAGCACCTGCCGTCGCTGAAGCCGCGGAAGTTACTCCCTCTACCACCACCCGCTTCTCCTTCGCCAAATGGGTGGACTCCATCACCGCCGACCCGTCCACCGCCCTGTCTCCTGAGGAAGCCGTGCAGGCGTATCTGGATACTAGTACCGTCAATGCCACCACTTTACCGGGTACTACTGCTGGTACCGAGAAGCGCCGTCGGGCTGCCGAAGCAGTCTGTAAGTACTGGACTGGGGGTAGAGACAGAGCCAAGGTCAGTTCAGTTTGGAAACTCCCTATCTACCTACCTACAATGCTTAGGTACGAATGGTGTTACTGACATGTTCTGCTGTGTGTAGGTCGCTGACGTCGCCGTTTGCATCCATTATCTTGCGGCTGCTGGCGAAGCGGCGTGCCCCGGTCGGCTAGTAACCGTTGGGCCGTGGCCGCAGAGAATCTGGTGTAATTGGAATGGCGCCTTGTTTTGGGCGGCGGCCAGTGATGATGTTGGCACGTATCCTACTTGGTATGTTTTATGATGCCCGTTTATCCCCATCATCCAGCTGTCCAGGTATGATGCTTTAGAAGTACTGATTGGGTGTTGACCAAATGTTATAGCAAGGGCATCGCCCGGATGTATGGGGCTATTGTGGACGCATGCGCCATGGCCGATGGAACGGTTGATGGATATATGTTGAAGGATCTGACGGGGACTAAGACTGGGGGCTATCTTGGCTACGTGCACTTTTCAATCTGAGACGGGCAGTTGTTGACCACGAGGTTCAATCCCTTCAGTTTTTCATGGGATGCCTGTTTAGCTTTCAAATTGGCATACCTACTCTAAGTACTTCTACCTACACTTTTAACTAATGTCTGTTTACATACCTACCTTCGCTTCTTTTTTACCTACCTCTACTCAGGCCAACCTGCTTTCGACGAACGTTCTTCTTCAGCCATGCCTTGTTCTCCCCCGCAAAAGTCTTTGTTAGCAGACAAATTCTTAGGAGTTAGTTTGGCAGTCAACAACGTCTGCCTCATCTCTAAGACGGTTTTCACCCATATTAATCACGATCGGAATGCTAGGAAGACGCCCGATATACTTATCTCGAGTATACCTCTAGTCACCGTAAGAAAAGATCCTAGTCCAGTAAAGCATTCCAATAAAATATGCTACACATAATAACGCCCTATCCAGTCACATGCTCGTTTTGTCCAAATTATGCTCATTCCGCTTTCGCTCTAGACAGCCTCCTTCTCTGACTTGCTGCTATCGTGCTCAAAGACGTCCACTATCACGTCGGTAGTGCCGCGGTCATCTAGACCGAGAACACGCCTAGACTCCTCGATGGTCATGTTGTGCGGCATGCTCTTCTCCTGCTTGACGGGGTTTCCGCCCGCCGCAAAAATGACGTCGAGTTCCTCCAGCGAGCGTTTCTTGGTCTCGACGCAGAAGAAGTAGATGATGGGGACGAAGAGGAAGTTGAAGACGGCGAAGATGATGTACTGCAATAGACATCATGAGTTAGCGCTTAGAACTAGTCAATGTGACTTGGCTGGCCAGACGAGTGGGAAAGTAGACAGGACAGGACTTACAGTCTTCCACCCAATGTTCGCCAAAGCAGGGGGGATGATCATGACGACGATAAAGCAAAACAACCAGTTACCGGCGCTGGCGATAGCATTGGCCTGCGACCGGCATCGCAAAGGTGCAATCTCAGCACTGTAGAGGAACGGCCCGCCAACCCAGGCTAAACCAAAGAAGGTATTAAAGAGAAAGAGGAATCCCGCAGCAACAAGCTGACACGTTCTATCAGCGGTGCTAGTCAGCCCGGCGATAATGGCGAAGCAGACGGCCATGCCGGCCGCGGTGATGATGAAGGACCGACGGCGACCGAGACCCTCGATAAGCAATACGGAGAGAAGCGAGCACAAGGCGTATTCGAGACCGCCCATGGCGGCGATGAGGTGCGACATGCTGGGAGACAAATTGAAGGACTCTTGGAGGATCTTGTTGGCGTAGGTGGAGACCATGTTGATGCCGGAGAGTTGCTGGGCGGCTTGGAAGAAGGTGCCGATGGCGACGCGGTAGAGAGTCTTGGTGGGTCCGTTGTCGAAGAGCTCCTTGTAGGAGAAGACGGCCATTTGGGATTGGGCTTCGTAGGAGGCGACGATGGCGTCGCGCTCGGCGAGGAGGACTGGGTCGTCGGGGGAGAGACCGCGGAGTTTGGCGAGGTTGTGAGTGGCCTGGACTATTGCTTAGCATGGATTTTGTATGGTATGTAGGTGGAATGTTACATGAAGGCCACTCACCTCGTCAATCATTCCGTGCTTGATGAGCCATCTGGGAGACTCGGGGAGGAAGTTGATAAAGATGAATACGATAAAGGCCGGGATGAGCTGGATGCCGACTGGCACACGCCATTGCGCCTGTCCCTTGACAAAGAAGAAGCCGTATCCTATTAACTGTCCACAAGCAACCCCGAAAGTTTGGAGGCCGCCCTCGATCATCACTTTGTTATTCCATGTCAGCTACCAAGTTCCATCCGAAGGTCCGTTTCTCATGGATTGACTCACCCCATCGTCCTCTGCTATGCGGCTTCGCGCACTCTGCTTGCCACGACGGCACGGTAGCAACCTGTAAACCGAGACCGATACCGCTAATGACACGCCCAGTGGCTAGCTGACCGACGTGCCAGGCAGCGCATTGAAGGATACCGCCGACCAACATGAACAGCATGCCGAACCAGACAGTTGACCGTCTCCCCAGGCGGTCACCAATGTCGAGACATGCCAGGGCTCCGACCAGGGCCCCGAGTTCAAAAGCAGCAATGACAATGCCCTGGATGTTTGGGTTTTCCATTGAGGGAAAGACCGAGGTGAATGGGCTCTCGGTAATGACACCTCCCTAATAGGCTGTTAGCTGGTTTATGAAGCTGATAGGGGAAGCTGGAGATGGTACTCACCATTACTGACATATCGTACCTAGACACCGTGAGCGTGGTTAGTTACAGGTAGCCATGAGCGAGTCAAGCCGGGGAACAAGGCTTACCCAAACAGCCAGAAGGCCATGGCAGCAATGCCGGCGACCGCAAAGTTGAGCGGAAGCCCGCTCAACCCCATGGTTGTCGTGTACGGACTCAACTTGAACATGGTGGGATTTCTCCAGGGGCAGAATAGGCCTAGTCAATGGAGCCAGAGAGAGGACTGAACTGGGTAGAACATGATTGGAAACGTGGGTCAATTCACGGTGAGAATGTGAATGCTTTTATAGACATGGATGAATGCTTCCCTTTCACCGCGTACCGAAACCGACGTTCTGGGGATCCGGGGAATGCCCTTGGCACGCATCATTGGCAAGTCATTGATTGAAGTGCCAGACCAGAAAGTGAGACAAGTTCCGCCCAGGCCTTGGAGAGAAAAAATCCAGTGTAGGTACAGTAGCCGAGAGGGTAGCCATCTCCGAGAGGGAAGTCATCCCCGAGAAGGCAGTCATCCCCGGGACGGAACGGGTATGGCGCGACGTCCAAAGTGGTGATGACTGATGAAAGAGAAGGGAACTTGTACCCTTGTATCGGGGGATGACCCAAAGCGGGGGCTATTTACAGTGGCACAAGTGGCGCGCGGCAGCCCTGAAGATCGATGAATGGAGAAATGGGGTATTTTGCGGGGTGATACTTATGCGGGGTATCTGGGCATGGCGGAGACTCGGCAATGGGGAAGCCAGCCTCCCCCACATTGTGCGCCCCGAAACAGCAGTCAACTACGAGCATTCCACGGCCAAGATGGGCAGTCGACTACGAGATATCACAAACCACCAAAGTTGGAGCAGTCTAGATCGAGATGTGTCGGGAAGGCAATCATCTCCGGGGCCAACCTTGGGAATGGGGGCTGGACACACATTGCCTCGAGCTTATTTATTGATGTGCCATCTCTTCGTCCCTCTCCATGTCCAGCAGCTGTCTCTAGTCCTCCTCCAAAGCCGCCGCTCTGACGAATCGACACAATGCCTTCTGCAACAAACCTCTCGTGGGGTGCTCCTCTGTAAGAGAAACCAACCATCTGTCTCTCCTATACACGACGTCTGAAAACCGTTGCTAACACCATCGTACCCTTCAGCTCTCTCAAGGTCATCGGCCACAATGCCGGAACCTCCATGGACGGAGTCGACCTCGTCCACGTCCACTTCACCCAGGACTCGCCCACCTCCCCCCTCAACATGCAGCTTCTCCACTACGGGGAGTACCCAATGCCGCAAAAGGTCAAGAGGCGCGTCATGAAGCTCATCAAGGAAAACAAGACCACCCCCGAGGAAATGGCCATTGTCAACATCCAGCTCGGCGAGGTCATTGCCGACGCCGTCAACTCGTTTGCCCGGGACCAAGGCTTCGACCTGGCAAAGGATGTCGACCTGATCGGTGGCCAGGGCCAGACCATCTGGCATCTGCCTCTGCCCGAGCTCTTTGAGGGTGACCAGATGCGTGCCCACCTGGACATGGCCGAGATTGCCATCATTGCCGCAAACACCGGCGTCACTTCCTTGGGCAACTTCCGCGTCTCCGACATGGCCCTCGGCCGCCAAGGTTGTCCTCTCTTTGCCGCTCTCGACTCGCTGCTGTTGAACCACCCTACTCTCAACCGGGCTGTCCAGAACATTGGCGGCATTGCCAACTTCTCCATCCTGCCCAAGGGCAATGTGCAGGGCTGCTATGACTTCGACACGGGCCCAGGAAACGTTTTTATTGATGCCGCCGTCCGTTACTTCACCGACGGCCAGCAGGAGTACGACAAGGACGGTGCTATGGGCGCCAAGGGTAGGGTCGACCAAGCAATTGTGGACGAGATCCTTGCGGGACCTTACTTTGTCCACGACATTCCCAAGACCACTGGTCGAGAGACGTTTGGTGACCGTATGGCGGAGGACATTTGCGACAGGATGTTGGCCAACGGCGCCACTCCCGAGGACTGCGTAGCAACCATCACCCGCATCACGGCTCAGTCTCTTGCCGACGCTTACGAACGCTGGGGCCCTGAAGGCGGTGTTGACGAGATCTACATGGGCGGCGGTGGCTCCTATAACCCCAACATTGTCAAGTATCTCAAGCAGCGCCTGCCCAACACGCGCATCACATATATCGACGAGACCGGTATCCCCGTTGGCGCCAAGGAGGCTCTGGGATTCGCGCTTCTCACGCACGAGTGTTTCGTTGGCAGGCCAATGATTGTGCCCACCAACACCGAGTCAGACAACCCTGGTGTCGTCGGCCAGATTCAACCGGGGAAGAATATGCACCGTATTAGACAAGCCGTTGCTCAGGTAAGCTTTTTCTTTTTTTCTTTTTTCTTCTCCGCAACTGGAAATCATGGCTAACCCCTTGCTTGCCAGTTCTGGGGTGACTTTCCAGAGGAGGACATTCGATGTACCACCAAGATGAACCTTTTGCCTAGCCTCTGCAACTGAACAGCGAGAGGGAGGTGGGACAAGGGACAATGAGAAGATACCATTCATTGCAAGGAGTACGGCGCTCACTGGTCGCGACTTATGTCTGTGGATAGATGAGGTACAAAAAAGAATAAAAGCTATTGAAACATGGAAGTGCACACAGGCGTCCCTTGCAGTGCCAAGGCCTTCCGACTAACCGGGCTAGAACCTGGAATTGGTCCGGGTAAATAACGTTAGCGTGGGCGGAGAAGCGGAGGAGAAACAAAGACGACATGGCTCGGCATTATCCCCGCGTGAACGCCTCAATTCGCCATCCAGACATACAACAAATGACCCAAGTACTTAACGGCATGTCGAACCGTCGACTTAGTTCTCAAGAAACCATCTCTTCTCACCGCAAGGTAGCCATGCAATATGTGAACACTGCTCAACTGGCCTTCTCCAAGCAGGTCCGGGGACCTAGTTCAAGAAGCAAGCTTGGTACGCCATCTTCTGGTTCATGCCCACACTTACATGTAGGAGACGTTGTGTTGACACACCAGCAGCTTGCAAACAATGTCGTGACCGCCACGTTAGATGCGACCAGCAGCAGCCATGTGGAATTTGTCGACGGCGCAACATCCGGTGCTCCCACGGTGACGATATCCTCTTCACGGCCTTGCAATGGAAACCCGATAAAGAGATGCCATATGAACAGAGGCCCAGTCCCGTTCGAATCGGTAAGGCTATACTTTTATATATGAAATAGTTGACTCTGACTCTCGACTGGGGACAGTGGGCTTCGTCGATGAGACATTCCAAGTGTCCCAGCTCTACCATGTCCTGCCTTCCGATGCCACTCATGACAATCCAGGCGTCTCCAAGACAAATAATAAGGTTCACGTCTTCTCACCATCTTCACACACGGGAGTGGCCACTCCAATCACGAATGAAAAGGATGCATTCTACCTGGCAAGATACACCGACATTATCGGGCCTAGATTCGACATGTTCGACAGCACATCTCGATACTTTTCTCTCGCCCTTCCGCGCATAGCTCTCAACAACCGCCTCGTGCTTCTCTCTTGCCTCGCATGTGCCGCTAGACAGTACTCGCTCGTCACCGACCGCGGTCATCACGATGCGCTGGTGTACTACAACGAAGCTCTCAAGACGTTATATGAGCGCTTAAACGATAGTGGCCACGAGGCAGCCACTTTCGCCAGCTGTTTGCTCATTGCCCACTGCGAAATGGTGGAAAGTAAAGCGAGCGACTGGAACTTGCACCTGAAGGGGACGGGGGAGCTGGTTATGATGCACCACTGGAACGGCCGAAGCGGAGGACTGGCGCAGACGGTATGTTTTCCATATCTCTCTAAAGACGGCCAACTTGATGCTGACTGTTTCGCCCATGAAAGAGCTTCTGGATTTACTACCGCATGATCATCCTCGCTTCCCTCGCATCCGGTATGTCGGCACCAGTGAACCTAGGCCAGTTACTTCCCTTGGGCTACTTTCCTAGTCCTCCTACCGGGGAATGGACCCTCGACGCCTGGCAAAGCAAAGTTGTCCATCTCCTCGGATCCACGCACAGGTTTTGGGCCCGCACACGCAACCATCATCACCATCATCATCATCAAGACGACGCGGACACTACGCTCAACAAGCTCACAGCCGAGTGGACCAGCCTCGGCGACCAACTCCTGCGACATCAAGACCAAGCACCAGCCATGTGCCACGCGTTGAGCGTCATCCCAGCAGCAAATGACAACGACGACTATAGCCCCTTCGAAACCGTTCGCTACGTCAACGGTCCCGTGTCGGCCGCCTGGCAGATGTTGCATACTGCTTATTTGGTCCACACCCTCTCGCAGCCGACTCCGCGAGCAGCTAGGTTGACGCTCCTTTCCTCGCCCGAGGTAGCGAACAAGGCCCTGTCGTATGCTCGGATGATTGTGGCCAACTCGATTGCGAATCGGTGTACGATTGCGTGGGCTAATGCTGTTCAATTACTGACGATGGCGGGGCAGTGTCTTGTGGAAGTAAAGGAGCGGCAAGCTTGCTTGAGGGCGCTGGAGGATATCCAGCTTCATACGGGGTGGAACACGCGGGTGAATATGGAGACGTTGTCTGCCATATGGAGACGAGCGACAATAGATGGCGGAGGGGTCAGCGATTTGGGAAGGTTGTTATACATTACATGGATGGGTGATGAGGCTGTTGTTTCCTAGGCGTCTGACACCATACAAGTTGTTCCAGCATTATCAACACTCTCGGCGCTGTGGGCGGGAATCTGGGTGGCTTCGTCATGCTGCTACCATGGAGGTAAAGGGGACTTTTCTGGTGGCACAATCTGAGCAGAGCTGTCTCGATGCTTCGATGGGTGCCGGACTGCCGGTAGTTCCGATACAGCTCGGAAGTTAGCAGCCATCACTCCTGCACCGTCATCCATAAGGTAGCTATCACGGACTCATGATCCTAGTGCTTACTGCATGATACTGACAATTGACCAGACTCCGCGTTGTATCCTATCTCCCAGTTATTCAAAAATTCTGCCACGATCCCCTTCAGCAAGACGCTTGGCCTTCATGTTTCTCAATCATTACATTGGAGCATTGAATACGTTCAACCATGTCGGCACCGCAACCATCCACCCAGCAACTCCCCACTGTCCCTTCCGAAATCACCCCCGAATGGCTCAGTTCCAAGCTCGGACACAAAATCAAGTCCATCGAGCACACCCGCTCCATCTGGGGAACAGGCAGCAAGCTCTTCTACACCATCACCTACGAAGACGACAACCACTCCTCAAGCACAAGACCCACGCACATCTGCATCAAAGGCGTCTTCGACCCTACCATGCTCGCCTCCCAACCATGGACACTCCCCCTCGCCCAGCGCGAAGCCGACTTCTTCTCCCTCCTCGCCCCAGATCTCCTCGCAAACACCACACCCATCAACTTCCCCAAGACCTATTGGGCATCCACCTCCCCCCATCAAGGTATCTCCATCATGGATGACCTATACACCTCAGGGTGCACGTTCCCTCCCGAACTTGCATCCTACCCGCTTAGTACCGTCCTAGAGGGCATCAACCAACTCGCCGCCCTGCACGCACGCTATTGGGGTCAAAGCGAAGCAACCCACCCTTGGATAAGCAATACCTACGACACCGCAATGAAATTCCTCTGCTCACCTTCCACCTTCAACAAAACGGTCCGGGATCCCGACCGGCCTAAACTCCCTGCTTATCTTCAAGACGGGGAGCGTTTCAACTTGGCTTTAGACCGATACTTCTCCACTCGCAATCCTAAATTCCAAACTCTACTCCACGGCGACACACACATGGGCAACATCTTCTTTTCCCCCTCTCCCTCTCCCTCTATGTCTCCCTGTCACGAAGGAAAGATAGGTTTTCTAGACTGGTCTGCCATCCACTTCGGTTCATGTTTTCACGACGTAGTCTACTTCGTCACGGCAATGTTAACTGTGCAAGACAGACGGAAACATGAGATGGAGATACTAGATCGGTATCTTGAGACGCTCCATCGATTCGGAGGACCGAGGTTTGATAGACGAGACAAAGAGGTCATGAATGAGTATAGGAGGTCGTTCATGACGGGTGCGATTTGGTTGGTTTGTCCTTATGCGTTGCAGAGTCGGGAGAGGGTGGGGGAGTTGTGTGAAAGGGCGGTGGCTGCGTTTGGGGATCATGGGGTTTTGGAGTTGGTTCTTGGGGGGAATGGGGAGAAGGGTAGGGAGGGTTCTTGTGTGGTGCTGTGAGGGAGTGGGTAGGAGGGGGGGGGGGGGAGGGTATTGGTGGTGAGAAGAAGGTGGAGGGGTTGTTAGGATAGTGAGCTGCGTATTGTTATGTTCGTTGATGATGACACAGATGTCAGATGGAATACTAGATGTTGGACGTTCCTGGATTTAGAGTGGTCTCGTGGAAGAGGGGTTCACGGATATAACATGAATGTTGCGTCGTGTTGAGGAAGCGATGCGATGCCCGGAGGGTGACGAGCCGATTGGTGGAAGTAGACCTCCAACAGGAACCATTGGATTCTATTATGTTCCTATAAGATTTTGCTTCCATGTCTTTTTTCCAGCACGAAGAGGAGAAAATTGCAAGCGGAAGTGAACCTGTTACATAATGAAGCAATAGCCGCGCCATAGGGAGATGGGGTTGGTGATCAAAAGCAAGATCGACAACCGGGATTCACAGCAATGTAGAGCGAATTGTGTATTATTACTGGCACGGTTATACGGACTTACACGTGGACGTCTAATGCTCCCCGCATAACGTCCCATCATAACATTACCTACACCTGACTATTAGGTACCGACTACTACCTTGACCAGTCGAAAAGACAACTTATTCCACCATTCGTAGCTTGGCGCTTCTAGCTCAAGGGGCGGTGGTGACTTGCAAGCTTTCACTACGTCATCTAATAGCAGACGAAGGGGAAGGGATACTTGTATATCATGGGTGTTTAAGTAGAGTTGTGTTCTGCCTCGGTCATGATGTATCACAGATAACTCTAGGCAAGCTGAATCCTTCTTCTACTGTTTCACAAGTACCTTAATCAACCAGAAACATGTCCCTGCCGTCCACCCTCAGACGCAGCACATGCGCACTACTCGCTCTAGGCCTCGTTACCACGGCCACAGCCGGGCCCTGCGACCTTTACGACGCAGCCGGATACCCTTGTGTAGCCGCACACAGCACCACTCGAGCCCTGTATAGTGCCTACAAGGGTCCCCTTTACCAAGTACAACGCACCGACGGTACCACCACCGACATCGCACCTCTCTCCGCCGGCGGCGTCGCCAATGCTTCCACGCAGGACGCATTCTGTGCCGGGACGACATGCGTCATCTCCATCATCTACGACCAGTCCAGCCGCGGCAACCACCTCACCCGAGCACCGCCCGGTAGCGCCGGTAGCGGTCCGGCCCCGGGAGGCTACGACAACCTCGCTGATGCGACTGCTGCCCCGGTCTACTTGAATGGCCACAAGGCGTACGGCGTTAAGGTCGCGCCCGGTACCGGATATCGCAATAATGATGCTAAGGGCACCGCCACGGGTAATGCGGCTGAGGGCATGTACGCCGTCTTGGACGGGACGCACTACAATGGCGGATGCTGCTTCGACTATGGCAACGCCGAGACCAACAGTGTCGACACGGGTGCGGGCCACATGGAGGCTATCTACTTTGGGAACTGCAATGTCTGGGGAACGGGACAGGGAAGCGGACCGTGGATCATGGGGGATCTGGAGAATGGCTTGTTTTCTGGGCAAAACGCAAAGTACAACGGTGGCGACCCGGCGATTAACTACCGCTTCGTTACGGCGGTCGTCAAGGGGGACTCGTCCAACTTGTGGGCGATCCGCGGTGGTAATGCGGCGTCGGGATTGCTGTCGACGTACTATAGCGGCCCGCGTCCGTCTGGGTACTACCCGATGAAGAAGGAGGGCGCTATTATCCTCGGTATTGGCGGCGATAACAGTCATGGGGCCCAGGGCACCTTCTATGAGGGGGTTATGACAACTGGCTATCCATCCGATGCGGTCGAAGACAAGGTTCAGGCCGATGTCGTGGCTGCCGGATACTCCACCTCACCGTGATCAGAATGCGCCGTGGTGCAACAATCGTCTGGTCGGAGAAATGTGGCTCGAACAGTTGCTCGGGCTTGGGCGGAACTCCGCGAGTGACAACTTGGGTAGCTCTCATTATATAAGGTTGAGGTAGCGAGCTGGTAAATGCAAAATATGCTCCCTCCATCTGTCTTCTCCTTGGTTCAGTCTGTGATCACCGTCTGTTAGCTGTATTCGGATGTGTTCCGCTATGTCCATGCGAGATGGAAAATCTGTAATAGCGACCAAGGCTCGACGTGCATGAAAACATAAGAATTTGTATATTGCGGGTATCATGGACATCTAGAAAGAGCTCAACGGCGGTGATGGTGGATGGGATTTACATAGCTTGCAAGTGTGATATAACTTCTCCATTCCATGATGGTACGCGTCCCGTATGTTACACCCATCGTGAGTCGCGTGGAAAGACTAGCAGGAAACCAGCGGCGCCTGGCAACTGGTATCTGCCAGACTACCAAGATCTGGACCAGTGTCGTCGGTGGCGGGCCTCCTTCCCGTTTCTTGACCGAGTCAAACTCCCAGTGTTGTTTTGGTACCGGAAACGATGGTAGTTCTCTGCGATGATCAATTGGAGCGGCAGCGAGGGCGAGGCAATTAGAGAGTTCAAGGACAGCAGTGCTCGGTCTCACCCTTCCGTCGATGTTTGGGTCTTATTGCTTGGCGCAATAATAAGATCGTCGGAGCCTAGTCGCCGTGGTTCCCTTTCTGATCGGAAAATGTTTGGTACACTCGGATGACAATGGTCCGTCGAGGGGAAAAGCTTGGCCGACTGCAGATCAAAGGGTATGAAGACTAGACTTATAAGCCAACGACATCCGGGTCGATGAGTGTTGAGGTATTCTCGTGACGCAGCAGTTGCGACACCGCTCACAATTGCAAACATGTATCTCTTCGGCTCTCTTCTCCTCGGGCTTGCTTGCCTGACTGAAGCCCTCAGTACTACGATCCCGGGCCCGCATGCTAGAGTCACCAGTCGTAGTCCGGGATGTGGTTCGGCCCCAACCATTACTTCAGGCGTCAAGTCCCTCACCGTCAACGGCAAACAACGACAGTTCACCATACGGGTGCCCCAGAACTACCAGAAAGACACGGCATACAAGGTGATCATAGGCCTGCACTGGGTCGGCGGCACGATGGACCAGGTAGCCGGTGGCGGCACTACCGGAGAGCCGTGGGCCTACTACGGCATGCAACAGATGGCCAACGAGAGCGCCATTCTTGTCGCACCGCAGGGTCTGAACAACGGATGGGCCAATGCGGGCGGCGAGGATATCCAGTTCATCGACGCCATCAACAAGTATATCGACTCGGGGCTCTGCGTCGACCAGGCCCAGCGCTTCTCCATGGGCTTCTCGTACGGCGGCGCCATGACGTACGCCATCGCGTGCGCACGGGCAAAGGACTTTCGGGCCGTGGTTGCCATTGCGGGCGGCCAGCTGTCGGGCTGTAGCGGGGGCAACGACCCGGTTGCCTACTTTGGCATCCACGGCATCAGCGACGGAACGCTCAATGTGGCGGGCGGGCGCAGCATGCGGGACCGGTTCGTCAGGAACAACGGCTGCGCGTCCATGTCGGGGGCGCCAGAGCCGCGGGCCGGCAGCAGGACGCACATAACGACAGCGGCGACGGGGTGTAAGGCGGGATATCCGGTGGTGTGGGCAGCGCACGACGGTGGGCACGGGCCGGCGCCGGCTGATGCTCCGGTGCCGTCGTCAGATGACGGGCTTAGGACGTGGATGCCGGCGGCGGTGTGGGCATTCTATACGCAGCCTCAGCTTGCGATGTTTTGAGGAAAGTGTTCAGTCAGTAGATTGAGGAAGACGTCGGGAAGCAATTGAGGGGGGGGTTTGCCTCTGATGGTTGAAGACAGTTTGCGAAGAGTTTGCAAGACCCCCCCTTTCCCCCCTCTCGCAGTACGGTTGCCGTGTCCCCAAACATGACCCAATTTCAGTAAAATACCAAGAGATAAGGTAGAGGTATAACCAATATCATTAGATCACGTATCTATCTATCAGGTTGTCGAGACAGCGCGTGGAGTGATACACACGGCAAATGTTGTCCGCTATCGGGGCACAACAGGCACACCAGCGGCCCAACGGCATCCTTTATCAGTGCACTAAGAGGTACCTGACTGCCTTTCTTGGCAGGTCTCCCCGCAGACAAGGTATTCCCGCGATAGGGCCAGTAGCTGGAAGGTGCAACCATGCCACCTGCCTAATACAGAAATGCAGGACGCAGCTCACTGGTCGCGACTTCTCTTGATGCAGTGGGTATATGAGGGCCGGCCCGTCATTAGCATCTTGGCTGCTGCTTGGCATACCTACCTAAGCCCTCTGTACTTTCCCTTCCTCTTTCCCTCCCTCCCTTCCATTACCTAACAAAGCTGTTGGTTGAGTGCCATGGAAGACGGCGACAACATGGCTCACAACAACAGCCAAATCGACGACAAGACATCATCATGGCCGCCTGAAAAGGTCGCCGCTGACTTCAATGGTATCGACGAGAAGCATCCCGACGGTCAAGGCAGCGTCGATCCCGAGTCGCTGGAGGGAGAGACCGGTCCGCTGGAGACGGCCGAGGACATCGTCACCCACGTCATTGCCGTCGACGATGACCCGTCCTTGAGCCCATGGACCTTTCGCATGTTCTTTGTCGGTGAGTACCTACCTAACCATCAATCATCTCAGTGCTTCTCGGGCTTCACGATGCTGATGAAATAATACAGGTGTGGGCCTTTCAGTCTTTGGCGGTGTCTTGCAGGAAATCATGTACTTCAAGCCCCAGGTCGTCTACGTGTCCGTCATGTTCTTGACCGTCCTCGCTCAGGCTTTGGGTACAGCCCTATCTCAACTCATCCCGAGAAAAGGAGCCATCGGCCGCTTCCTCAACCCGTTCCCCTGGAATCGCAAAGAGCACACTGCCGCCGTGCTTATGGCTTCGGCCGCCTCGGTGTCGGCCCTTTCCACCGAAGCCCTCTCGGTGCAGGAACTATGGTACGGCGGCTACCCCAGTACCGCCGCCGGTGTCTTCATCACGCTGTCCTCTCAGCTCATCGGTTACGGTGCCGCTGGCATGATGCGCTCTGTCCTGCTGTACCCGACCAAGATGTTGTACCCTGCCAACCTGCCCATCACCACCGTCATGGAGACCCTGCACAAGCCCAAGGCCGAGACGGCCAAGCGCTTCAAGGTCTTTTGGATTATCTTCGTCGCCATCTTCTGCTGGGAGTGGTTCCCCGAGTACATCTTCCCCATCCTGTCTGCCGTGTCCATCTTCTGCCTGGCCGACCAGAACAATGCCGTTTTCACCAACCTCTTTGGCGGTTCGCAGGGTAACGAGGGCATGGGCTTTCTCAACATCTGTTTCGATTGGAACTACATCGCCGGCTTCGGCTCCCCGCTGTGGATGCCCCTGCAGACTCTCACCAACAGCTTCATCGGCTACCTCGGCGGCATCATCCTGTCCATGGGTCTCTACTACAGCAACATCTGGCGAGGCATGGACTTCCCCTTCATGTCCCAGCTTCTGTACGACGGCAGCTCTAACTCGACCAACTACGTGGTCTATAACGAGACCCTCATCATGAACTCGGACTTCACCATTGACACTGACGCCGTCGATAAGGTTGGCGTCCCGTACCTGACTGCCACGTACGTCAACTACCTCATCACCACCAACGCCAGTCTCACCGCCACCCTGATCCACATGCTCCTTTGGAACTACGACGACGTCAGCAAGGCCTGGAGCTGGATCACTCTCGACAAGCTCAAGTCGCTGCTTAAGCCATCCACGTACTTCTTCTGGAAGTCCACCGGGGCCCGGACTGAAGCCGAGAAGGAGGCGATTCGCCAGGACCCAACCATCGACCCCCATTACCGTCTAATGGTCGACTACGACGAGGTGCCCAGCAGCTGGTACTTTGTCGTCTTTGTTATCAGCATTATCGTCGGTATCGTCTGCCTCTACGTCATGAAGTCGACTTTGCCGTGGTGGGGATTCATCATCGGCACCCTCCTCCTGATCGTGCTCATCATCTTCTTCGGTGCCCAGTCCGCCATCACGGGCTTTACCGTCAACATGCAGCCAGTCATGCAAATGCTAGCGGGCTACATGTTTCCCGGCAAGCCATTAGGTACGTACCTCAACTTCAATCCCACCTCTAAAACCAACCTCAGCACTAACCTATCATTCTTTGTCCTGTAGCAAACATGTACTTCACAACCTACACCTACAACGGTCTTTCACAAGGCATCCTCCTCCTCCGCGACCTCAAACTCGCCCAGCAGAACAAACTCTCCCCCCGCGCCACCTTCACCACGCAAATGATCGGGTGCGTCATCGGCGCCCTTCTCAACTACGTAATGATGATCAGCATCGTCAAGAACCAAGCGCCCCTCCTCAAGTCCGCTGAAGGAAGCAACGTCTGGTCCGGCGCTCAAGTCCAGCAATTCAACACGCTCGCCATCGCCTGGGCCATCGCCCCCAAAATGTTCTCCATCGGCGCCCGCTACCAGTGGGTCACGGCCGCCTACCTCGTTGGCTTCCTTGCCCCTCTGCCCTTTTATATCATGCACAAGTTCGTCTTCCCCCGCCAGCGCATCTGGTCGTATCTCAACACGTCCATCATCCTGTGGTACCTCGGTGAACTGTTTGTCGGTCTTAATGCGTCTATTACAAGTTATTACATCTTGGGTGCCTTTGGACAGTTTTACCTCCGTCGGTATAGGCCGCAGTGGTTCGTCAAGTGGAATTATTTGGTGTCGGCTGCTCTGGATGGTGGGACCCAGGTCATGATTTTCATTGCTACGTTTGCCGTCTTTGGTGGGTCGGGCAAGGCGGTGCCGTTTCCCGAGTGGGCGGGGAATCATCCGAATAATTTGGATTATTGCAAGTATAACTCTAGTTAGAGGAGGTGGCTGGGAAATGGTTGATGTCTTTCGTGTAGATGAGAGGAGGGGGATTTGGTTGTTGTTGTTTTGTGGTACTTGTAGATTTCGAATAATATAAGTAGCTATTACGGTTCGCCTAGTGGTGCTGTTCAGATGTACGACAATCAAAGAGACTCCTAATACCATGGGAAGCAATGGAGAGAAAGTAATGGAGAATGGGGAGTAAACCAAGGTCTATTCTTGCAAGTGGAAAGATTGCAATAGCGTGCCTAATCCGAGCTCGAGCTGGAGTCATACTCCAAGCCTGCCTCTTTAAGTGCAAGGCTGATTAGCTTAACAATTGCAACATGACTCCTGCCTCTCGCACGATCTAACGCTGTCTTCCCCTGATCATCCCGAATAGTTAGGTCAACCTTGCCACTATCAAGGAGCACCTTGACAGCCGCCTCGGTATGCCTATACCTTGCCGCACAATGCAGCGCTGTCTGTCCATGCCCATCCGGAATATTTGGATTCACCTTGTAGGTGTTGAGAAACAGATCAACAAGTGCCTCGCCCCCATTTTCTGCCGCCACATGCACCGCTGTCTTTTTGTCGTAGAGATAGTGCGCATCAACCTTGCCAGTATTAAGAAGCTTCTCAGCGTTCGTTATATAGCCATATGCCGTGGCAGCCCACAGTGCGTTCTGTAGCTCCTCTTGCCCATTCAAGTTGACTTTGTCGGGGTCGGTAAGGAATTTTGCAACCATGTCATGATGAAATGTTGTCGCGTGCTGTAAAAGCCTCCATTGGCCCCTCTCCTCAATCGTTTGATATATTCTTGCTTCCAACTTCTTTGCATCTTCATTTTCCCAGTCCTCGGGGTCTAGCCAATCCTTATTTAGGGCGTTCATGCTCTTCAATGCCCGATCAAAAAACGCGACTTCTTCCTGAATATGCTTGTGTGCAGCTTCGATCTGTTCCCCCTCTTCTAGCGCCAATCTGACAGTTCGTATCTTGGTCGCCGCATCCAAACAACCTTTCAACTCTGACTTTGACTGTTTTTCTACGGGAAAGCGTGCAAAGTAGTCATGGTCGTTATCTTCTGGCTGCGTGTCTGGATCCATATCCCAATCCCAACTAAGTCGAAAGTCGTGAGGAAAGACCTTTACTGATTGTAAAAGTTCTGACCACTTGACTTCTCCAGTCGCAGCTTGTGAATCGTCTTCTAGGTAAACTGCAATCTTGATCACCACCCAGTGATAGTTGCACGGCCTGAGGATCGTGGGTCTTGATGCTCCCTGAAGAAGGTAGACTGTATCGTTTTTTTGGATGGATTTTGCGGTGGTCAGGAGGGACCAGCGAGAGACGGGTGCATCGAAGACCTTCCTCCAGGTGATGACCACATCTTGTCTGTCTTCCCAAGTAGCATTTTTCTGGACCGAGGACACTTGACCAAGGACGCAGCCTTTGCCCTCAATAAAGGCAATCTCCTGGTTGTCCCAGAGGCCTACAGAGACCAGTTCGGATAGAGAGAAGTGGATGACTTTGTTGAGGAGTTGTACCCACGAAATCGTGTAGTCGGCTGACAATCCTGCTGCTGTTGGATTATCAGAGCACATGCCAAGTAAGGCATATACTTTGTCGTGACGTTCCGTAGCTTGGCGGCTGCGGTACATGTCGATCAGTTCACCCAAAGGGCGTATGTCAAGAGAAAAATTGTCCGTCTCAGAGGTGGTTGCGTATCTGGGCCGGAAGATTGCGCCCCTGATGAGATAGGTTGCTGAAAGGATTCGAGCCCGCACGTCTGCGCGGAGATCACTGAGGAGGTCCAATGCATTCAGGCCTGAGCAGAAAGCAAAACCGTCAACCTCAGCAGAACCACACTTGATCAGGATATGGCGAGCCGCGCCAACTTCTTGAAGCACCTGCATCAATCTGTCAGTACATATCCTTACTTTAGTCGTTATACTTTGACATTGGTTCCCTTACCCAGATGCGCTGAAACCACGGCCGTTGTAGAAGTGCAAGGATTCCCGCTTTATTGTACATGTATGATGGTCTTTTAGGCAGCTCCACGTCGCCTGCGATGCGTAAGTCTTCGAGCGCTTGGCCGCTACCGGCTGCCTCCTCTCCAAGCCAGACAATGACGCGAGTTGCTTTAGCGTAGATCTTGGCCATGTATTGAACTTGGTGTCCTTTTTCCTCGGGGTCTTCTTGGTTGATGCAAATGGCATCTATCCATATCGTTCGTTCAATGGACGGGTCTCGAAGATGCAACAGCGCCGCGTAAAGGTTTTCCCCGACGGCCAAGTCGCACCCGTCTATGAAAATGGAACGAGGCTTGCCCCCAGAGCCCCACACGTAGGATAAGGCCTCGTACGGGCGAGTGCC